GGGGGAAGAGAGAAGAAAAGAATAATTGAAAAGTCAAAAATTAAGAAACAAGCTTGTTGAACCGAAGAAGCTGCAAAAGCCGATTCAAACAAACTGTTCTTTGGGTGACTGTGTTATGTAAATTCTGGTTTCCCTTTCTTCTGGAAAAACAAAAGTTCTCTTTCCTCTAAGAAACCAATATGTGACGATGTAAATGAAAACACCAACATATACACAAGCAACGTAGTTCATGGATGAAGCTTCTACGGGCATTGTGGAAGGAAATGCATAGAAAATAAAACAGAACAAGGTCCAGATAAGTGTCAATACGTTGCACACTAGCCCAAGCTTACCAAGAAAAAATGGGCCACGAGGAATGTTGTTTCTTCCATAAATTAATAAACAGACAGTGGGAATTGAATAGGATATGTAAAGAAGCAAAATGCAAGCGGTTATAATGGCATTATAGGCAGTTGTGGAGCCCATATAAATACAGCCAATAACAGCAACCCAGCAGTTAGACATGATGTGAGCATTGATTGGAGATTTCAAATTGGGATGGACTCGAGACCACCATCTTGAGCCTGGAATACCTCTGTCACGAGAAAAAGACCAGCACAATCGACTTTGCCATGTGTTGCTCGAAATGTTGCAAAACAAACCATTGAAGATTAGCAATGACTCCAACACAATAGCACCGGCTTTGCTCCCAGTGGCTTGATAAAAGATTTCAAGAATAGGCAATGCTGAGTTGACCACTGATTCTCTATCAGTGATGCAAAAAAACATGCTCACGCAGTAAACAAATGCTGTTGAAAATCCTAGGCAAACAGTAGTCATAAGAGTAAAGGGGATTTTTCTTTCTGGCTGATGCACCTCCTCACTCAAATGAGTGGAAGCATCAATTCCGGCAAAACACCATGTAGGGTTAACTAGACCAACAATGAAAGCTATACCTGCAGTCGACCAGCCTGTGCCGTTGGTGAAGTCTTTGAACACAAAAGAAGCAGATTCAAAACTGCCAGAGGAACACGAAAGACATGTTATCAAAGATACAGTAAAGGCTGTCAACGATCCACATAGTGCAATTGTGGTGAAGGTTGGTAGCGGCTTGCTCCATAAATTAAACAATGTAACAAACACATTGAACAATTCAAAAGTTAGAAAAATGTGCCAGGTTTCTATTTCGTAATTCGGGTTGTTTAAACTGTACGTTGCAACAATTGCTGTTGAGACAGTTAGTGTGATAGAAGCACTTGTAAAGATCGAGCCAATCCAGCCCACTGTTCCACAAGCAAACGAAAGAAACCTTTTGTATTTGGCTGGGGCTAGTTTAAATGTCCAGTAGTATTGGCCACCAGAGTTTGGATAGGCAGAGATCAATTCACTCAATGTGGCAGCAACACAGAGACTGAAGAAAAAAACAATTATCAATCCATACACAATCAATAGAGGACCTCCAGAGGCAATGCCAATGGACAATGAAGCAGAAACACCAAACCATGAGTTTGCTAGACCAAAGCTCACACCCAACAAGGACAATCTGGAGAAGTTTTTTTTCAAATCAGAAACATAACCCTCTTGGGTGACTTCTTTTTGCGAGATGACAACATCGACCTTTTCCATTTTGATGTATTGTATCGAATTATCAGTTTTGTCTTTTGTTTTATTTTATTCAGTGTGAGACCAAAACAGATAATTTTTGCAGTATTAATACCATTTTATTTCATATTGGGCTTGTTATCTTTGAAAGTTGTGCAGAAATTAAAAATCGATTAAAGTTTCGGAAATGATAAAGTTGATAGACTTATATATAATTATTGAGTGCCCAATTGAAGCAGCATACTGATAAACAAATGAGACTATGATATAACTTGAAGACAGGTATAATACCAATAAAACTAAATAAAACCAGATAAAACTAAATAAAACCAGATAAAACCAGATAATATCAGATAATATCAGATAAACCTATCAAATAAAGTCAGACTAAAGAAATGAGTTTTGGAGTTGTTATCAATGGAAAATCCAAAATCCTTATCGCGGCTAAAATAACTTAAAGCAGTGTACATAGCCGCATTTTGATTGGTTTTCTATCACCACTCCAAAAAGCAAATCCGCAGTTATTATACTATTAAATGAATAATTGTTGAGATTTTATTGGTCAAAACTGTTGGAGAAGTGTTTGCGAGATAAAAAAAAATGCAAATTCACAGAAAAAATCGCTAAAACAACCAAAGTCACTCGTTTATTTCGCTGAACTTGGTGGTGCAGAAACATCAACCGAGTTCTTATTAATTGATCAGATAATAAACCAGTTGAATGAGCCTCAAAATACTATATAAATGACAACCAAACTGGCCTACTGAGCTATGAAATCCATGAAATCCATGAAATTATTTAATCAAACTGATTATTGAATTATCAAGAATCATTGAATAGTTCTGAATTGTTGAGCAGATATGGCTGCTGTTGCTGAAAGGGAATATATTTCACCATCCAAACTTTTTTCAGTGCCTTCGAATAGTGTTAAAAAGCTCAAATTTTACAAAAATGGAAATGAAATTTTGGTTGAACCACCTGAGGTCGATGAGAGGGATGTTGCTATCAAATGTACTTTAGAAGATTTGACGGTCTCTGAGCCAGTCACATCTGAGAAAATTGCTGAAAAGTTAGAGATGTACGGTGGTTGTGTTGTGAAAAATTATCTTTCAAAAGACACTTGCGATCAAATTTTGAAAGACATTGCACCCAGAATCAAAGAAGATAAAGATTGGGATGGACATTTTTTTCCACCAGAAACCAAAAGAGTTACTGGGATGTGTATTAAATCCAAAACATGCGCTGAGTCGTTTATGAATCATCCGTTGAATGTTGATGTGTCGAATAAATTTTTGGGTAGAGAAAATGCATTCTGGATTGGCGACAAGATTGTGACTGGATATTCAAGCCCTCAACACAACTCGTGTATTACATTCAGTATTGGACCGGGAGCGAAAAACCAAGTTCTACACAGAGATGACATGATTCATCACCAAATCAAAAAATCAATGGACAAATATGAATATGGATCAGACTCAGCTCTTGGTACAGTTTTATGTCTATCAGATAAAGCCACCAAGAAAAACGGCACCACCAGATTTATTCCAGGGTCTCACAAATGGGGACATTTTGCAAGACCAAGAGACGAAGACTGTGTTCATGCTGAGATGGAAAAGGGCGATTGTTTTTTTATGTTGGCTTCATGCTACCACGGCGGTTCGGCTAATGTGACAAAAGATGAGTATCGAATTCTAACTATTTTGTTCATGACATTGGGAGTCAACAGACAAGAAGAAAACATTCAAGTTGGAACGGATCTTGATTATTATCGATCATTGAAATTTGAAACATTGAAAACGTTGGGGTTTATTGCTAGTAATCCATTTTTAGGATGGTCTGATTTAAAACAGCCCTATCATATGCTAGATTTGGATTATATTAAGAACATCCAAGAACCAGATGATTTTTATTCGAACAGCTTTACTGTTGCTTGAGTGTAGTAGAATCGGCTTGGGATTCTAATATTTTGATAGCCAATATTCTGTAAACTTTACAAAAATACATATTTATATATATATTCATATACATTTCCAGTTCAGCAAATGCTCGTAATAACAATTTTTGGAAGGGTCTCTGCATGTTGAGTTGTACTGCGCAGATGCTGCATGCATATGCCTACAGACATGTGTATCTAAAAAGTATGCAACCCATCTCTATGGTTTTGGTTCTCGATTCCACTCAAATATAAAAGTTGTATTCTCATGAACAATCCAAATTCATATAAACTAACAATTATCCTCCGTTTGTTTCGTTTGAATAAAAATAATACACCAGAACTGGATATGTCTGCGAATCTCCAAGGTCTCGTTCCTCAAAGTAATCACGATGTTGATAAAAAAATTCCGTTTTGTGTTTTTATTTAATCATCATTTTGCTTTTATTGTTTGAAATGTTTTGATTATTGTCAATAGAATCTATGTGTTATGTAAATTGTAAAGCACAAACAGATAGAAGACTTCTCCTAAGCTATTAGCGATGTTTGTGTTGTTGGAAACATAACCTCAAATTGCCAAAAATGTTTGAGAAAAATGTCCCAAGTTTTAAAAAAACTCGACAACCGTTTTCAATAAACTGCTTACAATACTGAAACTGGTTAATTGTTAGAAAAATTCAAATTATCATCAATTAATCCTCGTGCCCTGTCAATTTCTATTTGATCAATTATATTATCATTCAATTTGAGAACTTTTAAATATTTTAATTTTTCTATATTTTTAAGTTTAAATTTTGGAAATCTGATCCACCAAGTTTAATCTAGTTAAATAAATCAAATTTGAAAAATAAGGAAACTCATTAATATAATTCTGACTGAGATTTAATTTATTCAATTTGGTTAATTTCGACAATCCTTCAACTTTGTTGATGCAATTGCTAGACAAGTCAAGCTCTGTAAGATTAACCAAAGCATCTAAATTTTCAATCTTCACAATTTTTGTATGTGATAGTTCTAAGTTTTTTAAATTTATCAACCCATCTAAATTTTCAATTTTCTTAATTAACCAATTACGTGATAAATCCAAATACTCTAGATTGACCAAATGGTCTAGATTCTCTATTTTTGGGATTGTGTTACGTCTTAGTATCAATTTTTTTAAATTTTTTTGTGTATCTAAGTTTTCAATTCTCTGAATTACCCCATTTGATAAGTTCAAGTATTTTAGATTGATCAATCTGTCTAATCTTCTAACTATTCTAGTCTCTTTATGAGATATTGTTAATCTCTTTAAATTAAATAATTTATCAGCAGTTACAATTTCATCCAGGTAGCGCTGAATAAGTTTGAGTATATTTATAAAAGAAAATACCATAGTTTCTAAAGTAAATTTTTGGATGATGCTATTAGCAAATGTAATAAAATGAAAATCATTATTCAAATTTATTTCAATGAAGCTTTGATAAAAACAATCAATTGAATCATTAAAATGATGATAGTTGATTGTATGTGAATCATGAAATTTGGTATGAGGTGTTTTCAAGACTCCTGACAAACGAGACCAGTCTGGACATCCAAAGTATATGGTGGTATTCTTTAAATATTTTGAGTTACTTGATATCAGCTGTGCAATGTTTCTAATACGAGTCAAATTTGCGTCTTCAAGCAACTCGAAAACATTAACAAAAAACCGAAAATGTTCTATTTTGTTTGGATTCCTTGCTAGTTGGTTGAGAATATCAAAGCTTCTCGTTTTGTCTAGATATTCAAAATACATTCTCCAAACTGTACAAAAATTCAATATATTCAGCTCAAATAGATGCAAATGATTGAAGCGAATCTTTAAAAATTGTTGTTCATTGATAATAGGCAGATCGGTTAGCAATACATCCCTGAATAGTAATGATGATGCTGCAAACGTAATCACATTGCTGTTTGATAAGCTGAATAGCCACAATATATTCATTGGCAATTGATTGAATATTGCCTTGACCAACTCAATAGAAAGCTTGTTAATAGGATATTTCCGTGATTGTATTACTTTAGCTTTATTTGAATCATTGTTGTGATATTGTCTGCAAAACAGTTGATTGATATTCATTGTGTAAAGTGAGTCAAAGCAGTTATTATTTTGTGAATGCAGATTCAGATGAATGGATAGGATAGAAGACAGGTTCTTGACGTATTTATATATCTTCTAAAACCAAATAAAAGCATACTGGAAGACATATTGATGGATAGTTTCTCAGTAAAACAATATTCTGGGTGATATCCCATGCAGATATTGCACATTCAATGAAATCGATAGGGCAATATGGTCCTGATTTCACTTTGTTCAATAAATCATCCATAAATATGAAATGGGTGATTTTCTGTCATTATCATGCTATAAGATAATAGTCAAAGATCTTTAACAATAGGCTGGGTTATCTGATATGATTCCATTATTATCATATATCTTACAGCATTACACCAATTGAATGTTAGTGCTGATTCAGCTCAAGCACCATCATTTCAATAGACTAGCGCTTAATTCTTTTTTGTTATTTATTGCAACTACCACTTTATAACAGTTGCCATCCTGAGAATGCTAATTCAGCAGCTTTTCCAATTACTAGCATACTGTGATACAGACACTTGATCAAAAAAAAAGGATCAACATAAACCAATTCTGCAGAGAGATTGCATTTTACATGCTCTCAGAAATTTTTCAAAAGCCCAACTGTGAGTTTCTTTTTGTAATGAAATAATAAATAAGATAATATCAGCAAAGTAATAGGTGTGATTATTCCAACGAATGTCAATGGAATCAACTGATTATCAATGTTGCTCTTAATGCTTTTGTCATTACTTTTATCATGAAAAATAGAGTATAAAAATAAGACAATCTCCTAATTTCCCAGTTAGAATTCCTTGCATCCTGTTGAAAATCTTTTTTGTAATCTTTATGATTATTTTGAACAATTGATATCAATCAAGCCTGTATTTTGACGTGGAAATTATCCCACCAATTGGAAGAATTGAAAGTCTTCTCTGAAGAGAATCGTCCCGTTCCACTGGCGATAAGTCTTTTGATCGATTATTAGTAATGAAATGAGATTTCTTTCACAGTTCTCGCCTTCGCTGTTATCCTTTCCAATCATCTAAGTATTTGCAATTGGAAAATATGAACAAAGAACCTCCTAGATCGCTAAATAAAGTGAAACATGTTATTCTAGTACTATCTGGAAAAGGTGGTGTTGGCAAGTCGTCTGTCACCACACAGCTTGCCTTGTCACTAGCACATAAAGGGCTTAAAGTGGGTGTTTTAGATATTGATTTGACTGGTCCCTCTATTCCCAGAATGTTTGGCATCGAAAATAACCAAGTACACCAGTCTGTCAATGGATGGGTGCCTGCGTATATTCCAAATACTGGGAACAGGCTCCTGGTTATGTCGATAGGCTTTTTAATCAAAGACAGAGGAAACAGTATTGTGTGGCGAGGGCCCAAAAAGACATCGATGATCAGACAGTTTTTGTCGAACGTTGTTTGGGGGGAATTAGATTATTTGATTATTGACACGCCTCCTGGAACTTCGGATGAGCATATATCGATTGCTGAAGAGCTAAAACTGGCTAAACCCGATGGTGCGATTTTGGTGACAACTCCCCAGCAGATTTCTATAAATGATGTGAAAAAGGAATTTAATTTTTGCGAAAAAGTTGGATTTAAAGTGCTAGGAGTAGTTGAAAATATGAGTGGATATGTTTGTCCACATTGCTCTGAATGTACTAATATTTTTAGTTCTGGCGGTGGTAAATCTTTAGCTGAACAATACAAGATCAACTTTTTGGGATCATTACCAATTGATCCTTCATTCATTGAATTGATTGAAACAAATAACAAAAGTGAAAACCGAAATCAAGTTGATAGTAATAGTGATAAAAATAAAATCATTGAGAAAATTAACAATTTAGATTTGAGAAATAAACAAGTATCATTAATTGACAAATATGTAAATAATTCATTATATCCTCATTTTTCCACAATTGTTGATAATTTATTGAAACACAATATACCACCTCGAACACTATGATAGTAAGAGTTGGGTAAATAAATGAAAATTTATTTAACAACTCACATCAACTAAATTTGATTCAGTCTTAATATATCTAATTGAATTTGTAGTTTTTAATTGTTTTCAATCCACCACTTTATTGAAAAATTGAAATTAAAGATATTCATATGTATCAGAATGCATATACATGTATAAAATGCATACTAGTTCATTTATTAACATCAAAAGGCATTTTGAATTATTTAATTGACAATAATACTCAGTGAAATTTGGTTAGTTTTCTTTTGATTAAAATATTGACTGATATTTATAATTGAAATTAGAGGCTGGATATTGGTTTTATTATTATTTATTTTTTTTTCTTTCATCGAATTTATTTTTTAATATTAGTTCTAGTGATTTAATGCGTTGAGACCACAGTTATGGATTTCAAAGTTTAATTTTTCAATGCACATAAAATTTTTTTTTTAATTTTCATCAAACCCAAATTTAAAAACAAAAATTATGAGAAGCGACTGAATTGAGAAAAGAAAAATTATGAATTGAATTGAATTGGATTGAAATGAGGATTAAGCATGAAAAGAAATCAGCAACTATGAACGAAAATGTATTGAAACTATTTGATGGGAATAGTAATAAAATTGAGGAAAACATCATAAATATAAGAAAATTAACAGGTGGGAAAATTAACATCAAGAGTCTATTAAATGACGAAAATATAACGAATGATTATAAGATAAACATTACAAGAGAGAAATTTGAAAAGACTCGAGATCTGCTATTCAAAATAACTACATTGAATCCATTGCCTATACCATCCACATCATTATCGAGTTTTCAGACAATATCAACAGAAAAAATCAGATTTAATGGAAAAGTAATTGATAACTATATGCATAAATATATGGAAAACGGCGGTACAAATAATGATAATAATAATAGTGACAATAATGATTGTGATAATGATAATAATAATAATAATAATAACAGCAAAGTGATTGATAATCGATTTATTAATAAAAATAATAAGAAATCGAATATTTGCAATTATTCAATCTATGATGAAAGTTTAATCCGATTTCAAACAACGTGTAAAAAAAATAGAGAAATTGAAGAAACATTTCAAAAAATCAAACCCAAATATAAGATCCATAAAAAGAGATCAAAAGTTTTTCAAATGAAGATGAATAATCAGGCAAGAATTGATTTCTATTTGAAAAGTTTAGATTTGTTAATTGAAAAAACCAAGAATAAGAATGTGATTATTTTCAAGTCAAATTTAGAATTGTACTTTGCACTACAAGAGCAAAAACTGTCATCATCAAAGAGAAAGGCAAATAAATCATTCAACTTATCCAATTGTGAGAACGAATATAAAAACGAGATTAATAGCAATAATAATAATAACAATAATAATAATAATAATAATAATAATAACATATGTGAGATTGAAAATTCAATGCATCAGAGAATAGCAGATAATATGAAAATGATATCAGAAAACAATAAATTTTTGGAATTGTTGAACCGATTCAAACAATCAATTGAAAATTTGAATGTAACGTTACTTGAAAATTCAATTAAAAAAGAACAGCGAAAGAGCAGTAACATTGACATAAACTTGGAACTCATTTACAATAACAAGGCACTTAAATTAAACAAAAACGAGGAAAAATTGGCAGTCTGCAAAGTGTACAATATCGATTACAGTTTTTTGTTCAACGTCAAGGCAAAAAAGGACAACCAGTTGGAATTAGCAGACGAGTTGGACATTTACCACGACTATCCAGACTTGGAAATGGTGAACGAGGAGGCCATTGCTGAGTTTGATGAGCGAGGATACATGTTCACTGGCGCCAGCGACGACGAGAGCAGCGAGTGGGAAAGCAGCAAAAACATGAACTATGGTGCAGTGTGTGGCCTCTGGGGTGATCTGGACACAGAAGCAGCAGAAACACCACCAGCAGCAAAAACACATCAAGGAGAAGAAGCAGAGATAGCAGAAGAAGTAGAAACAACAAAAGAAGCACCCACAATGCTGGTTGAGCAGCGATTTCTGTCAGAGCAGGAACATGTGCATGGTATGCACACCAGCTATGTGGGTCTACTCCATGGCTGCGGATTGCTTTCTCGAACAAGCCATTTCAATCGAGGCTCAACAAAATTTTAGCTTTGCTAAATAAGCTTTGGTGATTTGTTCATGTGATTGTGCAAATAAGACAAACCCATTTCAGCATTCAGCACTTTAGATTTCTTTCTCATCTTGTGTTTCATAGATTTATCTCTTCATTTCATTTCTTTTTCCCCTTTTTTTGTCTTTCGATTGTACAGTTTATAAGCTCATTTCTATCCAGTGTTGGTCAATGTCGTCTGAATCCCACACAACTCCAGATTCTAATTTACCTGAATCTGGTTCAAATTCAAATTTAAACCCACAAAATGCAAATATCAATACAAATAAAACTGCTAATGGGGATACCAAAAAAAATAAAAAACAAGTAATTTACAAAGAATCGACTTTTTTTCAGCTTCTTTGGTACGATTTTATTTTGTGGTTATTATCACGTATCTTTGATTGTTTTTTCAGAGAGATTCGTCCAAGAGGTGCTTTTAGAGTTCCCAAGACTGGTCCATTAATTTTTGTTGCTGCTCCTCATGCTAACCAGTTTATTGATCCAGTCATCTTGATGAACCAGGTCAAACAACAATGTGGTCGAAGAATTAGTTTTTTGATTGCTGCAAACTCCTTGAAAAGACTCGTCATTGGGTTTTTAGCTAAATCTGCCCTATCGATTGGTGTGAATAGGCCCCAAGATAACTTGAAATTTGTTAATGGCAAAATTTTCGTGAAAGATTTAGATAATAATCCTACAATAATCACTGGAGTTGACACAGCTTTTACAAAAGATTGCACTATCAAGGGATTAATAGCACTACCGAGTTCTTTAGGCACTGCAGTTATTCAAGAGATTGTATCGGATACCGAGTTAATAATTAAAAAGCCATTTGATTTACGAAAAAACTCAAACAAAATTAGAAATCTATTGACAACCGGCACAACTTTTAAAATCGCTAAAAAGGTTGATCAGAATGTTGTTTATAAAAAAGTATTCAATCATCTATCTCATAATCATTGCATTGGAATCTTTCCTGAAGGTGGATCTCATGATAGAACAACGTTATTGCCATTAAAAGCTGGAGTGGCAATTATGGCATTGGGTGCGATGGCAAATGATGCCAATTGCAATGTTAAAATCATTCCATGTGGAATGAACTATTTCCATCCACATAAATACAGATCAAGAGCAGTTATCGAATTTGGCCATCCAATTGATATACCAAGGGAGTTGGTTGAAAAATATTCAAATTCCGAAACCCATAACGATTCCGTCACTGAATTATTAAAGATTGTATCTGATGGTTTGAAATCTGTTACAGTTGAATGTCCGGATTTTGAGACATTGATGGTTGTCCAAACAGTTCGAAGATTGTACTCGAATAATTTTGCAAACAAATTGCCCTTGCCATTGATTATTGAATTGAATCGGAGATTGGTTAAGGGATACGATCATTTCAAGAAATTAAAACAAGTTGAGATATTGAAAGAAAAGATCTTGGAATACAACAAGCAATTGAACCATTTACACATTCCAGATCATTTGGTTGAAGACGCTAAAATCGACATTCCAAGAAACATGTGTTTATTGATATACAGGTCGATTAAGTTACTGTTATTGGCTATATTGGCATTGCCTGGAACCATTTTATTCTCACCAATTTTCATTGCTACTAAAAAGATATCAAAGAAAAAAGCAGCAGAAGCATTGGCTAATTCGACAGTTAAGATCAAGGCCAATGACGTTATAGCCACATGGAAAATATTGATTTCTATGGTTTTCGCGCCATTGTTGTATACATTTTACGCAACGATTTCAGCGTGGTATTGTTATAAATACCATTTAGATTATTTTCGAAAATGGGGATTAACGTTGGTGTTTATCGGTATTTATTTGTTATCGTGTTTGGTTACATATGCAGCGTTGTATGTTGGGGATCAGGGAATGGATTTGTTCAAGAGTTTAAGGCCGTTATATTTGTCAGTGATTGATCCAATTGAGTTGAACAATTTGAAGTTGTATCGAAAGGAATTGTCAATTGAGATTACTGATTTTATTAATGAGTTTGGGCCTGAGTTGTATCCTGATTTTAATTTATTGGAACAAAGAGATAAGTATTTAAACAAGGGGAATAAGACCAAGAAAGGGGGTGATAAGAATAAGGTAATGGATTCAGATGATGAAGAGGAAGAATTGAAGACAATGGCGTTGCGAAGAAGAAGAGTTGCTAAAAAAAGAAGAGAAGTAGGAAAAGAGAGGTCAGGATCTGTTTCATCGAGCACAGATATTGAAGGAGGATTTAGTATGACTGAGGAATCATCGACCGAGGGATTATCAAGGTTAAATTCTGAAAGTTCGTTATCTGAGTTGGCCATATCGATAGAAAACAGCGGTTTTGAAAGAGTCGGTAATGGTAATGAGAATAATAATAGCGAAAAAGATATGGATAAAAAGAATCTCTTTTCGAAGATAAGCAATAAGATGTATGAAAATAATAGCAAAAATGAAAAGGACTACTATGATGAGGCATATTAATTTGCTAACAGTAGTCCATTTTAGTGAGCAAGATAGTAATCGATAAATGGTTTGTGTAGGTATATATTTGATATGAATTTTTTTTTTTAATAAAATAGTTTAGTATAATATTATGATTATGATTTTTCATTTGATTTGATTTGATTTGATTTGACTTCATTTCATTTCATTGCTTATTTAGTGATTTAGTCTATTTTGAACCCACACCCATTTCCAAGGAGGATTAAAAGGATAATAACCATGAATTTTGGGAAAGATATCTTGAAAATAAAAGTATATATGGCCAATGATAATATCGACAAGGGTGCCTCTCAAGGGCAACTGTCTTAGAAGATGGTTAAAAATGGCGTAAAAAAAGGGCAAGTAGGCAGCACTGAACTCAATGATCCCGAAAAGCTGTAATCTGACATTGGGGTTTCTTCTTGACCAGATATAGATGATGGCTTCCTGCAATTTGGGGCCTAGCTTCGACAAGGGATAGATGAAGGACGAGTAGATGATGAGTAGCACTGAGTTTATGAAGAGTATCCACAAATAGTCTCTGGACCGGGAGATGTTTTCCTCTAGCGACCTGGAGTATCTGACCATGAAGAAGAGAACAAAGAACAAGTCAAAGTTCAAGCTGCCAAAGTAGAAGAAGGTGGTGATAAGACGCCAGTACTGGCTGTTTCTGAAGACTGAGTCGAAGGAGTAGAGCAAGTCCAAGCTGGAGAGAAAACCATACTTCTCCAATGCTGCAAGAGCAACGACGCCAATGGACCAGTATCTGGTGATGGGGGGCACCTCAGTGATAAGTTCGAAGGGAATACGTTCCATGGTGGGCAGCAGAAGAAGCAGAAGAGGCACAGGCAGCAGAAAAAAAGAAGTGTGAGCATCGAGACACGTGATCTCAGAGGCCAACACGGCGATAAGCTCTGTTGGTGGCTAATTTTGATCTTTATCAGCTTCACCAACACCATCAGCATCTTCGCCATCAGCATCTTCTCCATCTGTCTCTCATTCTGCCATGGACATCGAAGAAACACACCTCCACTGCCCCAATTGGACTGACGCCAATGAGGAGATCCTCACTGGGCCCTTCAACTACCTCTACCACCACCCCGGCAAGGACTTCAGGAAGTTCATGGTCGAGTCCTTCAACAAGATCCTCAAGGTCTCCACCAACGACTTGCACAAGATCGAGCAGGTCATCGACATTTTGCACTGCTCCTCGCTCTTGATTGACGACGTCGAGGACGACGCCTTGCTACGAAGAGGCATTCCTGCTGCCCACACTGTTTACGGTGTTCCCATCACCATTAACTCCTCCAACTACATGTACTTCAAGGCCTTTGAGATCTTGAAAACCCTTGCCAACCTCGAGTCCTTTACTGTTTTCAACGAGGAAATGTTGAATCTCCACAGAGGCCAGGGCTTGGACCTCTACTGGCGAGAGACCCTAACCTGTCCCACTGAACCTGAGTACTGTGAAATGGTAATGAACAAAACTGGCGGCTTGTTCAGATTGGCCATCAGACTAATGCTCTCGAATTCTTCAATTGCAAAAGCATATCCCATTGCCTCCTCTCTGCTCATCAAATTAATCAATCTCTTTGGAATAATATACCAGATCAAGGACGACTACCTCAACTTGCAAAGCGATAACTACGAAAACAACAAGGGCTTTTGTGAAGACATCTCCGAAGGCAAATTCTCCTTCATCATCATCCACGCCATTAGATTCAATTTAAACAATAAAGAAGTCATCAGCATTCTCAAACAGAAAACAAAGGATAAATCCCTTAAGATCTACATGCTAAACTATATGCAAAATGTGTCAAATTCTTTCAAATACTGTGAACAAACCTTATCCATCCTCACCAAAAAGGCCGAGTCTCTAATTAACCAAATCGAAATCGAATTTCAAATCACCGATAGATCAATCACCTCAGATTTATATCTAATCTTGAAAAAACTAGCTTCAATTTGATCTGCCTCCCAGCTAATTCTTTTACTCGACCCTTTTTTTCTTACTCTGTATACCATATATATGTTTTTTTTCTTTTCTTTTCTTTTCTTTTCTTTTCACTCTATTTTACATTTGGGTGCTAATTATTGGTTTTGTATTTTATTCTCTCACAGCTCTTTGCTCATTGCTCATTACCCACTATTTATTTCTACTTCTACTTTTATTCACCTTAATCTACCTCTAACTTAATCGCAATAAATAATACCATGTAATACTGCATTGTAAGATTAACATATCCCATCTCACTCCTTTCTCTTTAAACTTTCTTAGAACATATATACTCCATCCCAACTCTTTCAAATTTTATTTTTTTACTCATGTTCCATCCCAACTTCTTTTCCATTCATTCCTCTTCTTCTCCTTCTTTATCTACCACTTATTGTATATTATAGTCATTGCGTATTTGTCCATTTTCTCACTAATCCGCTAGTTCACTTTTATTCAGCACATCCCAAAAGATGTCCAATAATAAAAATCAAGATCAAACTCAAGACCAAAGTCAAAATGAAATTAATTCTGATCAAAACACTTCCTACTACAACAACTACTTTTCAAACGTCCAGCAAAACCAGTTCCAAACCTACAATAATCTCTTCTACCAAAACCAATACTTCTTTGACAACCAAACTCCCTCTGACTTTCAACAAATATCTTCAGATTTTAACCAATCCTCCTCAGAATACCAACAACTCCACAACCATTTGAATCCCAATAATAATCTATCCTCCCCTCAAAATTTAATTGCTCATAAACCACCATCTCATTCAAACGATTCAATAATAATATCTCCTCCGCAACACTCAAATTTTACTAAAAATTTTCAAATTAAAAATAACCCTAATAAAGACAATCTCAATAAAGACAATCCGAAAACCCCCCAAACAATTTCTTCTCCCTCAAATTCAATCAAAAAAAAAAAAAAAATAATCAGAAAAAGATCATCCACTGCTTGCCAAACTTGCAGATTAAAAAAAATCAAATGTGATAATGAAAAACCTCAATGTGGCTCTTGCAAAAAATTAGCTGATAAAGGGTTCAAAATTACCTGTATATATAATGATAGTGACATGACTAAAAACTACTCTACTTTCGACCATGCAACTTTGAATATTTTAACTAAAATTCAAAAAATAGTCGACATCTATAAAGAAAATGAAAAAATAAACAAAAATATCCTTCAAAGTAATGAATTAATTTTAGACACCTTTGGTGGTTTGAAAAATCTAAACGCTCTAGAGAAATTATTGAAATTCTTAAATGATTTGCAAAATCTAGACTTACCACAGGCTGAAGATCAACTAAAAACAAATCTTCTGAATAACAACAATAGAAATAATAGCAACAAAACAATTATTGAATCTCGCAACGAAATTGAAATTGGAAATGAAATTTTAACCAAAAATTCTTTCATGTCCTTTAATTGGGACTCAAGCCCAGAAAAATTACTAAACTGGCCAATTATTTATAACAATTTTAACATTTACAATTTTAATTTATTAAATTTTTTATTAAAAGAGTCAAAAGAAAAAAAACCAGAATATATTATAAATTTTAATAGAGATTTTTCCTTCATACCTAATCAAAATAACTCTATTGAAGAAACTTCTACAACTGAAAATTTCAAGAAAACTGAAAATTCAAATGACCTCTTTATTTTAAAAGAAAATTTGCCAAATCTAATCTTTCATAATTTCAACAAAATACTAAATTTAGAACCCATTTTCTTCAAATATCTTAAATTTTGGGTAATGCAGTTTTTAAAAAATGTCCACTCAAAGAATCCCTTCTTGAATAGTTCAAAACTAATCAACAGCTGTAACTATTTGTTAAAAAATTATTTGGACTTTATAAACAAATATAATCCTAAAACTTATGATCATTTTTTAGATGAAATACCGAGATCAAAAAATGAAAGCAAGATTTTTAACATCAACTACAAAACTGAACTTCCCATATTGGCAGAAAAATATAGATGTTCCACAAGTTTTCTTCTTGTCAATCATAATTACTGTTATGGTAATTCAAGTTCAAATCCCATCTACATAAACCACATTGCAAAATCTAATTCTGACTATAACAAGAGAAACTATTACTCATTGCCGGTTTTGATGATGTGCTGCTCTCTAGCTTTATTATCAATAGGTGTGGATTCTGATGTTTATAACTACACAAGATTTGTATCTTCTTTAATCGAAAGAGATTATCATGGAAGGTTGGAGTTGAGCTATCAACTATTCCAATTAGCTCAACAGTTTCAAACATTACTGAACAACAATTTAAATTCAAATCAGTTTCAAAATTCAACACAAAAAACCGAAAGTTTCATTGAAAGTTTAGGTGCAGGCTATGACTATAACCTATATTCCAACATTGAGTTCAATATACTATCTGGAATGCATAAATTATATATAATGAAACCATTAGATGCCTGGAAGTTTTTTCTGAGAGCAAGTGAAACATTAATTGAAATCTTGGAATTTGAAAAAAATAATGAAAAATTCAAGAAAAAAGTTTTGTTGGAATTATTTCAAGGCAACTTTATTGATAACGAAACTTTCAACAAAATAACTCAAAAAATTCAAATGGATAATCAGCAAAATCAAATTTTAAAAGAAAGATTATATTGGTCTTGCATAATGAATGAATGCGAATTTAGAACAGCATTATCACCCTTTGTCGCAACATCTGGTATTGTGAATTTTCAATTTTCAACAGATTATTACAATTTAATTCAAAAAAGCGAAAAAAGTATAAGTTTAGACTTGAATTACAATGAAGAAAATGATTGGATCACATATGTAATTGATATTCACTATAGAAATATTGAAAATAAGATTTTAGAGGAGTTTAATAATAGCGACAAGTTTACTCTAGAACAATTCATTTTCAAAATCAAAAATTATCGATTAGAATTGAGTTCTACAAAACTAAAGATCAAGTTTAAGCATACTTTTCAATTGCAATCAAATAAAAAGATCGAATTCAGGCGTCATTTGATTAACCTTTATCTCTACCAACCTATCTTGTATCATTTAGCTGCCAATGAGAAATTTTTGCAAAGAAATGACTTTAAGAGTTTTGAAGATATCCCATTTAAAGAAGATATTTTTGTTTTCATAAAAGATCTAGTCGACTCCATTTTCAACATTTATGATTTGAAGATAAATACATCAAGACATCAAGAATCCTGGTATATGAATAGATATTTATTTTTATCATCAATCGAAATACTTATTATTTTTAAAATGTTTGGGGAATTTTTTTTCCAAAAACAAAAACTTGTTGAATTTATTGTCAATTGTATTAAAATTTTCAACTACTGGAAAGATGAGTGCCAGGAGTTTGAAAGTTATCATGATTTAGTGGAAGGCATTTTTACTAAATTTGAGCTGGAATTTTCCAATAAAATCTAAAAATTTTATATTAATATATCAAATCAATTGATTGTTATTCCAACACAATAAAAGCAATATATTAAAGTGAATGTGGGTTAAAGCTCACTTTCAAAATGACTGCTAAGAATTTTAAAGCAAAAGGAAATAGTTTGGAAATAGTTTGGAACTACTAGGTACTATTAGGTAATTATTTATTAGTATATCATTTTCTTTCAAGATATGATTATAAGTAGAAAGTGTGCTAACTAAAGTAGGTTTTTAACAAAGGATAATAAAAAAAACAAATAACATTAGAATATTTTAAAGCTTTTTATTAATTTTTTTTAGAAAAAAGGAAAGAAAGAACGTGAAAGCAGACAAGGGAAATGAAATAACAAATTATTAAAGTCAGATAATCATCAATAATGAATACCATCAAAAATTTAAAAAAATTGAATTAATAATAATTTTCAGTATGATAATACCTGGATGTTTTGAAGCAAATGAATTTTGGTTATAATAAAAGCGAATGAAATGCAATGAGATAACTGGAAAACAAAAAAAATTAGTAATTAAAAATATTGAGCTATTGAGATAATATCTTATATTTTTGAATTAATCTGATTTGGTAAAATATTAGAAGAACTATTTGGCGTTATTATCAGAAAAATCAGTACTTGTTGATTGGTCACTGATTGAACTTCTGGTAAAAGAACTGGGAATGCTCATAACATTGCATTTTGAATACTTTTTTAAGAGCTCAATTTTTTTTTCTTCCTCTTTTTTTTTTTCCAACTCTTTTCTAATTTTCTTATTGTATCTGCTATTTTGATTTTTGTGACAGAGATTGATGTGTCTAGTTAATGAATCTTTTCTTCCTAATGTGTTTTTACAAATTGGACAAATATTTACTTTTGTCTTTTTGATAGTAGCATGACTCAAGGCAATTTGTATATCCTTTTGCTCCAATTCTTGAAGGCTTTCGGTATTGTTTGCATTTGGAAGTTTATAACCATGGCTCTCTGCATGTCTTCTGAGGTCTGCTCTTCTTGGTAATCCAATAAATCGATATGGACAAGTTGCCTCTGGACATTTATGTGGTCTTTCAATGCCAAACTCATCAAGGTGTTTAGCAAAATCAGCCTGTGTCAAAAAAGAAAGATCACAATGAGTACACTTATAAGCACCTTTTTTGATTTTGAACTTGTTGGCTAAATCCCAGATTTTTGGATGTTCTCTCATTAGTTGGACGATGGTTTTCTTTTTTGTTGGGGGTTTTTGATTTTCGTCAGTGATGTGTAATTTAGAAGCATTTGGAAGAATATTTTTTCGATATTGAAATGACATTGGATAGAATTGATCAGCTGTGTATATGCTATTCGATGGTATTGGTGCTTGACACATTGTAAAGCTTCCAGTCAGATTTGATGATCGATAATTCATATTGTTATTGGAAATTGAAGGAGAAGTTGAATCAAAAGGTGTATTATAGAAAGTGTTTGAGTTTGAATTAAAAGATGCATTATTGAAAGTGTTTGGAGTTGAGTTGAAAGGTGTATTGTTGAAAGTGTTTGGGGTTGGGTTCAGAGACGTATTAAGATCGTTTGAGTTTGCAATAATATCTTCGGTGTTTTGATATGTTCTCATCACTTGGGTAGGAGAATAAGCCATTTGAAATGAGTTATTATTGATTACTGATTCAGGATCATTGATTGCTGATTCAGGATCATTAATTGTTGATTCAGGATCATTAATTGCTGCTTCAGGATCATTGACTGCTGCTTCAGGATCATTGATTGGGTTGATACTGTTTGTTTGAGGAATTTGAGGAATAGAATTATTGAAATTTAGTTGGTAATTGTTAAGAGTTTTCATGTTATCCATCTGTGCAATGTTGATATTACTGTTTAAGTTATTCATTATGAAATTATCATGAAAGATATTATCAGAAAACGAATTGAAATTGGGTTGACTTTTAGACAAATACTGATAAACATTATTAGATAGATTTGGATTCAAAATTGCATTTGTTCTCAAATTATCTAAAGGAGTTATTGGGGAGAAAGTGTTGTTTCTTAGATCTTCTTGACCAGAAACAGGAGAAAAGATATTACTGCTTATGCCATAACTTAATGGAGTGGATGCATTGCTAGACGATGCAGGAGAGTCTATGAATGAAGCTGGTGAAATCCAGTTTGATGTGAAAGACAGAATAAGGTTATTTGAGAAATTTGGGTTCAAATAGTTTGGCTGGGGATAGTTTGTGATATCGAGATTATTTTCATTAAAACCCAAGCTTTGTTGTGAATTGTTAAAATTTTGCAAGTGTAATAATGCTGCTTCATCATTTATTAGCAAATCCTCAATCAGATAATTATTATCTAGTTTATTATCATTTAGGAAATTTTCATTCATTATGTTCATTATGAATTATTAGTTACTATAAATAATAAGCTTGGGGTTTTTTGTTCAAGAAAAGTAAAAGGTGTTGAAATAAAATATATATCAAAATTTTTGAAATAAAATAATATTTTCTTTTAGCTGTGAAGAAAATGATAAATTTATATAAAAAATCTACTACTTATGAATAAGGAAAATAAAAATATCTACATAGTATAAAGGAAAAACAAATTTAAAAAGATAAGAAAAATCTTTCAAAGTTGAAACATGAAAGCTGTATCAATTCATAGCAAAAAAGAAATAATGTATCAGAAAATTAAAACACATTCACTAAAAAGAAAGAACTTGAGGGTAGAGTTAAAATAGGGTTTTATAATGTTTAACAGATGAGATTAACAAAAAAGAAAACCAAAGGAAAAATCATAAATTCATGCACTGGTAAGTTTCAAAAGTGTAAAGAAAACATACTAAAAGTGAGCTGAAGCAAAAAATTTGTTTTAAAATCACAAAATTCGAAACTTGATTAACAAAAGTCAACATTTATAGAAATTACAAGAATACATCAACCAAACCAGTAAATTGGGAATTCTATTTTAACCAAAATGAATACTGAGTAATCCAGCTGTATTTTTCAAATTGAAAAAATCAATATCGAAACTTGGGCAAATCTTCATAGCTCTCGATTAAAGACATGTACATTGAAAATAAGTAAGTGATATTAGTGGTTAAATAAGTGATAAGGTTTTGAATTTAAATAGCTATTTGATTTGTTTTTGTGCTTTTCTTTTTTTTATTAGTTTCAGTTTTTTTGGTCTTTTTCCTGGATATACTGAAAAGCAATTTACTTTTTTTAAGCAAACGTGCTATTCATTTTCTTTTTTCAATTACTGTTATATATTCATTTTATCACGCCTATAGTTATTTCTTTTGGAAGATTTTTTCTTTTCATTCCATTCGTTTACTCCTTTTTTGTTTTTTTTTTGCTTTTTGATTTTTGCAAGTTAGTTTTGAGCAAAATTGAAAAGAAAAGCATCCAAATTTCTTGCAAATATTAATTAATCTTCTTTTATTTATACGAATTGATTGGCGAACAATCTGAACAAAAAATAAATATTATCAAGTGCTAGTGTGTTAAATTGGATATGCTATTGTGTTAGATTGAATATGCTATTGTGTTTGATAATTTCCTATTCATCTGATTAGGAGAGTCAATTTAATAGAGCAAATGTGTTGACATTATCAGGAAAACACCATACTTTGTCTGAAAACGGCAAATACAGGATCCCATCATAGCAAATTTTCAGTTTGAGATTGCAAAAATTCGAAACTCTGTCCATGACTGCTTTTAAACGCTTTTTAAACTTTTTCCACATGTTTTAAACACTCGATTTGTTTGATGCTAAAACCAACGAGCCCAAACTAATCCAAAAACGATTTGGTGAGAAACATCTGCATCTCCACTTGAATAATCAATCAACTGGGCAACATTTGTGATACTTTCTTAAGGATACCGAATTCTAAAAATAAACTGAAGCTGCTGCTAATGTCAGCTAGCTGAGATCTGTCAGTTTCAGGTTTTTCAAGGTTGTCAAGTTCTTTGTCAGAACAAAAAAACAGAAAAAACAGCTTCGACAACAGAAAAAAATGCTGCTCTTTCTTCCAAACCAGAGCAGCCAATCAGGTCCCAGCAAAATAACAGAACCCAGGCCCACTCCAATGGTTTGTATCCGTGAAGCTGGCTACTGCATATGAGTACGCTTCAAACACATGCTATTGCATCAATGTGGAACATCATTTCACGTGATAACGAGAAAGTGTGAAGACAAATTTTGTGTTCTGTGGGGAGCTCCATATATAACTTGCATGTCTGTGAGAAATCTGAAATACAGGGCCTTTTTCTGGAGCTATACTGTTCAACTGCTTTCAACATGTCTCAAGCTTTACCTCATTTATCTGAAAATGCTCTCGATTTAATTGGAAACACTCCAATTGTCAAATTAAACAAAATTCCCCAGAGCTTAGGTTTGAAACCTCAAGTCTATGCCAAATGCGAATATTTCAATGCCGGTGGGTCTGTCAAGGACAGAATTGCCAAAAAAATGGTCGAAGAAGCTGAAGCCAGCGGTTTAATCAAACCAGGCTACACTCTTATCGAACCAACCTCCGGTAACACTGGTATTGGTTTAGCCTTATTGGGCGCCATTAAAGGTTACAGAACAATTATCACCTTGCCTGAAAAAATGTCGAAAGAAAAAGTTTCGGTTTTGAAAGCTTTGGGAGCTGAAATTGTTAGAACCCCAACTGAAGCTGCCTGGGATTCACCTGAATCGCATATTGGTGTTGCCAAAAAATTGAATAATGAAATCAAAAATTCCGTTATTTTAAATCAATACACCAACCCAAATAACCCATTAGCTCATTATGAATCTACAGGTTATGAGATTTACAAGCAAACCGATGGTAAATTGACTGCGTTAGTGGCTGGTGCTGGAACTGGTGGTACTATTACTGGTATCGCTAAATACTTGAAATCAAAGAATCCAGATATCCAAGTTGTAGGCGCTGATCCAAAAGGTTCAATTTTAGCCTTACCTGAATCCCTAAACAATACCAACGATTCTGCTGTCTATCAAGTTGAAGGTATCGGTTATGATTTTGTCCCCGATGTTTTAGACAGATCTGTGATTGATACATGGTATAAAACTGAAGATACTGAGTCATTTTACTTAGCCAGAAGATTGATCAAAGAAGAAGGTTTGCTAGTTGGTGGTTCCTCTGGTAGCGCTCTAGCTGCTGCAATCAGATATATTGTTGACACTCCTTCCTTGACTGAAGACGATATAATCGTTGTTGTGTTACCTGATAGCATCAGATCCTATTTGAACAAATTTGTTGATGATGACTGGTTGAAAATCAATGGTTTCAATAACCTTGATGAATACGATGTACTTAATCACACTTCAAAGAAATCCGATGGCCATAAAAGCAAAGGTGAAGCGACTATTAAAGATTTGAATTTAAAGTCTGTTATATCAATTAAAAGTGGCGCTAACATAGTCGATGCTATCAAGATCTTGAAGGAAAACAGTTTTGATCAAATTCCGGTTTTACAAGATAATAAATTAGTTGGTTTAATTACTTTAGGTAACATATTAAGTAAATTATCTTCCAAAAAGATCCAACTTAATGATTTAGTTGAAAAAGTTATGTTTGATTTCAGAAATTTGACTGGCTATTTTACAAATGAACACGACATTTTAAAGAAAAAGAAAAGAAGTTTCCAAGTATTCAGTGAAAATACCAAATTAACTGATTTAGACAAGTTTTTCGAACACAATTCTTGTGCTATCGTAACTGATGAGTCTTTAAAACCTGTTCACATAGTCACAAAAGTTGATTTGCTCTCCTACTATGTTGAAGAAGGATTATTTTAATTTCTATCAAAGTACATGAAAATAAATGGAAATAAATAGAAACAAAAACAATAACCAAAAGGTTATTCATTTTTTTTTGTTTTTTAGTTGATTGTTTTTTTCCAATTTTAATTATTTTGGTTTTCAAATATATATAGAACATATAACTTTTTAAAAAAAATTACTGATAAATTTTAATAGAATTCACTACAACTGGTTTTTATCTGTTTTTTATTTATATACTATTGTTATGAACTCTTTGAGCTACTTCCCAGTTTATTTTTCTAACGATTTTATCATACAATATGACCTCTAAACATTCATATTTCCAATATTCAAAAACTTTCAATGCAACGGAAATATGTTCATTTAGCTCCTTTTCTGTAAAAAAAAATTCCTTAAACTTAACAAATAAAATTAATAGTTGGATGCAACTTGAATATATTTCTCTAATTCTATACCAAGAACCATGATGTCTATGGGTCATTAAACTTAGGTCTGAATACTTGAATAATTCATTTGAAAGATCTTTCAACATCTCCATCATAACGGAATTTTCCTCTATGGTTTCCTTGATTTTTTCTTTGTCTAGATTTGAAACATAGTATAGTAGAGGTTGATATAAAATCGACTTTATTGACATAATTCTTGCAAATATAAAAGTGACTGGTTCGGGAAGATTGAGAGAACTATACTCTTTGCTTGCTGATGTTTTATACATGGCTTCATATTTGGAGTTTTTAGTAACAAGATCGATTTCTTCTAAAAATAACAGTATTTTATCAATTAAAATTAAACCATCAGAGCTATTTTCGACATTGAAAGATTTCCATAACTTCAACTTATCTTTTAAAAAGTAATAATTTAATATTCTATTCTCAATTCTTCTAAAGGAAACATCCGCTAAATACGAGAACCAGCTCGCTTCAGCGATATCAAAATTGCTCCCATTGTCATTTATTATTAAAGGAGGAGTAGGAAAATTTTTAGGCGGTTTATAGCTGATTATATAGGAGCAGGAGTAAAAGGGAGAAATTTGAACTTTTATTTCACACTCATTTTTAAGACAAGTCCAATATAAACATTCAATCAACCTTTTGTCCTCAATTGTCTTTTTGCTGTTGCTATTTATTTCATTCTCTGGATTATATTCATAAATATTTTTGTAGCTATTATTGTTATAATTTTTCTCAATTTCAAGAAATAAGATTAATGAATTTGATGCTCTTTTGAAATATTTCCAAGCTTTTAGTGGTTTCATCAAATACATGTTGTACATTGCTCTTAGAACATTAAACTGTACACTCCATAATGAATTATCTCCATAATGATTGCTGTTATTTGTGAAAAACAATTTCATTTGGTTTTCATTATTGCTATCATCAATTGAACAATGATCTCCAACCGAAGTAATAAAATTGTTTTTCAAAATAAAATGAAACTGTTTTGATAGAGTGAATATTTTAAAACTGAGATCCGATTTGATTCCATCATTTTTTTGTAATAAGGAATTTCCATTGAAACTGGTATAATTATTTGGTTTTCTATTATTGTAATCAACAGCTAAAAGTGTTAAAGAACAACAAATTAAAATTACTGGTAGGGGTGTTAGCTCTGAATTATAATTACAGTTTGTTAGTAAAAAACTTTTTTTAAATTTTGAGGTTTTATTTATAATAGTTAAATAATCTGAGTTTAAAAAGACTTCACTATAGTTGATTGAATCAAAGTTAGTATTAATTAATTTATCAAAAAATTTTATGTGATTAAAATCGATTTTATTTTCAGATAAAAAATTTATATACTTTTGCTTTAAATAAAAGGCAGTATTAAGCAATTTTGATGAATTTAAAAAAGGGTTTTTAGGATAAACGTCGTTTAAAAATTTTTTAATCCACAAGTCTAAAAATTTGAAAATAATTGGTTCCAAGTGTATTAGACTAGATAAATTTTCTTGATTTAAGTAGGATAAATCAGATAAGTAAATTTTTTCCTTTTTAAATTCATTACTAAATTTTGAATCGATTTTAATTGAATTTGGATTTATATTGTTTTGAGTGATATTGTTTGATTCAAATGAAGATGAAGGAAAATTTGAATTAAAAATAACTGAAGAGGAAGAAAAAGAAGAAGAAAAAGGTAATGATGAGTTAATCAGTGGAGGATTTTGAATTGAATTCTCAAAAGAACTAAAAAGAGAAGAATTATAATTGTTTATAAGCTGATTTTTGTATGGGATATTAATCGAAGTATTTGGAGTGAAAATAGATTTATTAAAGTCATCCAAGTGAAGTAGTGAAACTATATTTTGAATTAAATGGTATCTTTGATCATTTTCTAAAGAAATGATATTTGGGTTATTTTGGTAGTTGAGGTTGTTAGATAAGTATTTATAGTGAGGATAAATTATATCGTAATTGTTTTTTTTTTCGTTATATATGTAAGAATTTTTGTTATTGATTGTATAGTTGATTGATATGTTATTTAGTCTATTTAATATTAGGTTAATGTTGGGTAAGTTTTGGAAATAATTGTTAAAAATTGGCCAAGTGGAGAGAATTGATTCAACAGAAGTGTTCCAGTAGCCAGGTTTTTGAATCTGTTGATTTAGTTGGTAGTCTTCGTATTCGTCATCATATTCGTCGTTTGTTTCATTATCGTTGTCAATATCAGATTCAATGTCTGTATCGATATCTATATCAGAGTCATAAATAATGTCGTTATCGTTGTTGTCACTGGAATTTTTGTATAAGCTTTTATAGGTATTTTTAATGATATTGTTGTTAATAATATTGTTACTGTTACTGTTAATGTTGTTGTTGTTGTTATTGTTGTTGTTGTTGTTGTTGGTATTATTATTGTTACTTGAAATTGAGAATTTTGAATTTTGTAGGTTATATTTATTGAAATGTTGTAATTTTAAGAGGATTTTATCAAAGTTTATTAGTTCTAAAGAGTTTATAATGTTGTTGAATTTTTGTTTAATCATGTCTTGGTTGTTTGAGTTGATGTTTTGAGAAATGGGATTCAAGAAGTTATGGATACTAAGAGGATTTGAGGATTTCTGGTTTGACGAGATTTTATTATTTGGACCATTTAGATTGAAATTTAAATCTGGATATGAGTTTGAAGTTGAAATTGAAGTTGAAGTTGAAGTTGAAGTTAAAGTTAAAGTTGAAGTTAAAGTTGATGTTGATGTTGATGTCGAAGCTGAGTTGAATTTATTATTGTTGGAAATAATTAAATTTGATAGATCATTTAATTTATTCAAAATTGTTTGACTTGCAGGATCAAAAGTTTTAAACAAGTTATTTTCTTGGTCGAAATCATTAGGATTATCAGGGTTATCAGAATTAATACGGCTATTAGGATTATTGGAATTATTTATTTTTTTAATCGAAGCATCTCTATATATACAGTCGACTTTCACGCCACTTAGGATATATTTTGATTGTAATTTTTGGCAAGAGCCACAAGTTGGTCTAACGTTATCGCATTTTATTTTTTTGATTCTGCAGGATTCGCAGGCAGTTAGTGCTCTCTTCCTTGGATACGTTGTAAGTAGCCTGGATAAATTAGATGTATTTGGTGGTTGTCTTGTTCTTGAGTTTGATTTCAGAATTGAATTCAGTTTCTGGCTCAGATCCAGAATCAGGTTCAATCTTGATCTTGGTTTTTTTGATTTTGATTTTGGTTTTGAAATAGAAGCAACTGCAGTTAAACCCGAAGCAGAAAGTGGAACAGCTTTTGTCAAAGAAGAGGAAAATGGTTTTGAAAAAACAGCAGGAACCGGAGATAGCGTTTCTGAGAGCAGTGGTTCTAGGTGTTTCGTTACAGCATCATGTTGATGCTTACCAGACGAAGATGTGAAATTTGGAGGATGTGAAGAGGAGGAGGAGGAGGAAGCAACTGAAGAAGGAACCGAAGAGACGACTGAAGAAGTGACTGAAGAAGTGACTGAAGAAGCAGCAGTGGAAGGAGTCACTGTTGATGAGGAGCCAGTGGGAGAGGTTGTGGCTGAAACAACATTTCCAAAGTAATCTTCTCTGTTGTTGTTGGTACTGCTCATGCTCTAACCATAGTTGTTTTCAGAGAGTGTGGACGCATCGATAGGAGTGGTTGAAGAAGCAGATTTTGAGGTGAGGAAGCATTTTCAGCAAAAAAGAAAGAATAAACACCAGGCAGCGTTTATGCAGGATGACGCGATATACGCAATACAACATATGGAACCACTAAAGAGGGACTCACCAACAAAGCGGGGCTTTCCACGCCTGCGGGTGCTCTGATTTATAAAATCACACGTGCTCTATGTCTTACCTAATCACACGCCACTCTCACCTGACCGTGTGCAGCACCACCAAGAGAACATCACCACCTCTCCTGCTGCTGTTGAGGAACAACAAGCAAAGAATACCCTGCTTTAGTCGTCACAACAGTTAAGGGTAACTCGCCATGGCCCACCACAAAGAATCGCATCTCAGTGCCAACGCTCTTGAAGACGCTTCTGCTGCTGCTGCTGCTCGTTTGCACGCTGCTTCTGCCGCCACTTCTTCTCTGGCTGCTGCTGCTGTTGCTGTTTCAGACGTCCACTCCTCTCCGCCAGCTGCCAAAGGCGTTGTTTCCAATGTTTCTTCCACTGATACCTCTTCCTCCATGACTGAGAAGGACCTCGAGGATGCTGTTTTCAGGCTTGTTGGTGGCACTTTGGACACTAGCTCCAACAACCCCATTGCCAGTTCCAACCACTCCAAAATCGACTTGGAGAGCCCAATAAAGATCAAGCTTCAGGATTCCGAAAAGCACAACCTCAGCTTAAGCGCCCAGCTTGGGTCAAAGTCTACTGACGGCTCCAAAGTTATCGACCATTTCAATTCACTAAATGACAGCTGTAATCTCAACAACAATAAAGTTATCAATGGTAGTAATCTCGATTCTAACCACAACCCCGATGTTGATCTTGATGGCGAAACGAATGTTGGGGCTGACAACTTGAATGTAAATTTTTCTCACTCAACCACCGTCAATGAAAGTATTAATAACAACATCAATGACAATATCAATTTCCAACAAACATATCAAAACGAATCCATTGATCCAAATCATCAATTGAATAATACTGCAACAAGTAATAACCAATACAATGACAAAAGAAAACTCGAAGAGTTCAATGATTGGGCTTCCTCTTTAATAAACTTGAATAATCCATCAAAGAGAGTCAGGTTAAACAATAAAAACATCCAGAATAATCCTACGATTAATAAAAGCAACAACAACATCAATAATAATAATAATAATAATGATAATAATAATAGTAATACTAATAATAATAGTAATACTAATAATACTGATAATCTTAATAATGATAATACTGACAATAACAACAATAACTCCAATGATACCATTAATAACTCTAACAACGTTGACATTAACATTAATAATGATAATAATAATGATAATAATAATGACAATAATAATGACAATAATAATGACAATAATAATGACAATAATATTGACAATAATATTGACTCTAAAATATTATCTCATAATGATCCAAATCAAAATTTCGACCCAGAACTAGCAAATTTAACTAGTTTGGCCACCGTTACAAAACCAGCAAACAATGAAAATAAAAATATTAATAGTAACAACGGTAATGAACTTAATAATAACAATAATACCAACACTACTAACAATAATCAACTGGATAATACTAACCCCCAACTGGATAATGCCAACACACAACTGGATACCAATCTCATAGATTCAAAATCACTCGTTCATACTTCAAACAACCAAACAGTTCTTAACCAAACCGAATTAGTTCAAGCAATTAACGATGCAAGAGAACTAGCCTCTCAATTAAACCATCAATTCAATGATCACGACAATAATTATAATAACAACGATAATAACAATAACTTCAATCCCAATGATAATAACTACAATAATCATCAATCAGTCGATAAGTCAAACATCCAAAATCAAATCCAATCCCAAATCCAAAACCAAATTCAAAACTCAAATGACCACACTCTTGATCCAGAAATCACTGATCAGCTTCTATTATCTGCTGCCGCTGCCGCTGCCGAATCCTCAGTTACTTCACACGAACAAGAAACTTTTTTTGCTCAAGCTGTTTTAAATAACTCTTCAACAAGACATTCAAGAATGTTCACACCAGAAGAATGTTTCGCCATTGATAGATTTATCTTTGCCTACTGCTCTTATAACAACATAACTAAAGAGGATATTTGCCAAAGAATCTGGTCAAATGATAGGAAAAAGGATAAATTCTGGGACTCCCTACATAAAGTTTTGCCTCAAAGAACTAGAGCTTCTATCTATAAACATGTTAGAAGACAATACCACATTTTCGAAGCAAGAGGTAAATGGACTCCAGAACAAGATAAACAGCTAGCCACATTAGCTGCTGAAAAAGATGGTCAATGGAAAGTTATCGGTCAAATCATGAAAAGAATGCCCGAAGATTGCAGAGATCGTTGGAGAAATTATGTTAAATGTGGAGCAAATAGAGCTCAAAATAAATGGTCAAAGGAAGAAGAAGATCAACTAAAACAAATCATCGATGACATCTTTAACGCTGATGAAGTAAATTCTGGTATAAATTGGACTGTCATATCTGAAAGAATGGGTGGTAGAAGGTCGAGAATTCAATGCCGTTATAAATATAATAAATTGTTGAAAAGAGAAAGCGTTGAAAGATCAAAACTTATTGGAGATAATGATAAAGTTTGGTTATTAACTCGATTAAAGGAATTAGGTTTCACATCTGATAACCAAATTGACTGGGATGCTTTAGCATCATTACACCCAAAGAGTTACTGGACTGGATCTGATTTCAAATATTGCTATGAAAGAGCAAGAATGGTGATTAGAGATTATAAGAAAAAACGAGTTGATGAAATTTGTAGTAATATTTTGGAAGAAATTTATCATATAAAATGAACTAAGCTTAATTTGTTTAATAGTTTATTTGGATAATTGTTGTTTTTGTTTAATATTTTTTTTTAATTTTTTTTATTAATTTTACATTGATATGAATTTATTCATTACGTATTGTAGTGGTTATAAGATTTAAAGTAATGTTATATTTGAGTTGAGAATATATATATATAAGAAAAAAAACAAAAAATAGTGAAAACAAGAGATAATCTAAGAAAGAAAGAAAAAGAAAAAAAAGTCAGTTCAGATGAAAGATAAATACTAACGACCAAAATATTTAAGTTCAAAAGGACGAACAATGTTGAAACCGACAAAAGAAAAACTCATACCCAATTCAAAACCGATATCACCACCAAAATCACCAATTTTTCCAGCCAAAACACCTTGATACCAGGTTTGGTTCATACCTAAGATAACACCAGCAAGACCACAGAAGAAACCAATAGTACCAGCAATACCAATTGGTAATTTTGATTTGTCCAAATAATCATCGACATTATAGCCTTTGAAACCCCTTCTATAGATGACATGTTCAGAGATACTCATGCCGATATAGATGGATAAGTAATAGCCAATCATGTTCATAAAATTGTGCATAACACTTGAAAATTCATAATAAGCAGGGATACAAATAGCTAGAGTGATAAAATTACCAAACAAAGTCCAAAAGGCTCTTGGAATGACTTTGAATTTTGACCAAAGGGCTTGAGCAGACATTGCAATGGAGTACATGTTTGGTAAGTTATTAGCAACAGTGGATAAAGCTAATACAACACAGCAAAACTCACCAAAGCCATGCAAAGATTTTCTGACTAGAATAGCATAGACCAAACCACCAACAGAGAACTCGTTGTATAAATCAGCCCAAGCAGGATCTGATAAAGTACCTGTAGCACAAGCAGCACCCAAGGTCATGGTGAAGATTAAAGGAGTTGTTAAACCTGCAAGAACAGAGAAGAAGATCTTGTAAGGATTGGTGTTGGAAGGCATATAGGTGGTGTAATCAGCAGCAAAAGTTGTCCAACCAGCTGCATAACCAAAGATAGTACCACCAAAGGAAAGAACATTACCTGCACCAGTTCTACCAGTGGCCCATTCACCAGGAGTGAAATTACCAGACATGGACATTCTTGCAATGATGACAATAAAGACAAATAAATTTGGAATCCAAGAGAATTTTTCATAAGTATGAATAACTTTATAACCGAAAAATGAGACAACAACAGTGCAAATAACTAAGATTAAACAGCCAGCCCATGGAGGCAAGGCACTATCATTGACAATATGTAACAATTGAGTGGAAGCCATAATATTGACTGAACCCCAACCAACACAGGCAATGCAGTTGATGAAAGAAAAGATTCTCATACCATAATTACCAACCAAGAAAATTGTCAAAACCATTTGTCTTAAACCGAATTTAGCACCAAAAACTGAGAAAAAGGATACAGCAGTAGTGCCCATAAAATTGAAGAAAATGATGCAACAAAGACATTGATAAAAACCCAAGCCAAAGACAGTGATGCCTAAAGCACCAAGAGCAAAGGTACCAATAACTAAATTTGCTGCTAACCACATTGATGCAGCTGACCATAAGGAATTATCAGTTTTCTCTTCTTCGGGGATTCTTTCAACGCCTCTGGCCTCAGCTTTTAAAAGAAGAGAGGCTAATTTGCCTAAGATTGAAGAGCTTTTCTTTGGAGAAGTTACTGAGCCATTGTCAACAGAGTGAGAAGAGACTACTTCTTTTTGGTTTTTTTCAAGGTCGATTTGGGACATGATAAACTATAATTGTTGAAAATTGAGGAATATAAACGATAAATAGGCAATTAGAGTTTACTTTTTATTTGGGAAACAACAATTTGATAAATTATACTTTGATGTCTTATTGTTTAATGAAAAGAATTGTTTGAAAAAAAAATTGGGAAATAATGGATAAATTTATAATAAAATTTGAGCATAATGAAAAAGTTAAAGACAGACAAAAAAGCAGCAATATAAGATTAAAAGAGAGCTAGTGAGAATAGTGAGAGACAAGATGATAGCAAGATCAATGTAGTGTACTATTTCATACAACAGATGGAGAAAAAACGACTTGAAAAGCAGAAGATTAAAAAGTGAAGCATTTCTTTTTGGGTGCAGCAGTGAAAATTTTACTTCTAACTCTACCACCATTTCTTGTTGTGTCTTTGATAAGTGCTATTTTGATAAGCCAATGCATTTTGTGCCTTGCTCGACCGTTTAGTTCATCCACGGTACCGGGCCTAAGCCGAGATAGACAGGCTTCGATCGAAGCCTGCCAAGATATAGAAGCTTTTAGCGGCCGAAGAGGGTCCGGTGATTCCGGCCAATTACGGCGCGCACAGAGCTGATAACAGACCGATGGCCCTAGGCTTCTCCGTGGAAATATCCACAGCGCCGGCACATGGAGTGCGCACTAGTGCAGAGCATTTGCAGACACCTGTCGGTGTGGTTTTGTTTTGGCAGGGTAGCCCATGGATTCTGTGAGGAAGGTCGTGAGAAAAGCAAGTTGTTTCCACGCTGGTGGTAGTGGTCACCGATTTGATCTTCCAGGCCAAGCAGGGAGATGGCTGATAAGGCAGTTATGGTGGAGACCGAACACTCGATGAAGGATTACGTCGTGCGCCCCGTGGCACTGGGACCGGCTGAGCTTATCTGATAGTGTCAGGTGTTTCGTGGTTATGTATGTCTAACATTTTTCAAGACAGCTGGTTAAATGAACAAAATCGGAGGAGGAAATGGAAAGAAGCTGAATACATTTATAAAAAGGAATATATTTATGGATTATGAATATATATATGAGTTGTGAGTGTGCAAGCTTATATAGATAAGTAGTTGCTAGAATATTATTGAAAAAATTGAGTAGAATGGAGACAGAAAGTATAACATATAACAAGGTAATGAATGAGAAGAATGTTGACTAAAATTTTTGAATTTTGAAAGAAAAAAAGATAAAGAAATAAAAAATAAAAAAGCAAAATAAATAATTGGCTAGCGATAATTAGTTACTGGTAAGTTGGGCGTATTGATTCAATCTTTGATAGCATAGGTTCTAATGAACATGTCATCGATATTGGTCAAATAATAAGTCCCTTTAACCAAGTTATCAATTGAGCCCTTTGGTTGAAAGTTCTTTTGCTTATAGGCCTTTTCTCTTAAATCAATTGCGCTGGTGTATTGTTCTGGAGATTTTTTCACTCTATTGTCCAATCTTTCTTGGAGATTTAAGGTTTTTATAATTTTTTTCAAATCACCTTTAATTTTAATTGAGTATAAAGTTGAGGCCAAGCCTGAACCGTAGGAGAAGACACCAATTCTCTTGTTTTGCAAAGCATCATTGCCGATGTAAAATAAAGCAGAACATAAAGCAGAATAAACAGATCCTGTATACATGTTACCGGTGTTGGTTGGGATGTTTAGTGAGGGTTTAACTTTTTTGTTAATTAATTCCTTTGATAAAGTTAAGAAGATTTTCTCAATTGGTTTGCTTAATAAAGAATCTTCATAGCTGATTGTATCCAAAGATTCTAAATCATAAGTATTGACTGATGGGTATTTTTCCTTGAAGAGTTTGGGATTGGCTTTATAGTCGTTGTATAGTAATCTTGCATATGATTTTAGGACCAATTTACAAGTTGGAGCATGAAAGATGTTATAATCAAAGTAATCAGTACCAACGATATCCGTTGATAAATTGTTGTTGTGGTCATAAGTTTTGATTAATTTTCTAGAGTAGTTTTTGTAGCAGTTGTCAACAGATTTGATGTAGCAAGACATTGAAAAGTGACCTTGAACATAAGGGTATTCAGAGTTGAAATCTGGTTTGTAGAAATCATAAACGTTTTCCATATATGAACCGTGGACGCTATCTAAAACAATTGGAGCATTTGGACCGATCAACATTGCAACAGTACCTGCACCACCGGTTGGTCTTGCAGCGCCTTTTGAGTAGACTGCTATATCACCACAGACTACAATAGCTAATCTGCCATCCCAGGAGGAAGATTCTATCCAATTGACGGAATTGAATAGAGCATTGGTACCACCATAACAAGCGTTGATAGTATCAATGCCTTCAATGTCGCCATTATCACCGAATAGTTGCATCAAAACGGATTTGATTGATTTTGATTTATCTAATAAAGTTTCGGTACCAACTTCTAATCTACCAATTGAGTTGACGTCGATGTTGTAGTTTTTGATTAAATTTGATAAGACAGTCAATGACATTGAGTAAATATCTTCACGATCGTTAACGTAGGACATGTTAGTTTGGCCTAAACCAATTGTGTATTTTCCTGAGGAGACACCATCGTATTTTTCCAAATCAGATTGGTTAACGTATTCAGATGGAAAGTAGAGTTCCAAACCAAGGATACCGATGTCTTGAGGACGAGAAGTTAAAGTCATTTTGAATAATTGAAAAAGTATGAATGAGAAGAAGGTAAATTGAGCAGATTAAAGGATATAAATATTCTTGAATCGATAAATTATAAGTCAAGTTATAATTGAGAAAGTTGCAATGAGATAGAGAGGGAGAAAAAAGGAAAAAGGAAAAAGGAAAGAGGAAAAAGGAAAAAAGAAAAAAGAGGCAAAAAAAGAGGCAAACAACTGGCAAAAGAACCAGGTATATATACACCCACCGCAGAATCTCGGAAAAGAAACAGGATATAGTATATCAGTGAGAAAAGCAATGAAAATAGAGATGAATACGACGAGATTATGGAAAATTATTTAGAATTTAAACGAGAGAACAGAGAAAAGATGGGCAGTTGCAAAGAAGCAGGGATCTGGCGATGCTCTGCACTGCAAAAGAAAAGGAAGGAACGCGTGCGGCATTGCAAACCCAAAGGGAGATTGCATATTTGCTGGATCCTATTGGATTCAACAACGGCCAGTGCTTTGTTGCAGCGAAAACACCACGACCACAAAACTCACCGAGCGCTCGAGGAGCAGCGGGGTATTCACCGTTACATCTTCTGCTAGCGTGCAAAGATCACGTGCTCAGGCAGCTGATCTATATCCCGCTTGCTGATTGGCCACACAGCGCTCCCTTGGTCCTGGTGCGGATGGAGGAGATAGCGTTTGCTTGTGCAGCAGCTGTCAAATCTTAATCCCTGGAAGCAGGTGCGATTCTATTGGATAACCGCACTGTTTTATCCACAGCCGTGTCCAGCACCTAAAGGAGCAGCCATTCCGCGGTCACATGGAACACTTAGGTAATACCCTCGCTCGGTCAGATATTATGACACATGACCGCTGTAATTAGATTTAGGTTGGTTTTTTGCGGCCCGCTCGCTCAAGCTCGTCGTGCTGGAGGTAGTATGCTGCGAAGTGGCGACCGGTGCCGGTTCCACGGCTGCCGCGGCTGCCGCGGGCGAGGCCGTTGAAGTAGCGGACGAGGTCCCGTTCAGGGGGCCAGCTCTCGAAGCTGCTTTTCTCCAACACTGGATTTGGAACTGTTGAGTTTGTGCCGCCGAGCGAGGTGAACCCATTGTTGTATAGCTCGCAGTACTTGATGTCGAGACTCAACAAAAACATCCAGATGTCTGTATTATTCCAGTTCAATAGCGGGCTCACCTTGTTGAATTCAGGCCAATTGTTGTCAGTTCTTTGGATGAACTCCAAATTTTGCGATGTTTCTGCTCTGAAATCTGACCGTCGAATGCCAATTAATATGTAGTTTTTGTTAGGTTTCAACTTCAAATAGTTTTCAAATCCCTCTTTCAACTGTATTTTGTCAAATTTCTCGCTTTGCAAATTGTATTTAGTCTCTGTCTCCTTGATAAAGCTCTCTAATTCTGGAAAGGTTTCTTCATAGTTGATGTAAACAGAATCAATTGCCTCTAAGTGATTATTATTATTGCTATTATAACCCCTCTTATTGACGCTGATGATCGTGTCATAAATAACAGCCAAGTATAGTATTAGTAGCACTAAACAATCCTTGCCCCCATTGAAAGAGATCGATATGTTTGTAATTGTGCGATTATTGTAATCAACTATCAACTCCTCTATCACCCTATAGCTTTCTTTGATTTTACTTATCGTTTGGCTTCGAAATTCGTTGATAACACTGATATTACTGATACTGCAGCTTTCAATCATATCGTTATCGTCGATTGGATTTAAATCTCTTGAAGTTATAAACTGTTTCAAATCATCTGATATTTCTTTATACTTGCCGTTGTAATCATAGTGATGAGCATTGTAGGTCTCATAACAATAGTCCTTGTCACTCTGGTAGGTCTTGTGGTCGCCGCTAGAATAGAGGTAATGCAAATAGTACACTGCTATGGACAATACTACAATGGTGAGCAAGCTCCCTCTTCTAAAAGCGATGCACTTCATTACCAACTGGTAACCTTCCGGTCTGCTATTTTGGTTTCGCAGGACTATATTTGAAAAACTAAAAATTGCTAAATTAATCCTTTTTAACAATACCTTCAGTTTTCCCGGTCTGGATTTTCCTATTTCTCGGTTTTCAGAAATGTGTGTCTTCCACTCACAGGCTCGATTCCCGTGGCACGCAGCTCCTTCCATCGTTTTTTTCCGCTTTCGCCTATTTCAGCTGACCTGGACCCAATTCTGGCTCCCGCCGCCTTCGCCGTCCCTGACCTCCTGCCCAAACACACACCACTCCAGAACCCATTTCTCTCGTCAGCACCAAAATTCCGATGCCTGCTTTTTCGCGACGCTTTCGCCTCTTTTATCGATCGCCTGAGCTCCTCGTGATCAGCTTGACTTCTGCACACTTCGTTCTCACTTTCGGGCACTACTTCTGCTCCTCAATTTGCTTGCAAACGCGCTCCGTTACTTTATGTTTTTTGTGCTGCGATTCACCGAATAACTAACGAAATGAATTGATCTATTTAACTAACTTCCTCAAACTTTTAAACATATTTATAGATTTTCATAATTATCAAATTTATAATAGTATAGGATTTGAAAATGAAATTGAAACTGCATTGAAATTTCAACTCGCATTGAAATTTGAATTTGATCTGAAAAAAAAAAACTGCTAAAAATTAACTAGCATGGAAATTTCCATAAGAAACAATTTTGTTCCGAATAGATAAAAAAGAATAACTGAATTCTAAAACAAAATAAGAGTTTTGAGAAATTGAAATTTAAAACATAAACAAAAAAAATCAAAATAGAAATTAAAATTTAAAAAATTAACAAAAACATAGTAAAAAAATAACAATAAAATAAATAACAATAGAGAAATATTCAGTTTCTCAATTCAGCAATACCAAAAAAATTAAAAAAAACTAAAATAAATTTTACCAAAAGGCAAAAAAACTCAACTGATTCTAATATACACATAAAAAGATATTTCATATTTTTTTTATTTTTCTGATATTTTCTGATATTTTTTAATTTTTTTTTGAAGTAAATTAATAATGATAAACAGTAAAACAATAAAACAATAAAAATAAAAATTAAAAAATTAAAAAATTAAAAATGAAAAATGAAAAATGAAAAAAATAAAACAAGTAAACAAAACAAAAAAAAAGCACCCAGTAACTAAATCTTTATTGTTTTTGAAATCAAAACATAAAAAATTAGTTTCAAAATAAATTTAAAAATATTCAAAAAGCAAACATTTATTTATTCATAAATAACAAAATTGTTCTTAGATTTAATTTACAAATTTGAATTCCTTTCAAGTGTTAAAATTATGACCATCCTAATGAGTTTTGTGTGTTAAAAGGTTTGGATATTTTGGGAATAATTGCCCCGTTAACTTGTCCCATTTCAGGAACTGACTCCAATCTTGAGTTTATTCTTGAATTATTATTGTTGTTGTAATTATTGTTATTATTGTTATTGTTCATAATGTCGTAAGCTGTATTCATATTACCATTTGATTTTGAATTATCACTAGATACAGATCCAAGATATTGTGATCCTTGTTGAGATACATTAGTATAACTGTATGTGGGAGAATTTGGAATAAATGATTGATAAGAATTATATGATTGGTATGATTGGGTTGCTGTCAAAATATTGTCATCATTTCTTCCATTTGATTGTTCTGATGATGATGCAGCTAAATGTAATGGTTCATCATTTGTAATTGGTAAAATTATATTACCACCAACTCCATGCGATCCTGTTATTCCACCTTTTTTAACAATCAAGTCATTTAATTTTCCTTCGTTTTTGGCTTTATATGCTCTGAATACTAAAACAACAATCGAAATATATGCTGCACATCCCAACACAGATCCAATTGCAATTCCAAGGATTTTGGTCTTATCGGATGAAACTTCTGCAGTGCTATCTTCATCCATAGATCCAGAATTAACATTTGAACCTGATCCATTTCCAGAATCTGATGATCCTGATGACCCGCTATTATCAATACCATCTGATAACACTCCAGTAAGTGGAACACTTGGATCAATCAAATGTGCAAGTGTGTTTTCCGTCGAGTCATCATTGAAATAAAATTGAGAATTAGATTGAATTATTAATTCTTGCAAAATACTAACTAATTCTTCAGGAATATAACATGATGCAACTGTGATAATGTAATCAACATCCTTAGCTGTAAATGGAACTAATTCTTTGACAGCAAAATTCGAATTAGTATATTCCGAAAATGAATATCCCAAAACACCTGGTAAATATTGGAAAATTTGAGCAGAGGTGATTGAGCTTTCAACAACAAAAGCATAATTCAATGCTTCTTGGAATCCAATTGAAACCAATGAATAATTATCTGGTTTGACAACATCTTCTTCTGGAACAATAACTTCTGGTAATAATGATGTTTCAACGGCGATCTTAGAGGACGCTGACTCTGACTGGTCTAAAACAATTGTAGTTGGTAACCAATTTTCCGATGATGATGAAGAAGAGGTAATAGCTCCAGAAGTTTCATCAGTCGTTTGTGGTGGAATGGTTTTAACTGAACTGAGAGTGTAACTGCCATCCGATTGTGTGACTGCAATAAGATAATCACTTGATGGGGTTAATGATGAACTAGTTGGCTCAATTATTGTGGTGGAGCCTTCTAAGGACGATGAAGCAACTTGTGATGAAATTTCTTGTTGAGGAATAGAAGATGCGGTTGATAATGAAGACTCTCCAGAGATAGCTGATCTAGAGCTTGTTGAACCAGAAACAATAGAATGAGATGCATATTGAGATGAGGATGAACCAATCAAACTGTATCTGAATGGCGATGAAACAGGTGAAGATATTTGAGAAGATAATCCGCTAGAAGTAGGGATTTCAATTGAAGAAGATTCAGAAACTAATGAAGAAGGAACAGAAGAAACTAATGAAGATGGGAAAAAAGAACTAGAAGCAGATGATGTAATCCAAACTGAATCAGAAGAAACTGGTTCAGAAACTAGGGATGAAGAAACCAGAGATTCCGAAACAGTTGATTTAAAATCCGAAGACCCGGAAGTAGAAGATAAAGAAGCAACTAATGAAGAACTAAGATCAGAAACAGAAGTCGATTCAGAGACAGTAGAAGATTCAGAAACAGAAGATGTAGGAATAACTGTTGAAATTTCAGTCGAATCTGAAACAACCACGCTAGATGATAAAAGATCAGAAGAAACAGTAGGATAATATGGCGATTCTGACGAAATAGTGGGTACGGATTGAGTTGCAGACTCAGATACTAAGCTGGATACCGATTCTGAGATAGTAGAACTCAAAGAACCGGTTGGAATAATAGCGATACTTGAAGGAGTTACAGGTATTTCACTATCCAATTCGGTATCAGTATCAATATCACTAACCGATTCAGATACAGATGCACTTGCAGATTCAGTTGGAACTGAAGAATCAGTCAAGGATCCTGATATAGAGTCAGTTGCAATTTCATCAACAGATGAAGCAGTTTCAACTTGACTTAAAGTATCAGTTGATAGAGATTCAGATCCAGAGAAAATACCGCTTTGTGATTCTGTAGAATCTGTAGAATCTGTAAAATCTGTAGCAGTTTGATCAGCTGAGGAGGTGTCAAGAGAAGCGGTATCAGTATTAGTATTAGTATCAGTGACTGTTGAATCAGCTGAACTATCAATAGTATCAATAGTAGTCAAAGTGCCGATAGTGTCTGTTGAACCAGAAATAGTAATTGGATCAGAAGTAGCAATTGAATCAGTAACACTTGAAGCATCAGTTAAATCAGAAGTATTGATACTATCAACAGAAGTGGCCGTTTCGGTATTAATGGTATCAGTTGGAATTGAACTGTCAGTAGTGCCAATTGGAGTAGAAGCATCAGATGGAACTGAAGTTTCTGTATTAGTATTGGATAAGCTAGAAGTGTCAGTGTTTTCTGTTGCAATTTGGGATTCAGAAACAGATTGAGTGGTATCTGTTGGAATAATGGTGCTTGGATCAACTGGTGAAGAAATAACAATAGATTTTGGTAATTCAGTGTCAATATTAGTGTCAGTTGCAGTAGTGTCAGAGGTTGCAGTTTCTACTGAAGATTCATCAACAATTTCAGTTTCTGCAGTGTTTGTTGGAGAAGAAAAGATTACGGTTGATGGTAATTCTGTGTTTGAATCAGTAATAGAAATGGTATTGGTATTAATTTCAGTACTGATTGCAGAGGTATCAGAAGTTGGGATAGTATTAGCAGTGTCAATGGTGTTGGTGTTGGTGTCAATGGTATTGGTGTCAGAAAGTGAAAGAGTTGTGTGAGATATTTGAGAATCAACGGTATTGGTTGGAGTTTGTTCAGTTAAAGCTGATTCAGTTGGAGTTGATTCAATGGTTGGGATCGTTTCAATGGTATCTTGAGTAATTTCAGTGGCAGTGGCAGTGGCAGTTGCAGTGTCAGTATTTGAAGATATAGCTGGAATTATAAGAAAGTTGGAGGATATTGTTGGGAGTTGAGAATTAGAAATGGTGTTGGTGTCAGCGCTTATTTCAGTATTAGCAATATCGACAGAAACAGCAGTATCAGTGTTAGTGTTAATAGCGCTATCAGTAACAGTATCAGCGCTAATTTGGGTGTCAGTGTTAGCACTTGTTTCGGCGCTTATAACAGTGTTAGTGTTAGTTTCAGTATTTGGAGCAGTTGTGTCGGTATCTGGCTTAGCAGTGTTGGAAACGGGAGAGCCTACTGTTTGTGTTTCAGCATTTGTACCAACATCAGATATAACGGTTGATGGAGTTGGGTCTTGAATTACGGTGGATGTTTCAGCAGATAATGGTTGAGAGATGGTAGAATCAGCAGATTGAGCGGAGTCAGGATGGTTGTAGGTCTGACCATTTGTAAAGATTCCAATATATTCAGTATCAGAATCAATGGAGGTTCCAATGGCGAGTGTTTCAGTATCAGTGTCAGTGTCAGTTGGAGCAGTGTCAGTTGGAGCAGTGTCAGTTGGAGCAGTGTCAGTTGGAGTGTTATTGGGAATAGTGTCTGTAGAAATGACGTCTGCAGAGACAAGATCTGATGCAGCAGTGTTGGTGTCGGATTCAATAGATTGGGGCTGTGGAGTTGAAAAAGAAGTTAGAATGATAGAAGGATAATCGCCATCAGAAGAAGTAACTTCATAAAGGACAGAAGTTGGATCGATGATGGTAAAGGATTGAGGTTGTTCAGAATCATCTAAAACCATTGAAGAAGGGGTTACGACCAATGTTTGAGAAGTGGTAACCGGTTGATCTTGGAATTGAGATTGAGAGGAAAAATCAGATGGTTGGACAGTTATTGCAGAGGATAATTCAATGGAGCCATCATTTTGATTTGAAGATATTATATTGATTGAGGAATCATTTGCGTAGTTGGTATCATCTCTTTTGAATACAAAATCATGACTTTTAAAAGCAGCTCTTTTGAATAATTGGTTCAAGTAGTCTTGTTCGTTATTTTGTAAGCCATTGATTTGATCATTTTGATCGTTGTGATCAATAATATTGTTGTTATTGTTATCAACTTGGAGATGATTTAGGAAATCCAAATTTAAAGCATTTGAATAGCTTGAAAGAAACAAATTTAATAACAATAAGTATAACGCATAGTTGATTGAATTTTTGTTTAGCATTTTTTTAATAGAAGTAATAAATTTAATAATTTTTTCTGGTGATTATGATTGTGATTATAATTATGATTATACCTTTAATAATTTATAATATAATATAAAGATTAAAACAGGACAATCAATCCAATAAACATCAAGTTATTTCAATTTGATAATTTGATGATTTGATGATTTTAATAACTTTTATTTTTTGAGATCTTAGTGTTTTTTGGTATTCTCTAGTTAGAAAATATAAAGTGATAATGAAAAAAAAAGATTATAATAAAACTAGATATAAATATCAAGAGGATACAATTGGCAGCTAGTTGATAGATAATTGAAATAGCCACTAGTATCAAAGAAGAATTAGATAATTAATCAATTAACTAGATTTGGATATTGGGGGAATTGAAATAAGCGAGTGAAATAGATGAATAGGCTAGATAATAGAAAACTAATTGAAATATAAAAGATAAAAAGCAGAGATTGATTAATTTTTTTTTTTTCTTTTTGAAAGATCGAAATGACTAAAATGAGTAGGATAATTATAGATAGTGGATAAATTAAAGGAATGAATAAAAGTTGGTTTAATATAAAAGTGTGTGAAAGTTGAGTTCAATAGCTAAGAATGAATTTAAACTGATTCAGCGAGAGACAGATGATTAATATAGGTATTGTTATTAGATATCAAGGTTAGATAAAAGAGTGACGATGAGAGCTGAAGATTGTGAGGTTGCGAGAGAAATTTGAGTTTTGCTCCAAAACCACCAAAACAGCGGGCAGTAACTGAGCGTGGGAAGAACCGACGGCGCTGGGACAGCCAGATAAGCCGGAACTGCTGCATAAGCTGCAGAGCAGAGAGCAGCACGGCGGCAGCACGCGGTCAAATAGAAGCTTAGCTACAGCGCAGAGGCAGCAAAGGCAGCAGAGGCAGCAGAGGCAGCAGAGGAGGAACGAGCACCAGAGGAAGAACTACACTTCCACTTTTCACGTCGTCCGCGAGTCGCTGCCCAGGAACAATACACCGGCCGGACCTAGTTCTGCGAGTGTTTTTCCTGGTTCTAGCCCAGCCTAGGTTGGTTGAGCGCGGTGGGCCCTCTGTACTCACCGAAAACGGCAGTTCAGAATTGCCTGTTCGAGAAGACGTCTGGGTGTTTCTAAAAATAATGCTTGATGGCACCAGACCTCCCTCTGGAATTGCTAATCACACGCCGCGCATCACACAGAAACGCATTTTCACCTTCCGCAGTTTCGAATGCAGCTCCAAAGATCGCCTCACATGGACAACAAGAGTCCCAGAGATTTCCACAGCAGTGACACGCTTGACAACGCGCGTCTACGCACACAAAAGCTTGCCCAGAACAAGATGCGTGCTGTCATTCCAAAAACAACCCCAGTCATGGGGTACCTGTTGCTGATTAGCTCAGCGCGCGTGCTTGAGAGAGCGCCCGCACCGCTGGCTCTGTGCTGCTGAGATATGTCAACATATAACCAAACACCAAACAGGCAGCTGAGACAATTGCAGACATCGATTCTACTCCAACAAACACTCGAGAATCATCTCACAGTTATCTCACAGCTATGAATCTCACGTCTCGGTGTCTATTGGTGTTCGTGTTGGTTGTTTGGCAATTTACCGGCTTTCTTTTTTTTGCCAAAGGCTTCTTTCCCACAAAGATCTCTTTATCAGGTCACTCGTCGTTTGAAGAAATACACAAGATACCTATAATAGGTCAGCTAACTGATTCAAATTCAGTTTTTAATTTTGAAAAGCAAATATATGATCAGGATGACACTTTCAATGCAATTGACAAAGAATCTACCAAAAACGAAAATAATGCAAAAAATGATGTGAAATTTGATAAATTGATTTTCATGGTTATCGACGCTTTAAGATCTGATTTCATCTTCTCAAATACTTCTTCGATGAATTTTATTCATTATTTAATCAAAAATAACTTGGCTATTCCATTTACTGCTTTCTCGTCACCTCCCACTGTAACTCTACCAAGATTGAAATCCTTATCGACTGGTTCTTCTTCAAATTTTTTAGATGCAATTTTAAACATCGATGAAAATGAAAACTCTTCTTCTTTAATCAATCATGATACCTGGCTATACCAATTTCTATCCACCAAAAGAGACCAGAAAAAAAATTTAAATCTATCTATGTTTGGCGACGATACTTGGTTGAAATTATTTCCAAAATTTTTTAACGACTTTGATGGAACTTCCTCTTTCTTTGTCAAGGATTACACTCAAGTCGACAATAACGTAACAAGACACTTATTCAATTACCATCCTACTACTAATCAATTTATTGGCATTGATCAAAAAGTCACCCACTCAGACTTATTGATATTGCACTACCTAGGCTTGGATCATATAGGTCATAACTACGGTCCCTTTAACCCTAGAATGGCTCAAAAACAATTGGAAATGGACTCAATAATCGAAAAATTATACAATAATCTAGATAACAATACTCTATTCATAGTCCTTGGTGACCATGGCATGAACAACTTGGGTAACCATGGCGGTTCTTCGTTATCTGAAACCTCTCCCGGTTTAGTTTTTATTTCCCCATTATTTAAATCCTTTAATTTAAATTCAATCCCAAATAATTCTCCAAAATCTCCATTGCCCTACAGCTCAGATTACTCTTATCATACTAAAATAAACCAAATCGATTTAGTCTCAACTTTATCCACTCTATTAAATATCCCAATTCCAAAGAATAACCTAGGTATCTTTATCCAAAACTTTTCTCCTTTATTCAATAAAAAAAATTTCCTATTACATCTTTTACAAAACTCTTTTCAATTTAAAAACTTGATTCAATCAAAATATAATAAAAATTTCACTGAAATTATCAATAACAATACTAAAAACATTAATAGCATTGATGATAATGATAATGATGATAATGATGATTTTAATCACTTAAACTTCTTGTGGAATAACTCAATCTTAAAACTAAATAATCTATTCAATTTAAATCAACTATTCAACTTATCTGAAAATGACTACAACTCTTTAGTCGATGATGTATATCTTTTTTTAAAACAATCGCAATCAATCTTAGTAAACTCTTCTACAAACTACAACTATAATGAACTAATCATTGGTCTTGCATTGGTCATTTGTTCAACCATCTTAATATCCTTTTGTTACTTCAAATTTTTTAATCCTTCTCTTATACCTTCATCTTCATCTTCATCTTCATCAAACTTCTCCTTCTCCTCCGTATCCTTCTTTGTTTTCTCTCTAATAATAGGTCTCACAACTTTTGGCTCCTCAATGATAGAAGAAGAATACCAAATTTGGTGGCTTTCAATCATTACCTTTATCTCTTTAATATTCATTCAAAATTTTCAGGATTTCTCAATTCTTCCTAAAAATTTCAAAATCATCTGCTTTCTCACTCCCTTCTTAATTAGATTCATTAGATCTTGGAATAATTCAGGCCAAAAATTTAATTTCATCTATTTTAATCATTTTTCATTTTGGTTAAATGACCATACTTATTTAACTTGGTTCTTGATTCTTGTAACTTTTATCTCAAATTGGCTCATTCTTTTAACTGGTGGCTTCAATTTAATCAACTTTTTCATAAATTTTCTTTTCACTTTTCTACTATATTCAGTATCCTTTTCATTCAAATTAGCTTCAGATTATTCAAACAATACCTTACCCCAAATTTTCAAATTTTTGGTTGACCACATTATAATCACTTTACGTGTGGAAAATGCAAATGATACTTTACATGACTTGGCTAACTTATTTTACATGATATTTATCTCAGTTTTTGTAATAAGAATTTTGTTTAGATTCTTTAATCAAGTCTTGATATTCGACCCAATCGAATTTAAAACCGGAATCTTCAAAGGTCATTTTGAAAGTGATTATAGATTTTTTAATGATATATCTGGAATTCTCAACTCCTTTTTATTATTTCAGTCTTTAAAGTTAAATATTCCCATGTTTCTACTTTATTCGATAATTCAATATTTTATTGCCGCAACTCTTGATGAATATATTGATAATAAACTAAAATCTTTTGAAAATGAACTAAATGAATTGAACGGAAATGAAAATAACAATAACAATAACATAAACAAAGATATCAAAAATAGTAAATTCATATTCTATAAAATGATAAATCTACAATTAAAAATCACCACATTCACTACTATCTTCACTTTAATTTTACAACACTTGTCATTTTTTTCAAGTGGCTCAACTAATTCTCTATCAACAGTTGATTTGACAAATTCGTATAATGGGTTGACAAATTACAACTTGTTTATAACTGGAGTTTTAACTTTTACCTCCAATTTTGCAAGCCCAATTTATTGGAATTTCATAAATTTAAAGTTAATTTTTGAAAATTCGCTAATGTTGCATATTAAATTAATGGATAGATATCAAAATCAACAACTAAATAAAAATAAAGATGAAAATAAAAATATTTTTAGAAAATTCAAATTTGAATTATTTCTAAGAAATTTTTCCATCAAATTAACATTTTATTCTATTTTTGGAATGTTTTTGATAATAAGTTGTTATTTATTAAAGTTTCATCTATTTATCTGGACAGTTTTTAGTCCTAAATTGCTATACTTTTTCGTTTGGAATTTTCTAATGAATGGGGCAGTAGAACTTATCAATCTAGTCTTAATTTCCATTTCATAATTTTTAAGAACTTTTTTTTTGTTTTTCCATTTTATTTATATAGAGCTTGAATATACAGTCATATAAAGCATTTTTTATCTGTTAACTTTTTGATTATACGAAATACAAAGTTTCAAACACAAAAATAACAAGAACAAGAAAAAAGAAGTTAAAAAAATCAATAATCAAATAAAATCAGACCAAAGGAAACCAAATGAATAAGTGAAAAAAATAAATACAATCGTTTATTGTAATAATTGATCTCTATAATGTGGTTGATTATTGATGAATTTTTGAGATCTTTTAAAGTTAAGATCATCAAACTTCTGTTTTGTTTTCCATATTTGTTTGTTTTGGATATAAGTTTTTTTGTCGATAGTGGTGGGTGCCAACATGTATTTACTTCTTGATTCAACAGTCATGACAGTTTTTTGGCCCTCACTATATGTCTTCTCGGGTTTAATATCCTGTTTATAATATCTCACCAAGCTTCTATGGCCAACTTTCAAACCGGATGGTAAATGAAGTTCTACACCATCAGTATACAAATAATCAATTGGAGCTTCATCTTCGTCTTCATCATTTTCTTTCTCGGATTGAGGAGTGACATTATTTTCGTCATCACTGAAGTCTTCATCTGAAACATCTTCCCAATCATCTTCATTTTGATCCATGTCATTACTACTTTCCTCAATTTTGGATTCAAACTTACTTCTAGCATCAACTTCATTGTAAGTTGAAGTGAAATCATAAAATGAACCAAGTTCTAATTTTTGATCTAATGTTTCGTATGGGATGTAACAATGCTGTTTATCTATCATATGTGATCTGATAGAGTTCAAATCTTTTGATTGATAGTTGCATACAATACAAACATTACCGATTGAAATTTTTTCTGATAAATATTTAATCAACCCAAATTTATCGATTAAAAATTTCTGCTCAGGTACATATAGACCATGATTTTTAAACATATGGTTAATATTATCATCTAAAGACGCAAAATCTTGTTTTTTGTTTTTTGTACAAAATAAACACGTATTTGGAGAAATCTTATATTTCAAATTTTGCTCCAATTTCTTATTGATCAAATACTCTTCTTGATCTTCTATTGATAATTTATTTAATTCATCTTCAATATCTTTTTGTTTTGTTTGTAAAGTAGATATCTCCTTTAGTTGAGATCCTTTTTCTTCAATCTTTCTATTTGTGACCTCTAAATCACCACTTCGAGACTCACTATCATTATTATTACTATTTTTTTTATCGTTATTACTAGTAGCATTATTGATTTGTAATCTAGCTAATTCCAACAATTTTTTCTTCTTTTCAGCTAACTCAAGTTTCTTCTTCTGTATTTTTAGTTCCTTTTTAGTTACTGTTCTGTTCTTGTTTTTATTTTCTTTAGTTTTCTGCTCATCAGAGTTATTATTTGAATTTAGTTCATTATTAATCGATTTTTCATTAAAAGCTGATTCAGTTATTGGGGGCAATTGGGCAATTCTTCTTTTCAAATTATAACGGTGCCATTCTGATTTCATATGAGATCTCTGGTCGTTTGAATTGTTGAAAGCTATACCACAATTATTGCAGGTGTAATTTGATGACATTTTCTTTGGAAATATACTTATATTATAAATACAACGATCATAGATTGAAAGAAGAAAAATTATTTGATTTTTCAACAAAAACTGTAAAACACGTGATGAATAAATCTTTGCAATAAACTCAAATTTTCAATATTGTAAAAGTAGAGGGTTATCACGTACTGTACATGTTTTTTGCTTTCAGAGCACTGCCACAAATAAACCGTGATTCCCGATGTGAAGGGTTTAAAGGTGAATCCCGAACATTTCGTCTTGATTTCTTTTCATGCAACTATCAGACTTTTGAGAGAAACTTGCAGATTTGAGAAAAATTCCGAGTTTATCACTAGTTTTTTTTAGAGCTTTTTTGTTTGAAGTAACGAGAACAAGTACATGTCAATGACTTGCTAACAGTTCCAGATACTAAAATGCTATTACAAATTGAACTTCCATTAACAAATATTATTGAAATTAAACAATTACATTTTGTCCTCCAGAGTTAAAAGAAATCCAGTTTTATTAGATCGCATTAAGTAATATGTCTAAAATATTAACAAGAAAAATAGTTCATAATTTATTAAATTTTTTATATTCAAAACATCATTTATAAAGTTATTAAAGTTCCATTTTTTGGTTTCTTATATAATTGTAGATTTTTTAACCATCTCTATCTTTTATTCTTCGCAAAATATTAAATATGTTACAGAGATGTTTTCGATCCAAAACTTCTACCCACGGTGAGATCAAGTATTTGGAAAATGATAATTCATTAAAATCTTTACTGACCTTTTCATAAAAACAATTATTATTTTCTCCTTGAATTTTTGAAATTGCATCGATGACAGCAGATTCATATAGTAAAATAGAATTTATTGCCAAAAAGACAAAAAGAATTGGTTCTGTTTTGTTGATGTCAACTCTATGTTTAATTTTGTTATTATATACTTCAAGCTTATATCTTCAAAATATTGGGATAATTTAAATAAATTACATAGCATTGACTGATTATTGTTATAGGAAATACAGATATAATTATTTTTTGTACCATCCTTATTTTGAAATAAGGCAATTATATTCAGATTAGTTTTGATAATAATGGAACAGCAACTGGATGTTACACAGAAGTTTCTTGTGGTGTTATTAACTTCCATCACTTTAATGTTAAAATTTAGTAGTAAAAGCATCATGATAAATAATTCAATAAAACTGATTTTTTTAATGATATTGTGATGAAGAATGTTCATATTGGATAGGTTGGTTTTATAAGAAAATATTGAATTTGTTACTAGTTTGAAATTTTCTGTATATTTTTTATTTGCTCTACTCAAAATACTTAGAATATCAATAGTGAGATTATCGGTTAATTTTCAAATCTTTAGTTATTTTTATATTGGACAAATTTGACAAAGAGAATTATCAGCTGCAACTTCCAAAAATTTACCAGAATATGATTTCAAATTTTCTCTAAATAATTTTATTGCTTGAAAATTTATTTTGATTATATCCATTGCAATAAATAATATGTGATTATGAATTGTTACTGGTTATTGTGGATAATCGTGAATTAAAAGTTATTAATATCGTTAAAAATACGAAACTTTTCAAAAATATGAAAAAGGAAATCCCAATATATCGCCAACTTTTAAAAAAGAATTATTGATGATCAAACCTTGAGCAAACATCAACTGATGTAACGATTTTATATTTTCCTGTAAAAATTTTATTTATTTAAATTAAAGATCTACTATAAATTGTTTGTTCTTTTAAATTGAGAATCTGTTATGAAATGTTTATGTATTTTCTCTTACAATCAAATATATATTAAATTACATTAATTATAGCAAATAAATTGTCTGTTTTTATTATGAATTTCACTTTTTCTATATAAATTATATAATATTATTTATGAGCATTTGGTTAATTAAATATAACTACTTTCAATCAGCTAAATGCAACAGAATTTGGATTAATTGGATAAAACTTTATTGTGGTTGACAACTATTTATTAATTTTGATTTATTATTCTAAAATTAATTTTTCTGTAAAATGGCCCTCTACAAAAATAGCATGCAAGACATTTTTTATAAGTCGATTTATATTCTTCATCAAGCTGAACATTCCAGTTCAAGTGATAAAGAGTTTTCTCACTATATAAAAGTCAAAAAAGGTGCAGAATTAAATTTGTTGAAGAAAATGAAACTGTTCAAAAATCATTTGCAAAGCGCTAAATGCAATGACAATGTTGTTATCTATGGTGGTGCTAATATATTTGATGAAGCCGATTCCAATGATGAGGATGTTAGAGACGCAAATCACCATTTTAATATTAAAAAAATTCAAAGCTTCACTAATTCAAAAGGGAATTTATCTGATCATTATGTTTGAAAGAATTATTAAAAAGTTTTTCTCAGAGTTATCCCAGGTGCAAAAAAACTAGCCATCTCAATTTTTATTTTAATCATGTTTCTATTGTTAGAGGCAAAATAATTATGTTTAAAGTTACAGACTGCAATACAGATAGACAAAAATATAAAACCATAAAAAGTTTTCAAAGTAAATTTCATAACAAAAATAGAAGGATTAACACCAAAGAATATAAAAAAGTTATGCATCTAGCTAAATCGTATCAACACTCCGTATATTTTGATGAGACTGGATTGAATGGAATTAAAAAATTTTTAAATCGAGTATAATGTATAAAATATTTATATGGTATTTATTTTTTATCAATAACCATTAAAGCAGTTGATAATTACTAGCTCAGTTGATGGTATATGATGGTATATGATGGTAAATAGTTTTTAATAAATATGGATTAATATACGTAAAGAAACTTGAACTAATAGTAGTAAATAGTGATTTGTGCTCAATGACTATTTTAATCATAAAGCTACCAATGCATATAACCTGCAATCGTGAAGACCCTTTTAAATACTCCCGAATCCTCTCCACAATAGAAGCTCTTCAAAGAAGCTTAAACAGGGGAAAATTACAGACGCTAAATGCACACGATCACTGCGTCAGACCGCATGAAAGCGGTCACAAATAAGGACGCCACTTCTGGTATAGGATCTGTTTCATGCGAAACAGAGAATTAATAAATAAAACTACAATATATTTCAAACTTAATTTTCATATTATCAACTTTAAAAAGGCTACTTTTGTTTGAATCATCTATGTCTCTGAATTTTTTTTATTTTGTTTACAATTTGTTTCCTTTTATTTCAATTTTATTTTAATTTACTTCATATTTCAAATTATATAACTTCTCTATATACTAATTCTCATATACAAAGTCTAAAGATTTCTTTTCAATAAATTAAAAAGAAATCATCAAGCTACTAATCAATTAATTATACATACTATTATCACTTATTTTAATCTATCTATTACAATTTACTATTATTAGTCGCTAACTATCCTTATTAGTTCACTATTCAAACTATCAATTCTATTACTAAATGAACTTATTCCTGAAACTCCATATTAAAACCTTTCTTTTCAATATATTCCTACAGGTCTTGATAGTGTGTTATCTACGTTATTATTGTATATGAACTAGGCAGTCTAATATGGTGGCTAACTAACTCCACAACTTACACATTAGCTGCAAATACCATCATTCAAATTCTCTATAAGCTGCTATGCTTAAGCAACCCTTTGGTGCTGATAGACTTTTTTGGTGCTCATTCCAGATAATAAATTGTGAGTTGAATCGATTATTTCCACAAATATCTTCAAAAAAACCGTGTTTGTAAAGTGAAAATTATTTGGAGTTTTGCTAGAATGCACTAGTAGCTAAAATTTGTAATATTTTTATTAAAAATGCATTAAATATATATATATAAAGAAACAAAAATTCTATAAATTTGGTGTGTCTTTCTAAAAAGATCTTTTTTTGTAAAAAAAAATTTATTGCATCAATGATTGAAAGAAAGTTGGTATTAAAAATGATTTGGAAGATGAATTGGATCACAAAAACATGTTTTATCTGTGGATAGCAGACATATTTATAAACAAAGGCATCCACATTAAATGTCATTAAGAAACTTCTGTTTTAGAATATTATGATGAGTGAGTTTGAAAAAAAAAAAAAAAAAATAAAATAAAATAAAATAAGGTAAAGTAAAACAAAGTAAAAAAATAATAAAAAAATCTCAATATAAAACTTCACTTGAAGAAATTAATAGACCAAAAGCTGATTATGAATTGAAAATAAAAGGATTTTCTAATAAAAAAATCCCTAAACTAATAACCAAAACCTTGATTAAAAAATAATAACGAATTTCTTTTATAAAATCAACAAAATAAAAAAATGAAAAAAAATGTTTTGTAATATAATTTTTAATTCAACTTATTTTGATACATTGTTTTTATATGTCAGCTTTTTGTTTTAATGCTTGTTTCATTAAAAGATATTTTTCTTCAAAGTTAATTTCTTTATTACCTGGTATACCACCATATCTTAATACTTCGACTAATGAGTATGAATTAGCAGTTCTATCAGGAGAAATATACGTTAAAGCTCTACCCTTTTCTGAAATGCATATTTTGTGATGATCTCTGAAATTAAATTGGAATGAACCGTTACTTAATTCAAACATCACATAGGGATCATATCTGCTATATCTTCTTAACCATATGTCTTCTTCTCTAGCACTGTGTTCATTTGAGACGTTGCACAAGTTGGTCTTCATATATTTAGCAAAAAACTCAACTATTCCCATTTCTTTTCTCAATTCAAAGGGCATTGAACTTAACTGAAAACTTTTTGCCAGCCAACCTTTAAGTTTGTCCTCGACTATATACCAAAAGTCTTCAGAGTTGGTTAATTTTAAGATTGAGTTGCCATTATTAAACAATACACCGATATCGTTTGAGGATAATTGATAGGAGAAACCATGTTTATTTGAGTAGTCAACCCATTTGCTTATTAGTATTGGTCTCTTGTTGATCACGTAGTTGTCGTCGATTGAAGATCTTAATCTGACTTGCCTTTCAGCTATGTTAATGTTGCTTAAAGTTTCCATGCATTCATTTGCTAATAGTTGGTCTGATTTTTTTTCGAATTTAGAGGAAAAGTTGAATTTTTTTGAAGGTTTTAACATTTTGTTTATAAGAGCTTCTTCGGTTATTCTCTTTGAAGCAGTACCGACCATGACCATTTCTTTATATTTATTTGAAGTGCCACCTGGAGATAGGGATTGGGGCAAAAGTGCTTTTGGTTGTTCTGATTCAAGATCTGATTTTAAGATTTCTATTGGGTTTTTAGGGCCACCGCTCATTAAACCGCCATTCATTTGAGCATTGTAAAAGTTTGCTTCTGCTTCTCTTTTGTCGATGTTATAGTAATAGGAAGGTTCATTTAGTAGTATATCGGTGCTAAGTTGTCTTGGAAAGGAGCCTTTAAACCATTTATAGTGAAGAATATCAGAGAGAGAAGGTCTTTTTAAAGGGTCAAGAGAGAGGATATCCTTTATAAGAATTTTTGCTTCATCTGAGACGTTTTTGTCTTGGGGAAATTGATAATCAGTTGATTTAATTCTTTCGTAAATTAGTTTGACGTCCTTTGATTGAAAAGGGGGTTTACCGAATAATAAAGCGTACATCATTATACCGATTGACCAAGTATCTACTTCGAAGGAGTGACCTTTAATTTTGCCAGTAAGAACTTCAGGAGCAATGTAGTTGGGAGTACCACAGATTGTGTATTTTCTATCTTTTCCAACAGGCAAGACAGCAGCAAGACCGAAATCACCAATTTTGAGGTTCATATCAGCATCAAAGAAGATATTACCAAGTTTAATGTCTCTGTGGATGACTCTTCTATTGTGCATATACTTGATAGCAGCTATGATTTGCACAATCATGAATCTGACTTCAGGTTCAGATAAGTTTTTTCTTTTCTTCAACAAGTCCATAAGGGAGCCATGGGAACAGATTTCTAGAAGAATGTAAACGTTGACATCGTCTTCGAAACAGTCGATAAACTGGACGATGTTTGGATGAGACATTGATTTGTGGATTTTGATTTCAGATAGTAGTTTTGTTTTAGTTTTTTCATTTTTAATTGAGGCCTTTGCAACAGTTTTAGCAGCGTATAGTTTTCCACCATCATCTTTGATTTGGAAGCATCTAGCAAAACCACCTTCACCTAAGAATAAACCTCTTTGGTAATCTTTACCTGTTCTTGTTCTAATGACTGAGGGAGGAGTTTTGCAAAGAGAGGATAATTTTTCCCTTTTTTTCTTTTGTTGTTGTTGTTGTTGCTGTTGTTGTTGTTCCTTTTGTAGGATTTGTTTTGCTTGTTGCTGAGAAGGGAGTTGAGTTTGGTAATGGTTAGTGTTGAGGTTAGCATTTAAACTATTTCTAACGTTTCTTGAGTTGAGGTCTTGAGAAGCAATGACTTGTAGAGGTTGGCCACGCATTTTGGAGAAGTAGGAGGAATTTAGATTTAGAATTAGATTTAGATTTAAGTTTAGAGAGTTGAATAGGAATGAAAATAGATTACGGGGGATGTTGAAAATGAGAGGTGGGTATTCAGATGAATTCCTGATTGAAATGGATTGTTTGGTTTTAAAATCGTTGTGAGTAAAGTTGTTAAAAAATTGGAAATGATTGAGATAGTAAGGATTTCTGTGATTGAATAGATTTATAAGGGAATTAAAGAAGGATATTTTAGGGGGGCTATTGTTGTTGTTATTGAGGTTGAGACTAATAATGTTGGAGGTATTAATGTTAATATTGGAGACAATTTAAGGATTGTTGTCGATATCACTTTGTAAGAAGACGTTTGAGAATACTTTTAAGAATACTTTTAAGAAGTGAGGTATGAGATAAGATAAGTGTTATAAAGAGGGATAAGTAATATAGAGGAGTAGTATTGGTAGTGATGGGGATAAGGATATGGAAAAATACTGAAAACCACAAAAGGGTATAAGTGAGGTATATATCAAGTATAAATCAGGTATTAGAGGGCAAATATCAAAGTAGTATATTGCAAAGTGGATATCGAAAGATTGGATATAAGAGAGAGAACCAGAGAAGAAAACAGATGACAAAAAGAAATAAAAAAAACCGGAACCAAGCGAGGTGAGTTGAGTCGAAGGAACAGATGGAGAATTAAGGGCTAGGGATGGGAAGAAACAAGAAGATATATCAGGAAAAGAAGAGGAACAGAGATGGTTGCAAGAAGAAGAGATGAAAAAGGGATATTAAATATAAAAACAAAAGCAAAGAAGTTTATTTATTTATATTCAAAAGGCCCAGCCAAAAAGCGAACTGCACAGAAAATGAAATGTGTGTTTACATTTTGCCGAATCGGGAAGAGCACCTGCAGCAGCGCCCAATGGGGAAAGAAGTACACAAAGAAGCAAACACTACACAAACAAATTCCCCAATCAGGCATTGTGCATGGCAGAACGTCTGAGTGTGCGCCAGGCAACAGCCTGCACATGCATGTGCCTGGGGCTGCTTTACATCCACAGCGGTGGTACTGCGTAGTGAAGAACCATCGATTGTTGAAATACTCATACCAGCTATTTTGACAGCATCTTTTGATCCTCTTATAGTGCCAATTTGGGCTTCTTTCTCTGTTGGTCCGCATCCGCATCCGCATCCGGGTTACGGCCCGTGGCCAACGCCAAACACCGGGCCTCGACGTCCGGAACTTGTGCGTAGAGCACGCCGTTGGCCGCAAGCGTTTTCCGGCCAGTGTTGTTTGCGACGAAAGTGTCCGGCTCGAGAACACCGACAAAGCACGTGCGGATGCCGTAGCGGAGAATTCGCTCGACACAAGGCGTTTTCCCGCTGAGTCGGTGCGAACAGGGCTCCATCGTGGTGTAGAGCACAGTCCCGACGGGAAGCTTTTGCTCGTCCTGCTCAGAGCTCACCTGCGCAAAGTACTTTTTGATGGCGCACTCCTCGGCGTGTGTGTTTCCTGGTAACTCTCGTGAGTATCCCGTCGCAAGAACCTCGTCGTCCAACACAAGCACCGCTCCCACCGAAAAGGCCCGGTCCGTGTATTCGCACTTCCGGGCCTCCTCCATTGCCGTCTCCATATGCTTCCGGTGCTTTTCCATCGCCCACTCCGGTATTTCCGTCTGGAACTCCCACTGTTCGCCCTCCGTGGAGTCCTTCGTTTTGTATCTGAACGAATGCAACCAAATCTCCAAGTTTCTCACATCTGGATCAGAATATAACTCGTCTTCACACTCTTTGCAGTGCTTTCCATTCAACACCTCTCCATTTTTGTTGCATTTCCCATCTTCAATCTCTCTTTGGTAATACCAACTGTTCTCTGGCTCGCTTTTCCCAAACTTGTCCAATCTCTTTTGCACCAATCTGTAGTCAATCTTGTTTTCCTTTCCCAACGCCTCTCCCCAGACTTTAACATTTGAGTAAATAGGATCATTGGCAATTGGAAACCCCAAATACTGTAAATGAACCCGAATTTGGTGGGTTCTTCCTGTCAATGGCCTGCAAATCACAATACTAGTATCGCTCTCTTTATCGTACGAAACCTTTCGAATATATGTCTTTGCTGTCTTTCCCTTTTCTTCATCCACTTTGTTCAATGTCAACCTTGCATCGTATTTATACAACGGTTTGTCAATCAACACCTCGTTAATCTCCTTCCCATTTTCGTCCATCTTTTTGAAATTCCCCTTCACTTTAGCAATGTATTCCTTCACCAAATCTCGGTTAATAAACTTATTTCTCAACTGCTCTGAATATTCCCCATTCTTGCTCAAGAGCATTATCCCCGATGTCAATCGGTCCAATCTATGCGAAACCAATATATTCATTTTCTTTTCAAACTGAAATATCTCAGATATTGAATTGTATCGATACCTACCAACTGGATGAACTGGTATGCCCGCGGGTTTATTAATAACAACCATATCCTTATTCTCATATATAATCTGAATTTCCTTTGCTGAAACCGCTGGCTCATGTCGATGGATCTTATGTGTAATCAAATCTCCATCTTTCAAAATCGTATCCAATTTCGCTACTTGCTTATTGATTGTAACCTTTCCCTCTTCGATCTTCCTCCGATAATGCTCTCCACTCTTGTCTCGAAATTCTCTTTGAAATACGTCAACAACATTCTTCCCTCTCCATCGTAACTTGCAATACGTATTATACGTATAATAGTATGGGTCGACTTTTCTTAGTTCTTTCCCAATCCTATAGCTCGTATTAATACCCAACTTCTCATCTTCAATTATAACAACTCTATCTTTGCTCAATTTCTCTCCAGCTTTTGAAACCATTCTTTTGAATGCTAATGAAATCCTGTTCATTTACCCAGTAGCCAATCTACCAAATAAATATTCAATTAAATAGACGTCTAGCTAAATATATAGATAAATAATCGATTCTACCCAACACATAATAAAAGAAAACAATTGGTGCTTGAAAAAAAATAACGGAAAAAAAAAAAGTTAAAACGGCCTCTCATTGAATCCTAATAAATACTGAACAGATTTTTAATCAAACTATCTATAATTAACAGTTGATAACTAATAATTAATATATAAAATGGAAATTAATCTTATAAATAAAAACTATCTTGAAGAACAAAGAAATGCTCTCGAAGAATTGGATAGAATCCAACTAGAAATATCTAACAGAATCCAAAGAAATCCAGCTGTTTACGTTGGCTCAACTCAAAATATAGATCATGGTGTTTTAAATCAAAATAATAAAAGGCCTGTAAAAGAAGTCCTACTCCAACAACACGAAATTAATTCATTCATTAAAAGATACAAAAAAAATTCATTATATTTAAGCAATTTTTATCTCAAAAACTCAAATGATTTTCCCCATCACATTGATTCAGAATATGAAATTGATAAATTAAATCATCAAATTTCCTTTATATCTGATCCAAATTACAGCTTTGAAAATTTTGATCTCCTTTACAGAAACATTCAGAAAAATTATCTATTCAACACTCATTCTCAAGATGGCAATCACAACTTGTCATTGCTATTTTCAATGGGTTCATCAAATTTATCCAAAAAAGATCTTCAAAATACAAACATAACAAAAGACATTTTCAAAAAAAATATTGCAAAATCAGAAATTAAAAAAAAAAGTATATTAAGTGCTTTTAGTTCAGATTTATCTCTTGATTCCATTTTTTCTTTGGAAGAAAACTATGGCAAATATCTTGATTTAATTCAATTTCATGAAATTTTTTTAAATCTACCGGGCCTATCAAATCATTTCAATGACGACGAAAGATTTAGTATAACATATCTAAAATATTTGGAATTCTACTATAAAGTTGATAAAAATACCTATAACGACTATTACAAAGCCATTAATAGACATTCCCATGAGTATATTGATTATATTAACCAGTTATCAGATTATTTGGTCAAGTTTATATTCAAAATAAAACCATTGTCAAATCCAGACAGGATAATTAAAAATTTAAAAAGTCAATTTGAAGAAAAATGGGTAAAGCAAATAAACCAGAATTCGTACAATTCCAGTAGTAATGATAATGGTGATAATAATAATAATAATAATAACGAAAGCGATAACAAATTATTTTGTAAACCTTGTAATAAACTATTTAGCAAGGAAACAGTTTTCAATGGGCATTTGAATGGGAAAAAACATAAGAAAAATGTTCAAAAGCTCAAAGGCTCAAACAATGCTCAGTTGAACGAAATTGAAAAAGAATTGTGTCTTGAAGAGTTTTTGATAAACGAAATCACTCAATTGTTAGAAAGACAGCGTCAAGACACAAAATTGAATGTTGAAAGAAAACAGGCATTAACCAATAAAGAAAGGTTTGAAGAAATAGAAGATTTACTAAAAGAAGATACTGTCGGTGATAATGAACTAAAATTGTTTGATTCTGATTATTTAAACGAAGAGCTGTTGGACAAAACAAATGAGGATAGTGAATCTGATGAAGAGAATGTGCCCAATCCACTTAACTTGCCGTTGGGATTTGACGGGAAACCAATACCATATTGGTTATGGAAATTGCAGGGACTTGACAGAGAATTCAACTGCGAGATTTGTGGGAATTTGAAATACAAAGGCAGAAAAGCATTTGAAAAACATTTTATGGAAGCCAGACATACCCATGGGTTGAAGTGTCTTGGTATCCAAAAACCATCGTCGGTGTTTAAGGGTATTACAAGCATCGATGAAGTGAGTAAGTTATGGAGTAAAATAAAATACGAAAATCGTATTAAGGACTCACTTAAAGAAAATACTGTTGAAGTTGAAGATGAAGAAGGCAACGTTATGACAGAGAAGGTGTACAATGATTTGAAAAAACAGGGGCTTATTTAGTTAATTAAAATTCAAAAACTCTACAAGTGAATGAAACAATCAAGCGACTATTAGCGTTGGTTGATTGTTTTTGGTTTTATTCATTAGAACGTTTTCAATAAATGTGATGCAAAACAGGATTTAATATGGTAGATTTATATGGATGTGATTATTACTACAAACTTTTCTACAATGGTTAAAAACTTTAGAAAATCTGGTTGTTTTTTCTTCGGAGGTCTCTTTAATTAGGACAAAACTGCTGTGGTGTACCATGTCATCAGGAAATGTTTGTTATTTCGCTGATATATAGTTGAGTAGAAAATATGGATCAATAAATTATTTAAAGATTGTCTAATCAACTGTACTATGCATCTTCTGTGGTTTGTAGGGGGGGTTGAAAAATAAAACGTTGACCCATCGGAGTGGTGTCGAGTCAAATTTTCGCTGCAAAAAGAAACCGGACGAGGGTTTATCAACAGTGGGAACAATTCAGACAGATTCAGAATATCTAGAAATCTAGAAGAATTAGCTGGCAATTGAGATGACTGAAGTTGTATGTACATATTTATTGTGATATAGAGAAATAGAAGAAAAGGAGTGGGCCCTTTGCTAACTAATAGTGGATAGATACAACCTAAGAAAGTCGTGTATTGTGGTATTTGTTCATTGCCTTGCGACTACTGTGAGTTTGGTGGATCATTTCCGCAGTGCAAGAACTGGATGGTGAACAATAACCATTCAGATTTATATGAAAAATACTATGTGAATAACCAATCGTCTCTATCGGTTGAAAAACAACAAGCTTTGGAGAAAGATTTACAAAAATTAGAGATCAAAGAGGCGAAGAAGGCTCAAAGAATCTTGGAGAAAAAACTATCCTCGAAAATCATAATTAAAAAAATTGAACGAACTAAGAGAAAGAAAGTTGTCTCAATTTCAGGGTTGGAAGTGTTTGAAATCGATATCAAGAAGTTGTCCAAAACGTTTTCAAGTAAGTTCGCAACCGGATGCAGCGTCGTTAAAAATGCAGAGAAAAAAGACGATATTGTTATTCAAGGAGACTTGGGAGATGAGTGTGAAGAGTATATCTTGAAGCTATTGAAGGAAAAGGGGCTAACAGACATCCAAGTGGAGCAGATTGAAGAAAAGAAGAAGAAGAAACAACAGCAACCACTCAAATAAGCTGTGAATGATCACCAGTGAATGGTTTTGTATTCCACAGCACTCAAGACATTAAACCGGTAAATAGATATGAATGAACATAACAAGAACCATGTTTGTGGAACAACAAAGTCTAAGCGGCACCAATGACTTTTTGCAGCTATATGCGCATACGTGCTGGTAGTTGTAGTGAATCGCGTTATAATACATCAAATGTCTCACTGAGTTCCGAGCTAGAAATCCGGTTGCGCCAATGCTCGGTTTCTGGAATAAATACAAATTTTATTTATAGCTCTTGGAAAATGCCCATTATCTTAATTCTTTCTAAAACCCTTCATAGACGGTTTTGGCAAATCAATAAGAATAATGGGATACAAGATATTACGAATAGTGAAGTGATTTGATTCCTAATTGAATTTATGGGAATTTTAAGCAATGAAACAAGTGGCCGCTTGATTTGTTACAATAATAAATATAGCTCTAGTTTATTTGATAAATGAGCTATTCAAAAAACATTTAAGTTTCAATATTGATAAATTGATAGGTTCTGTTATTGTTTTAAAATGACAATACAGTTCAGTGCTCATTGCATCGATTTTAAACCAATTATCTTCAGTAGAAGTCAACCCCTATTTAGGGGAGTTTTAAATAAATAAACAATTTGATTTTTTTTTTGAGAAAAGCTATCTTCGAATATAAGTAGGACGGGTGTTATTTATTAACAACCAATAGGTCCAGTTTTTGGTGCTGAATAACTGCTGTCAGATTGAATCGAATTTTCAAACCAACTCAAATGACAAATTTGAATCTGCAACTGTGCCAATTTGCTGAATACAAACAACCAAACATTCCAAACCCTGGTGATACCTTTATTTCCAAAGCAGATGTGATGCAAAAGATTAAAAATGAATGGTCGCAAAAAAATGGAGTCGGGTTGTGTATTAAATACAACGACAAATACAGAATGGTATTCAAATGCCAATTCCATGGCACAAAAGTAATTACACCAGAGAGTTCAAAACGCCAAAGAAATTCTAAAAAACTTGGATGCAAGTTTGAAATCAAAGTGAAATTTGTCAAGCTGCTTCAACTGTGGCAAGTGGTAGAAGGCCACAACACACACAATGGACATCTGTATCTATTGTACAAAGAAGACCAGACTATGCTACGAAAACGTTCACCAGAAGTGAAGAGAATGATTCAGCAAATGGTTAATGCTGGCAAGTATGACACTGCTACTTTGTACAATCTAATTCGACATCATTTTAATATCCCAATAATAAAAAAGGATTTATTAAACGACATTGCTGCTGCAAAACGTAAATTGAAACTGTCAACACCAACTGATGCAAATAGTGGTCTTTGATATATACCACTAATTGATGAAATCCTAAATTATTATTCATGCACTACAAATTGTGCAATTACGAATTCAATATTTATTGCAATGATATGTTTTTGTTAGATGATATTTTATTAGTTTGATAATAGTTTGTATATTGCTGCCCGAGTGAATGACATTGCATCACCAACAGCTACATTTATGTTTCTTTACTCCTTATATCTTATATGCTTTATATACCTATCGCAAGATTGTGATTCTCTAATAAATCATTATCAAGCTTTGAAATCACAAATGTTGCGTCATCGTGCACGACCCGCATCTGTGGTTTACTTTGTTGCTTTTTGACCTCATTTTTTTACCCAACAAATGGCACCAAGCTGCTGAACAATTTTGTCAGCGGGACATTTTTGGTATGTGTGTGCGTGATCACACTCTAATACCTCGTGACTCTGAGCACGTAGTGGGAGGTTTTTTGACCAGGCGCATCTCAGCCATTTCAGGGTCCCATGTTGCTGGTGTTGTTCACAGCATTATATCTTCATGAACATATAATCAGCAATAATCAGCAACAGCAGCCTCACAGAGTTTGTATTTAAAAGGGGGAGCTTCCTGTGTTTCAGCTTTTTCATTTTATTTTCCTAGAACTCAAACAATTTGATCGTATTCCATATTTACAGATTTCAAAATGGATCAAGAAAAAAGCTACGAGTCGGTTCCTTTGATTTCCTCAAACCCATCTTCAAGCTCTGCCACAACTTCAATAAATCTTTCTCACAACGAGTCCTCAAATTTATCTTCTACTTTAAAATCAACAATTTCCTCAAGCAGTATTCATTTGTTTTTATTAACATTTAATTGCGGGAAAAATCCAAATTTATTTCAGAAGAACAACACTCTATTAAATGAGTTGGCCAAAAAATTACCAGCTTCTCCCTCGTCTTTTTTCGTTTTCAGCTTTCAAGAAATTTGTTCAGTTTTAGAAAGTTTGGTGGATTACGAACAAGTTAATTCCTATTTGAAAAATGTCACTGATATCTTGATTGAATTTTTAAGTGAACATTACAACTTGAGTTTTGATAAAATTGCTTCAAATTTCATTGGTGCAATCGGCTTGATTGTTTTATCTCCATTTAAAGACAATTTTAAGAATCTAACATTAAATTATGGGAAATTTTCAACCGGTTATTTATTTTCAAGTTTAAAAGGATCTTGTGGCATTAGGCTATCATTCAATCTTAATACCACCAAAAATGAAAAGACGATTTTAACATTTTTAGCCTGTCATTTAACTGCAAATGAGGGGTCACTTAATTGGGAAAAAAGAAATAAAGATCTTCAGTACATCTTCAATTATCTTAAATTCGACGATAGTTTCACCTCATTAATCGACGATTCGCACTGTTTTATAATGGGGGATTTAAATTACAGAGCCACTGCTAATATTTTTAATATCAATGATATTGCTAATATTAATTTCAATGATTTGGATATCCCCAATCTACCCTTGAATACAATTTTAAATTTGAAAAATCAGTATAATAATAACTTGCTAGATAATTATGACCAGTCATTTTTCAATAGAAAGGATGAATTGACTATTTCTAAGAATAACAATAAAATATTATCAAATTTTGATGAGCCACCGATAAATTTTAAACCAACATACAAATTCATTATCAATTCCAATGAGTATACAAAAAAAAGAATCCCATCATGGTGTGATCGAATATTATATTTATCGTATCAGAATAACGATAATAGAGAAGTAATTTCGAGCTATGATTCAGTTCCAAATGTTCATTTATCTGACCATAAACCAGTTTATTTGGATATAACCATTCCAAACACACCTCCATTGATTACTGTACCATTATCATTAAGTAGCACAATTGCTTCTACTAGTTCAACTAGGTCTATTGCTTCAATTGCTACAACTGGCACAGCTGGTACAACTAGATCGCTTTCAAGACCATTAACCCCATACAACAACGGATATATTCAAACTGCTTCTATTTTGAACTTTACTACAGATTCGATTATTGGATATGCATTATATGCAATAGAAACAACTAAAGGTAGATTTTTCTTTGGTGTTTTTCTTTTAACTATTTTACTTATATCATATTTCAGATCTTTTTTCTTATAAGCATTGAGATTAAGAATATTTATTAAAACTAAAATGAAATAAAATGAAATAAATGAAATAAAATGAATATGGATATAGATATGAATATGAATATGAATATGAATATGAATATTATTACTAGCATAGTTTATGTCTTCCAACCTATATAGTATATAGTATACATTATATAGCTCAATCTCATACCGTATAATAAACCAAGAATTTCGTTTAGTTTATTAGCTTTTTGATATGATCATCAGTAACCTCATAACATGTTGGTAGTTTTTTTATGATATTATCGGGATATAATTGAGGAAAGTGCTGTTTAATCAAACGCATCATTTCCTTATACAAGAGATACTGCCCATAACCAGATAAATGTAAACCGTCACTTGTCAAGGTACTATTGTAGTTGTCTATCATGATACTTCTCAAATCTAAGAAAGGAATGTCATTTTGTTCACAAAGTTCTCTTGCCTGGTTATGATATTGAAGAACCAAGTCGTTGTCTAAATTGTAACCCTTTTGAACGTCTTCATAGCACATCTTGCTAAAGATTTCAGGAAAATAAACAGGAGAGCCAATGATGATTAAATTTATGTTTTTTTCTTTTATGAGCTTAATCATTTTGACAAAGTTGCTCCTGACGTCTTTCAAGGATAAGTAAGCATTGTCTTGTGTTGAAGCATCGTTAGTTCCTCCACTAATGATGATCAATTTCAAATTCTTAACAAACTCATCGTTGTTTAATAAGCTCTCCAAAAGCAACGATATATGGGATGTGTTGTACCCACCAAAACCTCTTTGAACAATATCTAATTTTCTTGTGTAAACATGAGCCAAAGCTGAGCCAAAGGTGAAATGGATCTGTTGATTGAAATACTCGGCTTCATTTTGGTTGATGTGATTTTTGTCATTGGGGGTGCTATCAGTTGGAGATTCGTGAGAATATGGCAACTGGTTGTAGCAAAATTCCATCAATGAGTCGCCGAGTAGTAGGAGCTTATCGTAGTTGATCAAATCGACCTTGCTGGGGCTGGAGAGTGTCATGTTGGACTGGAGATTTGCTAATTACTAATTTGTGCGATCCACTCGAGGAAAGTGCCCAACGCATTGTGTTTAAATATTGCAAGCACACAGCAGCTGTAGAAGCCGGTTTTTTCATGTGCTTTTCCAACAGGCTCCAGCTGCTCGCCGATAAGCGTCTCCACAGCTCTTCCTTTCGACTTTCTCAAAGTCCATGATTCCACGCCCGATGCGGTTTTTCCGGCCCTCCCGGTTGTGACGGCCGCGGATATTTGCCGGGCGTTGCCGAGGCCGGCCACATCGTGCAACAGAAAACAATAAAAAATGATGTTATAATATACCTATTGGACTTGATGCTTCTTGCAAACTTGACAACACCCAAGATACCCCAGTTATTGGTTGGTTTTGACTCGTTCCTTAGTCGAAACAATGCTCAATTGAATACCAAATTACATCCATCGATATGTCTTCCAGTATGCTCTTGTTTGGTTTTCAGTGATATAAACACATCAACAACTGTCTTCTATCCTATCCATTCATCTGAATCTGCATTCACAAAATAATAACTGCTTTGACTCACTTACACAATGGATATCAATCAACTGTTTTGGAGACAGTATCACAACAATGATGCAAATAAAGTTCAAGTGATACCATCCCAGAAATATCCCATTGACAAGCTTCCTTTTGAGTTGGTCAAGGCAATATTCAATCAATTGCCAATGGACATATTGTGGCTATTCAGCTTATCCAACAGCAATGTGATTACGTTTGCAGCATCATCATTACTATTCAGAGGCAACAAATGGCCCATAATCACTAGTTTATATGAACTTGGACTATCCATCAGAATACAACATTTGCTAGGGCAATAAAACGACCACTTTTCTATCTCACGGAAACGGTGCGGTTTCTACAAGTGGGAAGAACAAGTACCAATTTGTAATTTCAAATTGAAGTTATTTTTATTCCACTCGAGTGGCTGAATAATTTACTAATTACAATGCCATTGAGTGCGATTTTAAATGCTCTCCATTAACAGTGCCTGTCAGTTGAAATTGACAAAATTCTAGTGACATGTACAGACTGTTTTTACATTAGTATTTTGTTATCATAAACGGACAGGCACTCCTAAAATAGGTTATCCAGCAGTAAATTTCTAAAAACAGGATCTTCATATCCGCACTGTCTCCGTAAGACGGAAAATTGACCTAGTAATAATCCGTTGTGACCTTTGATAACCGATTTCCGGCGGTTAGTTACGAGTTAATAAGTTTCCGAGAATTCGTTCTAACCGTTCAAATCCGGATGCAACGTTCGAATCAATTAACTCAATTCTTTGATTTAAATCATTGATGTGAGATGCGTTTGGTGGAATATCAAGTGTCTCTTCGGTATCACTGCCTGTGCTTTTGACGTGAATGCTGTCAGTTTGACAGTCGTCGAATGATGGGTAGAGATTTCTTCTAGTGCTCATGACTATTAGACTTCTCTCTTCTACTGTTTCGTTGTTTTATTTGCTTTCTATATAGCTAGTTAGTGGTCATATTTATATAATCTGATTTCTAATATTCACCAAGACATTTATGTGTTGAATGTTTTTGCTTAAACACAGTTCTCGTTTCAGAATTGGTTAAGTCTTATATATTTCGTTTGAGGCAACGGACCACAATGACCTCACAACCGTCCGAGTTCGGATTGTGTTTTGCGGCCCGTGGGCGTGGTTTCAACGCTTATCTTTATGTCTTTGATTTATGTCTCTAAATCACATCTCTTAATTATATATCCTCAAGCTCATCGATAGTTACAAAGTACGATTCGGGTAGCTTTTTGGCAAAATTTTCTGGATGCAAATCTGGAAGCTCGTTCTTGATTATGCTCAATAATTCCTTGAAAACGAGATATTGACAATAACCAGACAAATGAATTCCATCGCTAGTCAAGTTTTCATCATAGCTTGACATGAGTGCATTCAAATCCAAGAAAGGAATTCCATGGATTTTGCAAATGCGTCCTAAATTACTGTTATAACTCTCGATTATGCTGTTGTCCAAAAAATAGCCATTTTCCACATCAGCTAGACAGTATTTCTTGAAGATCTCGGGATAGTATTTGGGCAATCCAAACACAACTAGCTTGATTCCCCTTGCTTTGACCATTCTGATAATTTCCTTGATGTTTTTAATATAATCAGGCAACGCACATTGAACATTTTTACAGGTGGAAGAATCATTAGTGCCAACTGTTAAGATCATTAATTTCAAATTCTCGGTGAGATTATTCTTCTCAAACAATTTCTTTAGTATTATTTTCAAGTGTAACGAATTGTATCCTGCAAATGCTCGATGAATGATGTCCAATTTTCTTGAGTAAACATCAACTAAACCAGAGCCCAAGGTAAATTGATTATTTTTTTTTGTAACATCATTTTCGTTATCTAAAATTGCGTATTCATGAGATATGGGCAACTGTCTAAAGCAAAACTCCATTAAGGAATCACCAAACAATAAAATTTTATCATAGTCTAATATATTATCTGTAACAGTCATTTTGGTTTGCAATTGGCAAAATAACAGGGGAAAGAAAAAAAATTATCTTCTAGCATATACAAGTTGCGAATTCATATATATATATCTACTGCAGCTTATGTTAGCTAATCATATCAGTATCATCATTAGTAATAATCAGTAGATAAGAAATCACTTGTCTTATTTGGGTACTTTCCGAGATAAACTTGTCAATGAATTAGGCAGTTTAAGGAGATCTTAAAAGCGATTTCTTATTGGTCAAAATTTTACAGCTGAACTTTTAAATTGTTTTTTGTTTGTTTTTGAATAAAGTATAATCGATATAATTTTTATGACTCTTGAAACCCGTTCTACCTTTCAACTTCCTTCTTCCACTAAAAGTTTTCATTCAAGCCTTCAGAAAGACATTAATTATTTTGAAGCAATTGTCATCCACATATTCCAACTCAAGGTGTAAATGGTACTTTTAAGATACCCACAAAAGTTGATGGCCTGCAAACCCCAAAAATGAGCACGCGGTAAATTTAGGCACGGCTCGATAAAAAAGTCCCTTTTATTCACTTCCTGTTTTCTCAATTAGTATTTCAAAGGTGCGCTTTAGAGCCCTACCAAAACGCTTCTAAAACCCCTCTCAAAACGAAGATGGCACAAATTTCATTTCCAAGTGTCAACAAAAACATGTTTATTCTTCCATTTTGAGATCCAAAAAAGGAAGACTTGCTGCCAATTGTCTAACAACCGATGCTCCCCTAATTGTAGTTTTGCTAATTTCAACTAAACATTAGGAATGATCATAATTCCGATTTGCCATTTTTCTCTCTGACTTGGGTAGCTTGTCTGCTAAATAACGGCTGTATTGAATATATGCCTGGGTCAATGAATAACAATCCATCAAACAGTTTTCATAGAAAAAAAGTGACTTCAAATGAGTATCAAAAATAGCTTCCATCAGAAACCAACACAAGAACACCTTCCTCTTTGATATATATTTCCAGTAAATATCCTTCTTCCACAGAAAAAACAAGAAATCGACCAAAAAAGCAAGAACTGAAGATAATAATAATTATTTTCTACTTTCAGCAGGTGAATCCCACTTACCAAATCAGGCAACTGCTCTTGTAGCACGTTTTCAACTGGCAAATTCATTTTGACTCACTTTCATACTACTTTTCCTTGCAAAACGAATCCGTTATTCTAAGTTGGCTGGGCTTGTTATATCATGAGGATCATAAGAGCCTGGTGAACTTCATTATACCAATTAGTGGAGTTCTTATTATAAACGTGCTTGAAGTTTATTGCATGTATCTAAGCTTTAAAAAGCATTTTTTTTTTTTATTGAAAAATTTCCCACTAAAAACATACCAGAAACATCTAGGTACATATTCTCACCGTTCTGGCTCCGTTAAAACTCTTAATCCGAAATTAGGTTTTTGATTTTGGCCAAATTAACTATTATTTTTTTTTTCTTCTAGCTTTTTTTCTTTATCACCACTTTATTCAACTTATTCGAATTTATTCTCGCTACTAACAATTGAATTGGTAATGATGTTGTTTTTATTTCGCTCACATTTTATGATTTCTATAGGTCTTTATAATTAATATTCTATATCGATCGGTTTTGTATATAAGCTCGATGTTTTCTGTTGTCTATTTGAAAGAATTATTACTGTTTTATTTTTATATGGTTATATTTCATTGAGATCAATCTAGTAATTCAACAATTTAATTACAATCCATTATTCTATTTAGTAATTAATTCAATAGCTATTTCAAAATGGTTTATGCACTTCATGATTTTGATTATCTATTTGGACTTACCATAGTTTTTGCATTCTTGGATGCATGGAACATTGGTGCAAATGATGTTGCAAACTCTTTTGCTTCTTCTGTTTCCTCCAGATCGTTAACATATCCCCAGGCAATGATTCTAGCAGCAATAGCAGAGTTTTTGGGTGCAGTTTTAGCTGGTTCAAGAGTTGCCGATACCATCAGAACCAAAATTTTAGACGTTTCTTATTATGATAAAACACCTGCTGTGTTGCTTTTGACAATGACTTGTGCATTAATTGGTTCATCTACCTGGTTAACAATTGCAACCAAAATTGGTATGCCAGTCTCAACCACTCATTCTATTGTTGGTGGTATCATCGGTGCCGGTATTGCTGCTGGTTCTGATATCCATTGGGGATGGGAAGGTTTTTCACAAATTGTCGCTTCTTGGTTTATTGCACCATTAATTGCAGGTGGTTTTGCTGCAATCATTTTCTTGATTTCTAAATATGCTGTTCTTGAAAGAAAACATGCATTGAGAAATGCTTTGTTTTATGTTCCATGTTTAGTTTATTTTACTTTTTCAATTTTGACCATGTTGATTGTTTGGAAAGGTGCTCCACAATTAAAACTAGATAAATTATCCACAGGAACGATTATTGCTGCCATCTTTGGTGTTGGTGCTGTTGCTGCTGCTATTTACATGATAATTCTTTTTCCATTTTTCAAAAGAAAATTAGTTTATGAGGATTGGAGATTAAGAAAATGGGAAATAATCAAAGGGCCATATTATTATTTCAAGTCAACTGATGATATCCCACCAATGCCTGCTGGTCATCATTTGACCATTGATTACTACAAGGGTAGACGTTATGATGATGGTGCAGTTCCTGAAAATAATAATGATCCCGAAGTAGTTGCTCATAATTCATCCACTGAATTTAAACAATCCTCATTATATAATAAAGAAGAAAATGCTTTGAATAAGAATTTTGATGATATTGAGGTTACTGATCATGACGTCAACCATGAATCTAAATTGGAAGAAACCTTAACTACTAAACAGCTTTGGTTTAAGTTATTAAAGAACCCATTAAAATGGCCCAAGTTGATTTGGTTAGTTTTCATTCATGGTATCACTCAGGATATTATCTCTAATCAAGTTCATGATAAAGGTGTATTAGCTGGTAATTTGAAAAATGTTCATGTTGCCTCTAAGATTTATGATAATAAAGTCGAATATCTTTTTTCAATTTTACAAGCTGTCACTGCTACTGCAATGTCCTTTGCTCATGGTTCAAATGATATCTCTAATGCTGCTGGTCCATTGTCAACTGTTTATTTAGTCTGGAAATCCAATGCTGTTGCATCCAAATCCGATGTTCCAATTTGGGTTTTATGTTTTACTGCTTCAGCATTAGTTATTGGTTTATGGATTTACGGTTATCATATTATGGGTAATTTAGGTAATAAATTAATCTTACAATCACCATCCAGGGGTTTTTCGCTAGAATTGGGCACTGCTATTACAGTTGTCTTAGCTTCTCAATTAGCCATTCCAGTCTCTACAACTCAGTCAGCAGTAGGTGCCACAGTAAGTGTTGGGTTGTGTAACAAAAGTTTGAAATCTGTTAATTGGAGAATGGTCTTGTGGATTTATTTGGGATGGATTATTACATTACCTTCTGCTGGATTAGTCGCTGGTATCATTATGGGTATCATTATCAATGCTCCAAGATGGAGTGGTGTCTACGGTCTCTCCAATTAGATAGCAAAACCAGATTAATTTCACTACGAAATCGCATTTGCCTATAGAGTATTTTTGTTAGCACATCAGCCATTTTAGTTTTTTTTATATTTCTATATTTGCCACTTTCTGTATAAATTTTTGAATTGTGAATACCACACAATAAAATAAAATTTTCTTTTCACTCTAATTGCACCCTTGACTAATTTAAAATTCAGCCTTCTGCTCTCATGTTCAATGTGAAGACCATATGAATGTATATTCAACAATCAATTACTAGTCATCTCATGTAGAGTATAAACTAAAATAGTGAGGTGTGTAATTTCCTTCCGTGTTAGGAAGTTAAAATACACACACAGAACAGAATTTTCTAAGTTTCGGGTCTTTTCGACTGGCTTTTTAATAATATGTCAAAATTTTAGTCTGCAGTGATGGATATTGTGTTGGTTGCAGACCATTATTGATGTCTTTGAGCAATGCAAAATAGCTCTCAACCAACCAATTTGTCTTGATAAAACGTCTTCTCAAAGATCCAAACAGTTACTTTCCAGATTCTTCCCAATTGGGACAGATCAGAGATTTCCTTTCTGAGAAACTGCACCAAATTGGTGGAAACTAAGACGCAAGCCAAGAGAATTCACTTTGGAGGACAAAACCCTATTCCATAAAGCTGGACATAAAAATTGTGTTTTTTGTTGTTTGGAAGAACCACAAACAAGATTGGAAACGAAATCTGTGATTGTTTTGTTCAGATAAAATAGTCTTAATGGTCTTGGATCTAGGAACCTAAATAAAAAACAAACACACTTTAGTGATTTTGAGTTGCTTTATTGTTGTCTCAAAAGCCGGAAAATAAAGCTTAGATCTGACCCAAAGCAGTGAGAGTTAGTGCTATTTTTTGGTCTTAGGCATTTCGTTTTTCTTGGTTCCGCTCCCTTAATAGTTCAATAGTTGAAATGACAAGAATTCAGCTCTTGTAAAAGTATTTTACTGCATTTCATCCCAAAAGCAACAAACGAGTAGCTGTACGATAAACGTACTAAGAAAGAAATCAATTGTTTGAAATTTGTAAATAGATTTTAATGTTTGAGAGATTTTAATTAGAATTATTTTAGGTTTGAAAATTGCAACGGTCATGTCTGATTTGTTAATTATCAATCATATGAAATTCTTTCAGAATATAATTTTGGTCTTTTTCTATCCGATCTATAAAGTTTTTTTTGAATATAAGAGAATAAACTTGAAGTTTATCCCAAACTGGCCAATAACATTGCAATCTGAAATTGATATTATTTGACAATCGCATTTATATTTTATTAAAGCTTCTTTCAAGAGGCCCAACAGAGATGTATTGTTTTAGAATTCCAAAAATTCAGACGAGCGAAAACTGCAGCGGATTTGATTTGAAAATGATCTTGAAGACGAAAATATATTTTAATTCGGTTGAAGAAAATGGTAATTAACTAAATTACAATACTATTTTAGCTCTTGAATCTGACATAAAACATACATCTACTTGTTGTTCAAACTGCTCCTATTTTTTTTGAAAGAAATGTTGCAAATCAACAAAACAGAATGGATAGATGCTTTCTGTTACGATCCACGAAATCGTAAGAAACCCCAAAAACCTGACTTATTTCCTTTGCTTGACAATAATTTATAGTTATTTTATGCATTTGAATTTTTTTTCCAGTGGCACTTTTCCTTTGAAGTAACACAATATTTTCATTGAATATCCTTTTCTTTTGTAACTTTACTTTTTAAACTTCTTATTATGACTTTGGTTATTGGAAAAAAAATACTCAAAAATGGCTAAATAAAAGTGATTTAAAAACATTATAAAAAGAATCAAAATCTCTTAAAATAATTCACTTTTTTTTCTTTTTGTGTTCTAGACTATTTTTGTTTTTATTTTTTTTTCAACAAATACAACAACAATAATTATCCAAGATGGCAGATATTGAAAAGATCACGCCAGTCCTATCTTCTACTGGGGTCCAGTTAGATTCTGATGCTGCAGAATTAGCAAATTTAGGATACAAACAAGAATTCAACAGAGGATATAATTTCCTTTCTACATTTTCTTTTGCGTTTTCAATCTCAGGTCTTATGGGTACCATTTCCATCACTTATTTGTACCCATTATGGTCTGGAGGCCCAGCTTGTGCTGTTTGGTGCTGGTTTGTTGGTGCTCTTGGTTGTTTATGTATTGCATGGTCAGTGGCACATATCACTTCCTGTTTCCCAACATCAGGTGGAATGTATTATACATTAAGTCAAGTTGTTCCTAAAGAATGGGTTGCATTGTCGTGTTGGATCGATGGGTGGTTGTATTTAACTGGTGTCATAACTGGTGTAACAAGTACTGATTTTGGTGCAGCAACTTTATTGTTGGCTATTATTTCCATGTATAGTGACTATGAATATGTTCCTGAAAAAGGCCATGTTACTGCAGTTTCAATTTTGATTATGATAAGTCATGGATTGATTAATTCCTTACCCAACGATATATTGGCTTCAATTACTCAATATTACTGTATCATTAATATCGGATCCACGATTGCATTAATAATTCATTTATTGGTTAAATGTCCTAAGATTAACACAGCAGATTTCACATTTAACCATGTTGTCAATAACACAGGGTGGAGTTCAGATGGTTGGGCCTTTTTATTTGGATTCTTGAATGTGTCGTGGGTTATGACATGTTACGATTCAGCATCAAGAATCTCAGAAGAAGTTCACAATGCAGCATACTATACACCATTGGCCATTGCATTAGCATTGACTGTCACAGCTATATTGGGATGGGTTTTAGTCATTGTTTTCACCTTATCAATGGGAACAGATATCGATGCAATTTTAAACTCTCAAACTGGACAACCAATTGTTGCAGTTTATACTCATGCCATGGGAAAGCAAGCAGCGACAGCATATTTGACTCTTGCTTTTATCATTATTTGGTTTACTGGTGCAGTTGCATGTTGCTCAACCTCAAGGGGTATTTGGTCATTTGCTAGAGACAGAGGATTGCCATACCATAAATTCTTGGGAAAAGTTAATAAAAGAACCGGTGTCCCATTAAACTCACTATGGATATTGGTCTTGATTATGTGTTTATTATCATTGATCAATTTAGGCTCAACAGTTGCAATGAATGCAATATTTTCAGCATGTGCAATTGCAACGGATTGGTCGTATGTTGTTGTTATTGGAGCATTTTTACTCAATGCCGAAAAAATGGGAATTAAATTTGGGCCATTTAGTTTGGGGAAATTCTACAAACCAGTTATGGCATATTCATGTATTTGGACAGTTTTCCTTTCAATTGTCTTTGTTTTCCCCAATTTTATGCCAGTTGATAAAGAAAACATGAACTACACAATTGTTATTTTAGGTGCAGTATTTCTTGGTGCAGGAGGTTGGTGGCTACTTGGAGCCAAAAATTGGTACGTTGGACCAATTTCTAACATCGACGATAGTTATGCCAAAGAAGTGAAAGGTGTTATCCATAACAAACCTAAAGAAGAAAAGCAAGAACCTGAAGCAGAAGTGGGAACTTCAGATAAAGGTTCAGAAATAGGCAGCAATGAAAAAAAGAAATAAAGGAACATCTAGCTAAACAATAAGGTTTTGTCTGACGTCTTTTTTTGTGATTTTTTGATTTTTCTAATCTTGTGTTTTTATGTTTTTACAAATTTATAATTTCTTTTTAATGATAGCTATTAATCATATCTAATGGTGCTAATAATAATGAATTGCAGTAAATGTATACAAATAAATGTAGAATCAAAAGGCAATTTGTGATTGAATTCAGCGATAAAAAAAAATGCTCAAAGATATACCCTAAAAAATCAAAAAAAAGATAAAAACATTACATGTAAAAACAACAAATTTATTCCGATACCGGGAGTCGAACCCGGGTCTGCACGGTGAAAGCGTGCCATGATAGCCGTTACACTATATCGGAAACTAACTAAGCTTAACTTTTCTTAAAAATATTTAAGCTTGAAGTAATGCGGCAGTTACCGTATTTGTTTGTTTTTGGGTAGTTTAATTTATAGTCACTATTTTTTTTAAAAAATAGTTGCTAAGAGCCCACTTTATCGGGGTTCTTGCGCGGTGTTATTTATTATATCTATATATAAAAGAGTGAATGCTATCTTTGTAATTCTACTGTAGATGTGAGGAAACCTAATAAATAGGAAGAAAACTCATATCAAAGACAGGAGTGTGAAATCTAAGAAGATGTATGCTGGTGTCAAATTACCTTATGAATTGCCATGCATGGGAGATGAATATAATGAGTTTGCATATGCCCCATTTAGTGCCTAGGTATGTGTGAATAATATTTGGGTCCACTTCGTCAGAGAAAATTGTTTGAATCTCTGATCGGATTCTAGCCTGTGAGTTGATTGGACGTTGGAAGATATAATGAATTATCGTCGGTTCTGAGAGGGAACATTTGCATTGGTTGCTGCTCATATACCCAGCTCTCCACGGGGTATCTTCACCAAAGAGGTGTCCTGTGCGAAGTTGAATCACCGCGCTCACCTCCTCCTTGGTCCTGTGTGATAGGATTTTAAATGTGGGTAGTCCTTTGATTGATAGAGGGATGTTGGAATTGGCGATTACCTTTTTGTAGTGAGAACTATGGTTTTATTTGTGAAATATTTGTGAAATATTTTATTCCATTTGTCACAGAATATTACTATTAATATTATTATTAATAATTTTGTTTGGGTATTATTATTTTTATGATTCTCAAGTTTAAGCACTCATCCTTATTAGCTCAGTCGGTAGAGCGTTCGGCTTTTAGGGATTTTTCTTGTCTCGCAAGAGACCGAAATGTCCAGGGTTCGAGCCCCTGATAGGGAGTGCTTCTTTTCTTATTACTATAATCTGTAGTTTTCTGAATGTATTTAACTAACAAGTTATTCAGATTTATTTTCTACATCAAATCAGAAAACCACTTAACATGATTTCTTGTTACAAAACTGTCTGTAGCTTTGTTTTATTTGCTTCTATTTAAGAGATAATTACTTACTTGTCTCAAATTTTCATTCTTTTGATGTCAGAAAGCGCTTTTTCATGAGCTAATTTGCAAAATCTTATATCTTTCAAATGCTCCTCAATGAAAATTCTTATTGTATTTTCCCAAAAAACCTTTTTAACATCATTAAAGTTTCCAATTTCAACTGCTAAAGATTCGTGATTGAATTTAATTTTTTGCTCTAAATCAATGATTTCCACTTCCAATTTCTTGAATCGCTCAATCAATTGTTTTTTGAAATTGATTCTTTTACTTTCAATTATATTTGTGAAAAATGAAATTTTTTTGCCCGATGATGATTTAATTATCTCATTGTATTTCATTTCATCATCTTTTTCTTTCTCAAGTATTATAATCTTCCCAGATTCATCTATACTTTCTATAATTAACTCATTGCTTCCCCCATTTTCACTATTAATATTAATATCATTATTTAGATTATTATTTAGATCATTATCAAAATCATTATCAAAATCATTATCAAGATCATTATTAATACCATTATTAATATCATCATTATTTAATCTGTTGTCTTCTATATTTTCAAAGTCATTGTTTTCATTATAATTTCCAAATAGACGCTCACTTTCGCTTATATCACCAAGAGTACTTCCATTTTCAATATTGTTAATGTTTTTACTCGGCTCATTTAAATTTTTCTTGGATATTTTTTTGAATAACCTGATAGGTTCATTAATAACATTCACAGAACCAAATACCTTTGACAAACTATTATTTGATGCCTTTTTTTTTATTTTATTTTTTTTATTTATTAAACTCTTACGATTTGCATCACTTTCATTCTTGTTACTATCACGATTTTTATTATTCATTTTGCTTAACAACTTCTTAATATCATCCATTTCATTATACATTCTCCACCATTCAGGTACTAATTCATTAATTATCACTTCAATATTCTTGACCAAGTTTTTACTTATCATCTCAAAGGTTTTAATCATCATACACAATTTTGAATATGCACTGGGTTCACTCTCATCAAATATCTTATAATTGCTACTAAAATCTTTTAAAAAGCTTATAATTTTAGGCAATTCGACAAATTTATCTGTTTCAATTCTATTATTCATATTCATATTCATATTTTTCATATTTTTCATATTTCTGTTTCTTTTTTTATTTTTTTCTTCTTCATATATCAACTTGTCTTTATAATTTAAAACTTTTTCAAACATCACATTCTTAGTCACATATTGATAATCCTTGGTCTTCAAATCGATAAACAATCCCAATTTATTCAATTTGCTTATCAAAAAACTATATTCCTTTATATCGTTATATGAATATTTCAAAAAAATTGATATCTCATTTATATTTTTCGGAAACTCTTTTATTGATGATGGTAATGACATTGAAGATGAGGATGATACTGATAATGGTGCCTTTTTTCTCACTTTATTATTCATATCATTCGACATCAATATTTTTTCTTTTAAATTATTTACCCGATTTAAACATCGCTCTTCTAGATTATTTTTCTCATTATTGAATACTGGTAAAACTAAAAACTCCCAAATTAATTCATAATTGTTTAGAGATTTAGCGCTTAATAAATAATTAAATAAATTTATATTTAGCTCAAATATCAACTCATTCAATAATAGCTTGTTGAAATGCAATAAATTTTTTTCAGATATATTTTCAAAATTTGTAATATTTTCAATTAATTTATCAACCGGCAAAAAAATGTTTGGAAACTCAATTTTAATATATTTTAATAGTATTTTAAAATCATTCAAATCATGCATAATTGAATATGTAAATAGCCTGTAGGAATCTTTTGAAACTGGGTACTTCATCTGTCCTTTTATTACAAATTTATAATGGCCATCATACCTTGGTCGGATGATTCCAATTTTTTTGTCATTGAAAAAGGAAACATAATTATCAAGAAAAAATGAATCAAATATAGTCTCAAAAACTGTTCTGTTTTTCTTATCATTATTCTCATTGTTTTCGGTAGTTTGATAGTTATCGGTTTGTATTATCAATGGATTATTGGATTCTTGACTAGAATTTTCACTTACAAAACTATTATTATTATCTATATTCCCGTTATCACTATCAATATATTTTTTATTATTGTCATTGATATTATCATTTTCATTATTATTGTTACTGTTTAAACTTGTATTTAGTTTTGTTGTTGATTTTGAGTTGGAAGACATTTTGATGTAATCTAAAGGAGTAAAAAAAGTTACCTTGTCAACTTTTATTGGATTTATTCTTTTGTCATGAATTAAATCTTTCACATTATTTATTCTATTCAATTTGATTGAGTTTAATAATGGTGTGACTCTTTTATGATTTTCTTCATTTAAATTAATTAATAAATCTTTATCTGATAATAATACATTTAAATTTGATTTCAAGATATGGAGTAAAGTATTTCCTTTATTATCAATATGGTTTTTATAATCAAAAGCCTGGCCTTTGAGTTTATACCAGTATTTAACTAGTTTAAAGGTTCTTTCAATCAAGTTATCGTAGTTTGTATCGTCATATTTTCTGCATATGGTAAATAAAGGAGTTTGATGGTTTATATCTTTAAAAATCCAGTTTATAAATAAGCCGATTTTATCGATTAATTCATCATAATGAATTAAATAGTGGCCTATAGTTCTATTAAAGTTATCGGGAATATTATAGTAAAAAATTTGTTCGGGAATAGTACAAGATGAAGAAATTATATCAACGATTTCGTTAATGATTGGGATATTTTCTAATTTTAAAGCTTGGTTCAATAGAGTTGTATTAAAGATTGTTTTATCGTATAAAATATCTTCTAGAGTGAAAATGTTTTCATAATTAAGCAAAGTTTTAAAAATTTGATAATTGGAACTTTGAACTGCTAACATTAAACAGGATTCACCATTAATTGTTCTGCTTTTAAGAAAGGAATCAGGGGATATTTTTGAATCAGATGATTCAAGTTCATTGTTTAATAGATTGTTTAATTGAGTTAGATCATTATTTTTGATCAAGTTCCAAAATTTTTTATTTTTAAAAGAATTCCTAGATAGATTGATTTTGTTTTCTTGATTCTGTAGATAGTATATTACAGCTTCAAATGTGGAAAAAATATAGCCTAAATTACCCTTTTCGATATCGATATAGGAGAAATTTTTGATATAATTGAAATGGGTATTTAGATTAATAATCTTTGAATTGATTACTACTAGGATTAGTAGACCGATAAGATTGTCAGCATCAATAATGAAACTTTTGACTTTTTGAAATTTATTTTGAGCGTAATTGTAGTGTAGGATTTGCTCTTGGTTTGTTAAAATTTTAATGGTATTTAAAAGAATTTTTAGTTTTGAGTTGTAGTTATTTGATAGAGATAATGTTTTAAAGGTTTGGATTGCTTTGATTAGTTTCCTTTCAAGAAATAGCAATTGGTGATTGTTTTCAAATAGGAGGAATTTTTCGGACAAGTTTAGTTGATTGCTTGAGAGATATTGCAAATCGTTATAGAAGAGTGAATTGAATGAAACTGAGTTATTATTTGATAGTAGGATTAGTTTATTGTAAATTTTATGGTATAGGTTTAGTTCAGCGTAATCGTAGATGCATTGATTTAGATCAATTGAAGGAGAGAATTTTAGGATATCGTTTACTAAGTAGGGTGGTAAAGTATTGAATAGCAATTTTAAATTTGATATCAATTGATTAAATTTTGATATTAGATCATCAATTGAGTTTAGTTTTTTTAGGTCGAAAGAATTGAATATGTTGTTGAATCTGTTGCCCAAGATTTCTGAAATTAGAGGAAATCTTCTCATTATTTGCTCAAAGGATGTATTTGAGTTATAGTTTTTGATTGATAATATTGTGTTTGAAGAGTTATCAAATAGTTTTGATTCTGAATCAATGTCATCGTCATTGTCGCAGTTGTTATTAGTATTGGAGTTATTATTGCCATTGGGATCATTATTGGAGTCATTCAGCGTGTTGACAGAGCAATTATCATCATCACTTTCATTATTATTGGTATTATTGTTATCATTATCATTATTGTTATTATTATTATTATTATTATTATTATTATTATTATCATTATTATCATTATTATTAGTATTCTTCATATTATTATTGGTATTGTTCGTATTTGTATTTGTATTTATATCTGTATTAGAATCAAGAGAATTTGGAGAAATATTATCAAATTTGGGATCTATTATTTTAATTGGAGTACCGATTATGGATTTTTCTATATATATGATTTTAACATTTTTACAATTTAGGAAATTATTAAAATTTGGAAACAAGTCAATTTTAATAATTTTGAATTTCTTTATGGACTCGTAATTTTTGGGATCCAAAGTACTAATGCAATCCTTTTTTATGTAAATTTGTTTATTATTCAAATTGATGTATACTTTGGAGGTCAATTTTCTGTTAGAAAAGTCGTTTGCCAAAGCATTGGTATTGTTTGGGGCATATTTGTTGGTCAGCCTGTCGTTGACGTTGTCATGAAAGATTCTGATGATATGGGACTTTATGAAGTCCAAGTTGTATGAGAGGTCTCTGTAGGACACATTGGAATCCTTGTTAAGATAGTTGAGCAAGAAATGGGTTGAGGGCACCAATAGAATGAAGTTCGAAGGGTACTTGTTGATGGTCTGGTAGATTTCATTCAAGGCAGAGCTGGAGGGTGAAGGGTTGTTGAAGAGAGCATTGAGCAATGGATTAAGCAAAGTGGGCAAGTGGAACAGCTGTGTTGGCAGCATTGTAGCAGAGCAGTAGAAAAAGCAACAGAGTAGCAGAATAGCAGAGTGTTAGAGCAGCAGAGGCAGCAGCAGACGAGGTTGATGGCAATTAAAGAGCAGGCAAAGAGCAAAGCACTGAATTAGCCCTCTGATGCTTCTCAGTGTCGATCTTCCTCAACCTCTTCTCCCACAGCCCTGGTCGTGAGCTGGAATCCACCGCGCTGGATGCGGTATATGAATGTGTGTGTGCGTGTGTGCACATAACGCTCACGTGTATTCCTTAAACAGGTATTTCCTGTATAAGCAGGTGGAAACCACATTCCCGATCGGGCCAGAACATTCTAGAAAGCAGCGCGTTGCCTCCAACAGAAAACTGCTGAATCAACTGCTTCTTCTTCTCCAACTCCAACAATTCCAATACTACTACTTCAAAATGTCTGTTACCAACAAGGACGTCGCCCACTTGATCATAAGTTTCCTTCAGGACTCCATCAAGAAAAACCAAATCAGTGAGGACTATGCTGAGTCATTGCAAGATGTGGTGATTGACTGTATTGCTGATGCCTACGAGGTCAGTGTCGACGATACTCCTGCTGCTGTTGCTTCCAAATTCAAAGGCAAGCCTCTTGTTGAGTTGTTGACCCAGGCTATTTCCACAAACTCCTCCAATTCTCCTACCACAGAGGCTCCTATCGCCCCTCCAGTCGAAGATACTGAGTTGAGAAAACAAGCTGATGCCCTTAAATTAGAAGGAAACCGTGCAATGTCTCGCAGAGATTTCCAACAGGCCATTGATAAATATACCCAGGCTATCCAATTGGTGCCAACTAACGCTGTGTATTTATCTAACAGAGCCGCTGCCTACTCGTCGGCTTCAAAACATGAGTTGGCTGTTGCTGATGCTGAAAGGGCTATATCTTTGGATCCAACATACGCCAAAGCATACTCAAGGTTAGGTTTAGCTAAATATGCCTTGGGTGATCCAAAGGCCTCAATGGACGCCTATAAAAAATGTTTAGATGTTGAAGGCGACAAACAATCACCCTCTTCTATCAAAGGTTATAACACTGCTAAATTAAGATACGAGGAACAATTGAAAAATTCAATTAGTTCAAATGATAGTGATCAAGCTCAAGTTCAGCCTCAATCTGAAAATGACACCACTTCTACTAATAGAGGATTCCCGGATCTAGCAAACCTCGCTGGTATGTTTGGTGGTGCCGGTGCTGGTGGTGCTGGTGCTGGTGCTGGTGCTGGTGCTGGTGCTGGTGGTATGCCATCCTTAGCTAGTATGATGCAAAACCCTCAAATAATGCAAGCTGCTCAACAAATGATGCAAAACCCCGATGCTTTACAGGGCCTTCTCTCAAACCCAAGCATTCAACAAATGGCTCAAAACATGGGTCTTGGTGGTCTTGGTGGTGCAAACCCTTCTTCAGGCCCTGCTCCAAATTCAAGCTCAAATTCAAATTCGGATTCCAATGCTACTGGAGCAGGCTCTGCTACTCCAAACTTTGCTGATCTCATGAATAATCCAATGTTACAAAATCTTGCCAACAGCTTTCTAAATAATCGTGATAACGGTAACAATAATGGTAATAATAATGGTAATAACAACGGAAACTCTGGTTTTCCATAAGCATTGATTAATTTATAGTTTTTGTTTCTCTTTCTCTTTCTGTTTCTGTTTTGTTTTTGTTTTTTGTGTCTATATATATACATATATTATTTCTGTAAGTCATTTTGTTATTTATTCAAAAATCATTTGTCTTTTAATCACTTTTGTGGTTTTTCTTTCCATTTTCCACTCGAATGTATGTGTCCTGAATTTACCTCACGTCCCGAACTCCAGATCTCGCATCTGTCTATCTCGGTTCAGAAAATAGGGATGGAAAATTTATGACATATTTGTTATCTCCCATTTATCTCCCATTTATCTCCCATTTATCTCCCATCTCATACTCTAACAAAGTAACTCACTGAGAAACACTAAAAAATGCAAGTTCAAGTCGATCCAAATGAAGACACTGAATGGAATGATATCTTGAGAGAAAAGGGCATAATTCCCCAAAGACCAAAGTCTCCCACTGAAGACATCGAAGATGCAATCGACCAAGCAATAAAACAACAACATCAAAACAGATTGGAAAATAAAACTCTAGACGAACTAGACGAATTGGAAGATATTGAAGATGACGCCTTCTTAAACTCCTACAAAATAAAAAGAATCAATGAATTAAACTCCCTACTAGTCTCATCAAATTTCGGTCAAGTCTACCACATCTCAAGACCTGAATACAAATCTGAAATAACTGAATTGAAAAACGTCTGTGTTTTAGTCCATTTGTCTCTTTCATCAAATTTGCAGTCAAGAATATTATCAAATTTATTTGAAAAAATTGCTCCAATTTTTGCTGAATTGAAATTTGTTGAAATCCTAGGTAAAAGAGCCATTGAAAATTATCCAGATTCAAATTGTCCTACTTTACTAATATATTATAATGGCGACGTCTTGAAACAATACATAACTTTATTCGAATTAGGTGGGAATTCAACAAATTTACAAGATCTAGAAAAAGTATTGGTCAACTTGAAGCTAGTTAAAGAAAACGATAAGAGACTATCAATAAATAATAATAGTGATATTGACGATGACAACGACGATGATGATAATGATGCTTATAATAGAAACCATAATGGAAATACAAGACTGGGAAGAACAAATATTTCATCTAATCGAAATATCAGATCATCGAAATACAATTCAGATTCAGATTTTTCGGACTATGATTAATCTTTCATTTTATTTATCATTTAACTAAGTTTAATTATATATTCATTTTATATAAAAAATACAAGACATTTAAGAAAAAATTATTCGAAAAAACAACCTAACAATGAATAAAAATAAAATAATTACAGATAATTTAGTTTAGTCATACAGAATCATAAATGCAGAAGGTAAAAGGAAAAATATCAAATAAAAAAATCTTCAATTTATATTATTGCTATTCGTTTCTGGGGATAAATTGAAACCATTAGTATTGTTTCCATTGTTATCTTCTCTTCCATTCTCGTTATTTAAGTCATTGGAACTGCTTCTAGAAGAAACATTCATATTATGATTATCATCTCTCATCTGATTTAATATTGTCGGCTGATAGTGGTTTAAATGAATATGATTACTATTTTGTTGATTTGAGGTCTGCTCAAATGAACTGATATTTTTAATTTTGTTTATCTGGCTCAAATAATTTAATTTATTGAAATATCCACCCATTGGTTGAAAATTCAAGTTATTTGTTTGCTGCATTGATGAGCGATCTTGGTTAATATTTTGAGAATAATTTTGATTATAACTTTCGGTTTGTATCTGATTTTGATTTTGATTCAGACCTTTATTTTGATTTTGGTTTTGATTTTGGTTGTCAAGATTTATGTTTAAATTGAAATTGGTGTTTTGATGAGAATTTAGATTAAAATTGGGATTTGAGTTCTGATTTTGATTCTGATTTTGATTCTGATGTTGTAATGAGTTTGATGAATTTATTTTTATATGTCTTGAATCAGCAATTACTTTATCATTGATGTTATTTGAAATTTTTCTTCTCTTGGGATCAGAAGTTGAAGTGATTTCTGTATTTGGAATTATATTAGAATTCAATCCCAAGTTTGGATCATTTTGAATTTTTTTGATTCTTTTAATCTTTGTCGGTTTATTGTATAACATGCTATTTTTTAGAATATTATTAAAGTAAAAGTATCTAAAATTGTTGGGCATTTCGTCGTCTTTAGTATTAGATTTTGAATTTGTGAAAACTGGTCTATTATTAATTTTGAAAAGTAAATTTAATTTTATATCTTCGATAAGTTTATCATCTTGAGAACTTTTGGTTTTGATTTTGTTATTATTGTTAGGATTTCTACTTGGGTTATTTTTGTTGGTGTGATTTATCAAGGGTAAAGATTGCTTGTCGATGTATTCATTTATTGTATAGTAAATGGTAGTCTTTTTACCACATAAACCAAAGTCAGAAACTATGCGAAGAGATTTTTTGTCGACGCCTAAAGAATATAGTTTCAAGCCCATGAATCTTTGTAAATAGTTTGATTGTTTTGGATGTCTATGGTGATTCAAAATGTTTATTATTCCGTAAAGTTTGTAATTTTTAGTGAGAGTATTAAGTGAGGTTGAGTTTAGGTTGTTGGATATAGTTGATGAATTTGTTTCATCATTAGAGTCGCTTAAGCTTTGGTTATTGGCAATTTCGTTGCCATCTTCTTCATCATTGTTATTGCCATTATCATTGTCGTTGTCATTGTCGTTGTCGTTGTCATTTTCAATTTCAATTTCAATTTCATTTTCATTTTCATTTTCATTTTCATTTTCATTTTCATTTTCATTTTCATTTTCATTTTCATTTCCATTTCCATTTTCATTTTCATTTTCATTTTCATTTTCGTTTTCATTTTCATTTTCATTTTCATTGGTATTAATATTTGTAGTGTTTTTATTATTTTTGTTAAAAGGTGAGTTGTGAAATGAGTCAATTGCATTAATATCTTTTATCTTTGAGCTAATTGTTGAATTGAATAGGTTGTTTAAAAATCGTAGAAGTAAGGGGGAATTTGTCTCCAAAGTAGATAAAACCTGAGAAATATTGATTTGAAAATTATCCTTTATGGAGTCATTGAAATTAAAATTATTGAAATATTGTAAATTAGTCAAGTTATCCAATTCTATTGCTAATTTGATGGATAAGATGTCGATCAATGGATTGAAATTAAATTCTTCATCGTTTTTCTTAAATTTTTTGGATAATAGAAAGAATTGTAGTGGAGTATTATGACTGTACATGTAATTTCTAATGATTCTCTTTTGTTGGTAAAATTGGGGCTTATTATTTTGTATCAACCAATTTAATAAATCTGTTATCGATAAATTCGTATTGTTTAGAGTTTGAAAAATATTGGTAAATATTTCGTCTTTATGTTTTTTATTGGTGGTGCTGTAGAAGTTATTAAGTTTGCAGTTTGTGTTTTCGTTGATGTTATCGTTTAGGCCTTCACTTATGGATTCATTTATACTTTCTGATATATTTGGATTCAAATTTTCATTTGAACATGGGTTGGAGTTTAACATAGGACTTGGATGCATACCAGGGGTTGGATTTGTGTGTTTTGTATAGATGTGGTTGTGAGAAGATTGTTGATTGTGCTGAAGTGGGTGTGATGGTTGGAATTGAGAGTTCAATTGAGAATTCAATTGAGAGTGCAAGCAAGATTGAGCAGAAGTAGAAACAGGAAGCTGAGGATGGTTTTGGAGAGCATTTTGCTGGTGGAATGATTCAAAGCCTGAGAGTAGCGGATTGACCTGACCTTCCATCAAATTGGCCTGGTTTCTCTCAAAGTCCAAAGTCGAGGTAAAGCCTTCTAGGTTGTTGTTAAGCGTCATGGATCCAGTGTTATTGAGATTGTTGTTTCCAGTTTTGTTGTGCTGGATAACGTTTCTGTTCGACTGATCGAAGCTAGACATTGTGATGGAGCAAGAGGGAAAATCGCAAATTGATACAGAGACAAGAGCACAGGGAGCACACAGATCAAAGCAGTAGAAGCAGCTAGAGTAGAGTCGCCAGCGTAAAGACCATCAAGCCGACTTTGAGCAGCAAAAGCAGGACGAGAAGAACAAAACAGAGGAGGTTTGGAAGCTGAGTGATTTCAGTCCTCAATCGCTTTTCGAGGGGTTACTCTTTTGGGAAGCTTTGATCTAGAGACCCGCCGCGCTGGCACATGCAAGACGTGCTGTGTTTCTGCGTCTTCTGCGTCTACTGTTTCTTTTGCATTATAGCGCATACGATGCATTTGCTGTATTTCGTGAGCAGAATATAGTCTAGAATAAAGAATAGTGAATGTAGAGAAAGAAAGAAAGAAAAAGAGAAAGAAAGTAAAACATAAATATAAATAACACAGTAAGTTTCCTAAAACCTGAAAAAAACCCAAATGCGCCTGTCCAGCAGTGTTCGAATTACTGAAAGCGTCTTCTTTCAGTAATTTTCGATGCAAACCATCACTGCTTGTCGTCTGCCTGGGGTGGGACACCTAGATTGTTGGTGTTTCTGAACATGAGCATTCCATTGCTGCCCTCGACAAACTGGCAGAGGCGCGAGACTTTGTACACACTGACAAACAAGCTCTCGTCTGTTGACTTGTAATGTTCTCCCATCACAGGCTTTATTGCTTCTGTCGCTTCCATTGCATGGTAGTGGGGAATTGTTGGACAGAAATGGTGGATAACATGAGCCTCCGACACCAAATGGGTGATGTACTTTCCAAGGAATCCAAGACTTCTATCGATGGTACAGCATCCTCCTCTGACATAGGTCCATGCTGAATCATCGTACTTGGGTAATATTGGATCGAAATGCTGCAAAAATGTAATCAAAACCACCCAGTGGTTGAACCAGAGATAGGGAATGAAATAGTTGACCATGAAATTAAACCAGCCGTATCCCAACACCGAGTAGATGTAGTACTGTGATATTATGGTGATCAAAACCCCAATGTCACTCACAATGTGCAACGACAAATTGTTTCTGAATCTCTCGCTGAAGATGGGAGATTTTGGATTGAAATGACTGGTCTTGAGTCTGTTGGCAAAAGTGTCTGGTTCCCCAGGATAGAATCTGCTGTAGTACTGCCCTGAAGCATTCACCACAATGTGTAAGAAAAAGCCGATTAAATGGCGGATTATGATGTTAAGCAATGTAACAACTGGTGCCTCTTCTCCAATTTCCTTCAATGTTTTCACTCCATGCTGTCTCAAATACCTCTCTCTTTCGATTGGAACCCAGGCATTGTCCTTCTGGATGTTGGCATTGGACTTGTGGTGGGCATTGTGCCCATCTTTCCAAGCAAAAAAGGGCTCCAAGGTGTACGAGTGCAAGAACCACCCAACAATGTCGTTAAGTATCATTGTCTCGCTGAAGGCATTGTGACTGCAATCATGGCCCACAACCCACAACCCAGTCATAAAAGCACCAAGACCAAATGAATAGAGACACCAGCAAACAAATCTTAGAAACACATTGTCTACCATAGGCATAATATAGTAATGTGTCAAAATCCCCAACACTATCAGTGCACTCGCATCCTGCAAAATATATGAAAACGAAATCCAGTTGTTTTTTCTGAAACAATGTTTGGGAACAGCAGATATAATGTCCTTAAGAGTGAACTCAGGAGTTGTATAAACATTTCCTAGTGTATCAACTGCACTGAGCTTTTGATCTTTCAATGGAGAACGTTTCTTTTTGATTGGTTGGATAGGCTGAGCTGCTTTATTTGATGTGATTTTGATCTCATTTAAAGCAACACCAACTGTTTCATCAATTGATTCTAACACTGTCGTTGATGATGAATAAGCTTCCATTATCCTTTTGTTTTTGTTTTACTATTTCAACTTGGGGGGTTTTTAATAAACAAATACTGTCTTGGATATGCTATTTAGTATTCTGCAACTTGTTTTTTTAAGATCTGCAGCTTTTCTAGTAAAATCTTCTTCATGATTTGATTTTGGAGCAGAAATTATATCTTTTTATATCTTTTTTTTGTTCTTAAATGAGAATAATAAAAAGCATCTTATCGATATGGTTAATTGAAAATCAAATAAAAACCAAATAAAAACCAAGAACAAACTCTCTAAGGGGTTTATTTTTTTTAAAAGAAAAAAAAACATATGATAGTCAAATTAATTAAAAAATTAAAATTTTTTTTCTTTTGCTTTTCTTTTCTAAAAGCTAACTAAAATAGATTCAGCTTCAGATTATCATTTAATTTATTAATACCAGATATTACGTTGTTTCCGGTGGGTGTTCTCTTAAACTCCAATGGAATCAACTAATTCTATTGATAATTATTACAAGTATTATAATTATTATAATTATTATAATTTTAAATGTTATTCTAAAAACATGCACTTTAAGCTTTACACAACACTCTTGACTAATATCAGCAAATTTTTATCTAGTTCTCGAGAGTAAAAAAAACCAGAGGTTACCGATTCGCTTAGGACTCTGAACATGAATTCAGATAAATTTATAAATAATCCTCTGATTCTACATCGTTTTTGAAATAACAGTATGCAAAAGACAAAGCTTAAATCCACCCACACTCCGAAATTGCGCTTTTATTAAATAAACAAAAAGCAATAACCATCTGGAAAGCAAAACAACAATCAATGGAAATCTGTACAAAATATCAGAATATTCCAGTTATAAGCTGCTTATTGTCGCCGAATAGAGCTTTTCGCTTGATTTATCCTGCTTTTTCCTAAAATATATTTCCTGCTACACAATGCAGTAATATTGATGCTCTAAATATCCAGTTTGTGTTACAAGAAATTCAAGATTATGCGGACAAAAAGCTCTGAAGGCGAGATGACTTTCTATCTATCTGGTAAATCAAAACCTCGTATTTTGCTATTCGAGATTGTTGGAGATATGCACTGTGTAGTGGTGAAAACAGTACCGAGCAAAAGAAAACTCAACAATAAACAACAATAACAAATCTGTGCTTTGGCAACAAAATCAACAATAAAAAAATCAATTTTGATACCTGAAAGAAAAAAGCAAACCAGTCAAACAATCGTGAATATGAATTTGTTATTATTAAAAGGTTCCAGTGGAAAGAGAAAAATAGCTGCTAATCTAAATGTTATAATTTTTAGTTCGTACTAATAGGCTTTTGTTTAAAACATGATTTGAAATGGTATACACAATTAAAAAAAGCCTACAAAAATTAGATTGACCCGAAAGTTACAAATTAAATTTAATTACTGATTTTGCTGGCAACTCAAAACTTGTACTCTGTTTGCTTTTAAGAAAAACTGTTCACTGCAAAATTTCATTAAAATTTATTTACAATCCTAACGATTATTCAGAATTCATTTATTTTGGTCTGTTTGTAGGGCGAATATTCTTAATTTAATACAAATTATACAAACTAAATGGTTCCAATGGATGATCAACCGATCACATTTTTTGCAAATACATGTTTTCCAACATCACTAATCTAGCCTATTTTACTGCAAATATCTAGCTGTAACTTTGATTATTAATCGACCATTATCCATCCAGAACCGCAGTTCCTTCCTTGCACTTAAATACCGAGAAACAAATCAGTCAAAGTGCTGACGAAATAATAAAAGTTGGCAATCTAAAACCGGCAATTTTGCTCCTTTTGGTGCACAAAACAACACACGCAGAGATTATAGCACCAATTAGATAATAGCCAGATAAAATAGCAAAATTGCACGACATCCACCATTTCTGATTCTTTTGATCATTTTGACTGTTTTGATTTGATTGTTTTGAGTGAAAAAAACTCAAAAACACTCAAGAAACGCACGAATGCATGCATGATGCGTCCACAATGCATGCATCAATATTAACGTGGATGTAAGTAGTTTATTGCAGGATCCAAACACACTTGCAGCAAGCAAAAACTCTATTGTTTTGAAATCGTCCAATCTGTGCTCCATTATAATAATATCTTATACTCTCCCTCCAAATGTCCCTTTTTTTTAGAACCCGATAAAACATCAAATGATTTTTCGGAGAAGGATTTTGAAATGTGCTGCTTTAAAACCAAGCTTAGCCATGGTTATCGAACTGCAAGGTCTTTTAATAAAGATCCAATTTCCTCACTCTTCAAAACAGTCTAAACATGAATTTCAAACATTAATTTAAGTCTGGTATCTGATCTTTGCTAAATTTCCCTTGGTTATCAGACTTGCCGGTTTTTTTTATTCCTGCCGAATCAATTAAAATCCAACTGCTCACTCATTCTAGCACCTCTTTGAAAATGCTGTTCAAGTTCGATTCTACGTGCGCTATTAGAGCAGAAAATCTTAAGGTTGTATCCCAGGACTAACAAAATCTAGTGTTATTTTGGATGAACAGCATTGGACAAGAAATGTGAGTTCTAGTTTGGTTTTAACTTGTTTACTGACCTCACATATTATTTCTCACTGTCCTCGGTTATGAATACAACTTCTCATATTTCTAAAACAAAAAAAAAACAACTCGCAATGAGTTTGACTAAACTATTCAATTTTATAATTCCGCCAATCATATGCTAATTAATCGTTTACTAAGAAATAAAATTATATGATATGTATTCTACAACCTTGATGATCATTTCATATTCTGCATTTAATATTGGAAAGAGTCATTAAATTTAGAACTAAAGCAAATAAAAGGATATCATAACTGTGCTTTAAAATGGAATAACATCTTCCAAAACTCGTAATTACAAGCAAACCCGCACCGTACGGAGGGCTGAAAAGTTGTTCGTGTTGAAACAATAGCGGCTTAATTCGATTCGTATCGCATACGAACTCTATCCGAATATACAGCCAGTGAGTTTAAATTAAAATTTTCACTTTGTCTTATGATTCTAAAATAATAGTTCAAAGAAAAATAACAAAAAAACAAGTGACTTAATTAATATTTAGCCTGTTGTTGCAAAGTCTAAAAACCACTTCAAATCATCAAGATCATTTTACTTCCTCTGTCCAGGGTTTTGTAATTCTCTCTTTGCCTAAAAACTTTGAAATTCTATTTTATAATTCTCCAATTCTAATCCCTTATTATTCCAACTCTTTTTTATGGATAAATTCAGTTTTATCAGTTTAGGAATCACTTCCTTTCGAGGTGAGTTCAAAGATCGGTTAATATTTAGAATTTAGGCCATTTTATCTTTAGTTTCAAAAATGTAGAGGCAATTAACTGCTCTTGCAAAAAATGGTTTCTTTTGCAAAAAATGGTTTCTTTTGCAAAAAATGGTTTCTTTTGCAAAAAATGGTTTCAAATTATAAAACTTTTAAAATTCATTAGTTTCAGTGAGTAATAATTATTAATAACTATTAACAATAATTTATTTGTTCTTTATTATCAATTGTATAATTTAACATTATTTACTCTTCCTTGATAAATATTAGTTGCGAATAAAAAAATAGTCTTTGAGTTTTGTTTGATAATCCGGTTTCGCAGATACACTGTATTTTCAAATCAAACTAAAATTATCCAAATGATTTTGATTAGCCTAGTTAATATTATTACGAATCGATTTTTCTCAACTGTATTATTATCGAAATTAAACAATAAAGCAATCAACATCTCTTAGACATCTCCTTCCTTACTGTTTAACTTCTTATCATTTCTAATTTTCTAAAAATTTAACCAATTCACTTAATCTTAATAATCAATGGATACCTCATTTTCTGTCGAAAATCTGTGAAATATCCCAATTTTAACTACAGAACAAGAGCATATAAACAGATGGAGATAAAGCACCAACCTGCAATGTTAAGTCTAGTCTATCTGAAGCTATTATTGCTTTATTTTATAATAAATCAAATACTATCTCTTGGTGTTGGAAAAAAATAACAAATATTGTGTTTTAATTACAATACACAGTTTATTAAGGCAAATGTAGTTGTTTTGTTTCGCCTTTATTTTACATCATAATATCACAAGTTATAAAATGAGAAACTCTTTAACCAAAAGGAAACACATCTTTTCAATCTAGCCCAGGAAATGGGTATTCTATTTCAAATGTGTTACCGAATGTTAGTAATTATTAATCACCCATTATCAAACAGCTTTTGCAAAATGAAATATACATACGTTCTGCTGCAACCAAACATTCCTCCTCAATGCATTTATATATGAAAAATTCATTAATTATTCTGGGAATTTTGGAAAGGTTTCCATCTTGTTTTATTCCAAAGTTTTTTGCAATCTCTTTTCTAAAATTTCCAACAACAGAATTCATCATGTTCGAATAGTGAAAGACTCGCAGGTTTTTCTCTTCTTTCTTCTGATATTGTTCTTTTAAATAGCTTGGTACAACAATAAAAGCTGCATCTTTGAAATCACCTGTGATTTCTCCATTATAAAAAGACACTAATCTGACCAATTCCTCATACTTCCATGGATTCAATATTGATAACTCAAAAGACAGAGATGTTTTTTGTTTCTCAAGCAACTCCCTGTAATGGTCTCGGATGTTAAATATGAAAAATTTTATGTTTTGAAACAAAATCACTGATGGAACTTTAATATTTGGGGTTTCTTTAAAATATTCAAAAACTGTTCCATGAATCTCTGCTTCAGTGAATTGATTTAAAACGCCGTCAATTTTAAATGTTTCTTTCATCTTCTTTAAAATATTATGAAATTGAGCAACCTCTGTTTGAAGGAAATAACTATCACCAAATTCATCAACCCTTGAATTGATTTCTTTCAAAACATTTTCATGAACTTTATAGCAATATTGAGGCTCGAGACTCAATATTTTTTTATGTTTCACACAATCCATAATCCATTTTGGAGAAAGAATATCATAGCCCTTTTCAAATAACAAATTGGTGTTTCTTGTGCCTGTTTGAACAAATTGATAAAAAGAAAAAAAATCAAAACACAAAAGTTAATAAAATCTTATTTATAAGACCAAAAATTAACAAATATGAAGACATACTGATATTTGATATTGACACCAAGTTTTTATTTTCTGTAAAGCCTACATTCTCGCTCTTTGTTATCTCACCACCATTTCTTCGGACAATTTTTTCGATATCACATTTGTAAACTCTCCTACTGTGGTTGTTAAATTTATAATCACTTAAAATGTTAAAACAATAACCAGCAAATATATCTGATTCCAGAGACAAATAGAAAAATTCATCTTCCTCATCATCTGATTCATTTCTTTTTCTTTTTCTTTCCTTTTTCTTACCTATTAACTGTGAAAAAATATTGTTACTGAAATTCTCATTGTTATTATCTAAGGTTTGACGATTTTTTCTTTTATCAGCAATACTATCTTTAATCAGTTTAATTTCAAGATATTCTTCATAACTAAGGCAATCTTTGCAACTTTTATCCCTTCTTATTGACTTCATGTAAAGGTTATATAACGTTGAATCAGTCACATAATCTTTTGCAACCATTCCATTTTCTATTGATCTAGCTTTAATTTCAAAAACAATGGAATCTTCAGGTTTAATCCAAAAATCTGGAATCTTTTTAGAAAATTCGATGATATCAGTGGGAGGAAGGTCTTCTCGGTAATTATACCATTTGTCATAAGTTAATGATTCAATCTCTTTCAAATCAGACTCTGATATACCATTTGATACAGAGCAAAAGCTTATGAATTTTTTTGATTCAGAATCATCAACTCTCAATCCGCAAATAAAAGAAGGTTTCTTTGAGTTGATTTTGCCAATTATTAACACATCCACATTATCGCCAAATTCTTCTAAATACTCTGGTTTGACTTTTATCCAATCCGGGCTTCTTTCATTGGCTTTATATCTGGAATTGATATCTTTAACAACAATGCCTTCTAAGTTATTTTCGATTGCATTTTTCAAGGAATTTTCAATATCTTTAACGGTGGCACCATTTTCAGTCTCAATTATTTCAATATATCCAGGTTTGGGGTTGATTAGCTCATTTAAAAGTTTTTTTCTTTCTTTGAGACGATATTTGTATATCGGTTGATCATTAAGTAGTAAGATATCAAATATAACGTATAGCGGCCTTGAGTTTGTGTAAACTAAATTGTTTGGATTATTTTGATCTCTTTGATTTGTCTGAAGTTTTTCAAGTTTAAAGGTTTCTTCAAGAAGACTCGATTTGAGGTAACCCAAGGGTAGAATAACATTTCTATTAATGTCATATGATAGCATTTCGCCGTCTAATATTAGGTTTTTGATTTTGTTAATATCTTTTTTGAAAATTTCTTTAAAGTATTTGGAGAAAGTGCCAAACTGAATGTCATCGCCAAATAAATAAGTATAGTCTTTTGCATGTCTAGTGAAAAATTTGAATTTAAAATTTCCATTTGAGTCCTGAGATATATGAACTACGGATCTTTCACCATCTAATTTTGTTTCAATTATAAATTGATTATCAAATTTTTTAGTAATTTCATTAAATTTGATAGGTTTTGAAGCCAATTCAGGGAAAAAAGGTTGGTTTATGGAAATTAGCAATTCCTTTTGATTCAATCTTTTTGATGGGCTGAGCAATTTATGGCAAAGTTTTTCCAAGTTACATGCAACAGAATAATAATCTAAAGCGTCAGGATGCCAGCAGGACAAGAATAGTGTATCAGTATTTTGAACAACAGAGGTCTTTAAAATAATTTTTAGAAAATACTTGATCTCAAGAGAGTTCAATTTGTTGAATAAATCAGAAAAGATTTTGATTTTATCATCTTGGGATAAATTTGCAAAGGCGAGTTTATCAAGATAGTCATTCAATTGATCAATTGTTATTTCGCTGCCATTTACAGTTGACTGTCTTTGAGTAATAACAGTAGTAATTAAAGTGATTAGAGATTCGTATTTATTAAATTTAAAATTGGCATTTTGGTTTTTCCAGTTTTTCAATAGCCTGTTTTCATCAGAATTTTTATTCAAGTTAAAGACTTTCAAAACCAAATTGATTAGAACAGTTTCGCGAATATTGTACAGACGATCAGTTTCTTTTTTGGGAACAGCAAGTCTTATGACTGGATAAATATCATTGCCAACATTCTTTCTCCAATTTTCGTAAAACTTCGAGATAATTGCTTTTTTTTGATCAGTTAAATTCAACCGGTGAGAATTGGTAGAGTAAGCAGTGAAGCTTCTGCTGTTTGTTGAATTTTTTGATCTCCTAATGGACGATAAGGCCTCAAATAAAGTGACCAATATTTGAAATTTAGGAGAGGGGCCATGATTGTGTAGGATGGTTGAATGATCAGTATCTAAGTTGTTTTCTTCTTTGGGCATTACAGAGCTGCCATCCTCAAGCTTAATCTCCTGTTTTGCTGGGATAGACATTGTATATCGAGGCCAACCTTGTCCAAACAGTTTCCAACATAAGACAAGATCAAAAGGGTAAATTAAAAAGAAAACGTTTGATTCATTTCACCGACTTCCATATTGAGATGTGAAAGAGAACAAAAAAGGTTGGAAAATAGCACCAAATCTGTGGATCTGATGCATGAATAGAGCCCTACTGCGAACAAGCCCTATTGCACCATAAAAATGGTAGCTACCAGCCCTATGGGTTGTCATTTTACCAATTGCAAAATCTGAACTTTCTTGAGAGTCAAAAGGAGCACTTTAGACTGTTCGTGGAGGGTTCTTTGATGTTGATTTGCAGAGTTTTGTATTTTGCAATTAATTGATGCCGAAAAATATAGAGAAATGGGTATTCTGTTCTCATAAGGAAAACCTGTCACATTTGGTTCTTCTCAATGTCTTTTATTGTAGATCGTTTGGCATTTAATTTAAGTTTGTGGGCACATTATCTGGAAATGTGGAATACAATAATTGATTGCAGCTACTTTTAAAGGATTTTCCTAGCTCAAGTGCAGAACATTTAGTTTTAGTTACAAATTAAAGGTTGGGTTTATTTTTTGTTTGTTGTTTATTAGATTTCCCCTACTTGTGTTGATATGGCTGTAACTTTATACTGGGAGATGGAATAAAGTTTGACAGTAAACGTTCTTGGCTGATGTTTAGATTCGACTCGTGGTTATCAACATTTGCGGGACCAGTGGTATCGGATTATATTTTCAAACTGGTTTATTGATCATAACAAAATATGTATATATATAAAAAGGAGATGATAAAAAAATAAAAGTAAAAAGAAAAAGAAAAACTTCAACATTTCAACATTTTATACTGTAAGTGGAAACAAAAAGAAAAAGGACAAAAAAGAAAAAGGACAAAAAAGAAAACAAAGTCATTAAATTTAATGGTCGTTATTATCATTTAAATCAATTTATTTGTTTCTGTAAGTGGTTTTGACAAGGTTGATCAAATCATCAACACATTGTGGGTTGCTTAAAGTACTGACATCACCTAATTGATCTTCTTCGCCAACCAAGATTTTTCTTAAGATTCTTCTCATGATTTTACCAGATCTGGTCTTTGGCAAATCATCAACAATGAAGATTTCCTTTGGAGCAGCAAATGGACCAATTTCTTTTCTAACAGTCATTCTCATTTCCAATTTAGTCTTTTCAATTTGTTCTGGAGTGACACCGGCTTTTAATGAAACAAAACTGATAACAGCTTGACCAGTTAAATCGTTTGGAATACCAACAGCTGCACTTTCAGCTACAGCTGGGTTTTCTAAGATAGCAGCTTCGATTTCAGCAGTTGAAAGACGATGGCCTGAGACGTTAACGACATCATCAACTCTACCCAAGATCCAGAAGAAGCCATCTTTGTCTCTAGCGGCACCATCACCTGTAAAGAAGTAGCCTGGGAAAGGTTTGAAGTAAGTTTCCAAGTATCTGTTATAATCTTTCCAGACAGTTCTAGCAATTGATGGCCAGGATGTTTTGAAGGCGAGAATACCTTCAACTTCATTGCCTGTTAATTCCTCACCACTTTGAGGATCTAAAATGGCACATTCAACACCAAAGAATGGGAAGGAACAAGAACCAGGTTTCAAAGGAGTAACACCAGCAAGAGGACCAAGAACTGGACCACCGGTTTCGGTTTGCCAGAAGGTATCTAAGATTGAGGCTTTCTTTCTTGAGATGGTTTCGTAGTACCATTCCCAGACATCAGGAGCAATTGGTTCACCAACAGTACCCAAGGCACGCAATGTAGATAAATCATAAGGAGCAATGTGGTGGTCGCCGGCTCTTTTTAGCAAACGTAAAGCAGTTGGAGCAACATAGAATTGGGTACATTTGTAGTCATCGATAATATCCCAGAATCTTGTTGGAGTTGGGTAAACAGGAGTACCTTCGTACATAACAGTAGTGGCACCAATAGCTAGAGGAGCATAGGCGACATATGTGTGACCCAAAACCCAACCGATATCAGCAGCAGTAAAGACAGTGTCTTCTGGGTGGATATCAAAAACGTATTTAGCACTGATGACAGCATTGACCAAGTAACCAGCAGTGGTGTGGACAAGACCCTTTGGTTTACCAGTAGAACCAGAAGTGTATAACAAGTAGAGAGGATCTTCAGAGTTGACAGCTACTGGAGGGACATAAGGCTTGTACTTGATGATTTCTTCGTGCCACCATAAATCGATTTTTGGATCGAAAGGAACAGATTTGTCGCCAGTTCTTTTGAAGACAACAACGTTTTTGACTTGGGGACATTCTTTGATAGCTTGGTCAACAATTCTTTTTGTTTCAACGGCTCTTCCACCTCTAACAGATTGATCAGCAGTGAAAACAACAGTGGATTTGGCATCATTGATACGGTCTCTTAAGGCAGTAGCAGAGAAACCAGCAAAAACGACAGAGTGGATTGCACCGATTCTGTTGATGGCCATGATAGTAGCGATAGTTTCAGGGACCATTGGCAAGTAGACAGCGACAGTGTCGCCCTTTTTGATACCGATGTTGATAAGGATTTGGGCAGCACGACAAGTTAGTTCCAATAGTTCACCGTAGGTGACAGTTCTGCCAGTGCCTGGTTCATCACCTTCGTAGATAATGGCAGGTTTGTCAGGGTTCTTAAAGGCATGACGATCAACACAGTTGTAGGAAGCATTGAGTTCACCATTAACAAACCAGGAGTTTTCAAAACCATGCTCAGGCCATTTAGCAATGTCAAAGTCTTTGAACCAAGTCAAGTGTTCTCTTGCTTGTTCAGAGTAGAATTTGTTTGGTTCTCTGATTGATTGTTGGTATAGAGTTTGGTATTCTTCGAAGGATTTGATGTAGGGTTCTAGACCATCTGGACGCTTTTTGAAGAAGTTAACAGGAGGTTGAACAATGCTGACATTTTCAGAGAGGTGTTCGTCGTGGTGGGACATTTTGTTGCAATTGAGGATTGAGGGAGGAATAGAAATTGAGGATTTAAAAAAGAAAAGAGAAAAGAAGATTGAATTGAGAAAGTGATTAAATAAATTAACAAATAATGTTGAATAAGCTAAGTATTGTTCTTTTTATTGAGTGATAAAAAAGAAATATTTGTGATGAGATTAAATGGAAAGAAAAGAGAGAGAATGTCGAGTATATTTATATTAAAGATGGGAGATTGAAATGAAATGAATAAGTGAAAGCTGATATATTGAAAATCGAGTGAAATAGTTATCAAGGGTCTAATCGACAAATTGGACACAAGTACTGAGACGATAATTGAATAAAATTCCAAACTGTCAATTACTGTTTACTCCACAAAATGGTAAGTCATTCAAAAGAAAGTTTAAAGCAGAAATATAAGGTTTGGACACTATAGCGAAATTGCAGAGCGAGAAGTAGCGAATTTTAGAGGGCTGTAGAGAGCTGGAGCGATAAAGTGGTGCAGAAAAAGAAAGTAGAGAGTAAGAACATAATTGAAGCGATGAAAGTTGGATGAGGGAAAAGAAAGTGAGGTGAAATTTCCCAGTTCTGGAATGGAAAGCATTTGGAAGAGAAGAGAAAAGAAGCAGAGAGGTGGAAGTGTGAAATACGAGACGATGGAGATGCAGTAGATTGGAAGATATGGAAAATGAGGAGAGTAGAGTAACAGTATAATTACGTTCTTCCCAAGGGAACTGGCGCAGAGCGATGAAGAGAGAGGAAAGAGGTCGAAAAGCGAGATCAGTGAGACATAAAGAAACAAAGAGCCAGCGCTGCGGGTCTGGGTGCACATCCCACTATCGTACCCCTCTATTCTGTTTTCCCTTCTCTCCCGACACTGCGGAAAGGGGCTTCGGCCGCGGGAACAGGCGCCGCGCCCAAAGAGCGCTCCAGCACCAGCCCACGAAGCAGCAACAGCAGCAGCAGACGCGGCCGCAGCTGGAGCAGAGGCAGCGGAGGAGTTGGAAAGGCCCGCGCGTGCTTCCACGCCGCCGGCTCGGAAAACACGCGCTCTCATCCTCACACTCAGCTCGCTCTCGCTCCGTTCGCGCACGCGTGCAGCTCTCCCCTTTTGCTGGTCGCCAGGCGAAGCGGAAGAGAAGAACAGCACGGAAAGAGCCCGCGTCTTGTTTCCAGCGGGAGAGGCGTTACCCGGGCTGAGTTTTTCTGGGGGGCGGCATAAATAACACAGCGAGCTTCTCCTTCTACTAGTTTTGTTGTTTTCCTCTTTTCTTCCTTAATCAAAAAGTTTATTATGGAAGTATTTGCCACGATGATATAACGTAATCTCCAAGTTATTTCATTGCCATATCTAAAAGATACTATTTCTCACTTCCCAGATCAATACAGTCCTGGATAGGAAGTTTGTGCTTCGTTGTGTTCTATTAGATTAGAGCGATGAATTCAAATGTCGATGAAAGGAAACATTAAGCCCATCCATCTATTTGATTAAAGCGGGTTGATTTAGTTCGTACTCATGCTTGTAGCGCCTGTAAATTGACATCTCGACACAGTGTAGCTACGACATTTCTCGACTCCGGTCGGTTATTCGTGAATTCGAAAACAGAAATTAAAATACAAATAATATATGTATATATACCATTCAATCATGTTAATCAGCGTTATATTTATTATCTAACTAACATTATATCAGTCAATTGCATTATCTTCAGCATAACGACCCTAATAATCTGGATGAATGAATTAACGGTACTTGTAGAATCCAATATCATTAGCTTTTTCACGGAAACATTGACGACAGATATTTAAAGCATATTTTCTGATTATACCTCCACGAGAAGCACAGACACGACATTGACGTGATCCCTTACCATAGTTTCTTGGGTGAGAATACCAAACGTTTTCATGAGCCATTTTCCTATTTAAAAAAAAAAAATATTCAAACAATTATAATTCAGTTAGTATTGGCTCAAATACGTAATATTATAATAAATCGATTCAAAATAGTGACAATTAGACTGATATTATGCTTTTCTTCTCTCTCCTATTATATCATTTAAATTTATCTATTTTCAAAATCTTTTGATTATGTCTTATCGTAATCTCTTATAAGATAAAGGATAAATAATTTTAACTAAAAAAAAATTACTGGTTTCACCCTATTCTTTATTGATTCTCAATTACTTGTATATTTTCCAATTTTCTCTCTATTTATTCCATTTTAGTTTGTTTTTCTGAAACTGCGTCTTCATTAAATCAATTCTTTATCTTTCATAAAATCTTTCATTTTTGAATCTCAAAAATCTTTTTTTAACTATTCTTTTATTATTCCAATGATCCCTACTGTGTTATTTTATTTTTATTAATTTATTTGCTCTTCAATTCTTTAATAGTTCTTTGATATTCATTACTCAATAACTATTCAATATTCAATATATCTTGCAATCTCACTCTTATCCTATCTCTTTTTGAATGAATTCGGTTCTTAAAATCAAAATACCTACAGTTATGTCTATTATATTATTTATTAATAGTAGTATACCAGTTTATAAGTACTCTTAGGATTGCTATGATAATTATTCACTTGATGTTGATATAATCTTATTGCAATATTGATTATCTTCAACCGAGCCAAAATTTCCTTTGCAATCCCCGTCACCGCTTCTCAAAATTCAATCCACCGGCTGAATTTCCTCCATTGTTTTGCGTGTTTTTTAAGTTTGTGACTGCATTACATTTAATTAGAGCCCTGTTTTAAATCACGTTTAGAAAAAATAGGGCTAATAATTACATTACTCAATATAGCACTACTCATTGTAGTATTGCCAATTACGTTTATATCCAGATTAAGTATATTTATTTACGCGTTTTATCGTTTATTTTATTTTATCTTCTTTCTTTTGATCCAAATTTTTGGCGTCTCGAATCTTATCCTTCTTGAAATTATCGCAATGACAAAAATTAATACTTTTATATTTGCCATTTGATACTTGGTAATTGGTATTTGCAAACAATCATAACCATAATCATAACCATAATTATAATCATAATTATAATCATATTCAACCATGGCTTGTATGTGTTTTCTTCTCTTTCCTAATTTTCTTTTCAATCTTGTTCTCTTTCTCGTTCTCTTTTGTATCCATTTTCCAGCTCTTCCATCTTACTAACACAATCAATTCAAGCTTATACATCCTATCAAACAAATTTTAGCAATAACAAAAACGACTATTCTAACCATGATGGCGGTAGTGGTGGTTTCAATGCCTCTCAATCAGCTCACTCAAACTCACAGTCAAAATCTTATGGAAAACTAACCATCACTCCAATAACTTTAAAACAACTAAACGAATCAGAACAAAAAGTCCCTGATGGCGAATATCTCATAAATAACATTGAACTATCCGTAATCTCAATCATTGGTATAATCAGAAACATAACTGATAACACCTCAAACCTAATCATTAAAATCGAAGATGGCACAGGCTCCTTTGAATTCAAAAAATGGCAAAACGATAATTCAGACTCAAATCCAAATTCTGATTTAAACAAACCTGACGATTTTCAAGTTGGAGAATACATTCATATAAATGGCACACTAAGAGATTTCAATTCAAAAAAAACTTTACAACACCCAATAATTAAAAAAATTGATGATTATAATCAAGTCCTATACCATTATTTAGAATGTTGCAAAGTTCATTTATCAGCTCAAAATAATGTTCATAATGAAAACGACTATAATCACAATAAAAATCTTAATAATGATAATTTATTCATATCAGACTCCCAAAATATCAACGATAACAGTCTGTCTCTCGATGATAGAGTTTATAATATAGTTCTACAAAATGTTTCTAGAATGCAAGAAGGTGTTCCAGTACAATATATTAGTCAACAATTGGGCGAACCCTTTGAAAAAATTTCAATGATATGCTCTAAATTAAGTGATGAAGGTAGAATTTTCAACGCTGATGACGATAGTTATTTAGCGGCATGAATTAATCTATAATTAATTAGCAAATACTAAATAATGTTAATTATTATTAATATATATGAATATATATATGGGGGGCGAATGAATAAAAGATTATACCTATTTACAAGCAAATTCCAATGTTATCTTATTTTTATTTCTTAGGAAGTAATTTTTTGTCTTCTCCAATTATATCATCGTCATTATTTTGATTTTGATTTTGAAAGTCTTCAGGAGTGTTTTTGGCATATTTGCCTAAAATACCCTTTAATCTTTCTGGGATATCTTCAAATGCCAAATCATTTGTCGTTGATGCAACTGATTCACCTTTCGCCTTTAAAATATCTTCAATCGTTATATGATCATCACCAAAGATCTTTAAATGGTCTGCGATAAGATGTCTATTATTGCAACCGGGGCACTCAATTAAAACTGTTCCTTTAGTATAAGCCTGTTTCGACATTACATGCGAGGATCTTGTGTTGCATTTTTTGCAAGTGAATGCAATCATTAACTCTTGGTTTGGCACTTTAAATTTCCTAATAGCTTTCTTGGAGCTATTTGCATTATTGTTATCATTTAATTTGAAAGTGGAAGATGAAAAGAATTTGTAGCCAAGTGCCAGTGATGGATATAAGTGAACATTGTTGAAAATTCTCCTGGGACAACTTCGAAGCACCCCTGGCAAGCAATATTTGGAAGATATGTAGTTGAAAACAGGTTTGAGATTCTTTGATAAGGCTTTTGACATCTTTGCTTTCTTTATTGAGGTTGAAGAATGGTTTTAGTTTAAATTCAGGCTGAAAAAAAATTCGATATAGAAACAGGAGAACCTCCCGATTCCAGCAGGTGATCCGTGCGCGGTTTCTGGAAAAATATCCCGATATCCCGTTTACTACAGGTATCTAGTGTCATAAAGTTCCATTAATTATTATAGAAGGTTTCAATTCATCTTTATCGTCTTTTGCTGCTTCTTCTGAGTCTTCTTCTGAGTCTTCTTCACTGCTGCTGTTCAGCAAGAGAGCGTCATTTTGGTGGTTGGTGTTGCCTAGTTCCCAAATGTCCATGCCCTTTTCTAGGTTTCTTCTTTCATCGTACTCGATCTGCAATTTCAATAGCCACTCGTTTTGAGCAGCCTCAACTTCTTCGCTATTGTTGCACTTTTTGTATATATCGAATAGCTCTTCATTTATTTTCAAGAAATTTAAACCATACGAGAAATTCTCCAACAATTTTTCTGCATACTGCAATTGATCGCAAATTGCAAAAGCTGCAGCCAATGCTTCCACACAATTTAGTTTCCACGGTTTTCCATAATTAACTGTATTAGCAGCTACTAGGTATGGTAGCAATCTTTCGTTTTTATTACTTGTGAATCTGCTAAAGGGGATCTCATCAATCTTTGCCCATGAGCACTCAATAACTGCAATGCCCTTTTCAAGCATGATGAATGTGTCCTCTTTTGAAATCAATTTTTTTCCATTCGAGGAAATGGCCAACCCAGAGAATCTTTGTCCAATTTTGAGACTTCTGATCAACCCTAATCTTTCCAATTTCTTACCAGAGCATCTTTTGGGATCACACTGGTTGAAATCCCACATTGCAATATTGACAGGAATGTCACTATTGACTGCTTTGTGAGTATGGCTCTTGTGTGAGCTGTTGTTGTGGTGTCCCTTCAGCTTGAAGTTGTTTCCTTTATTCTTGCTGCCCGATCTTGAATCATCTTTGCTTTTTTTTTTCCCCTTTGCCATGTCGACTGCCTCAGCAACACCACTGTTATCTCATCAATACTATCAAATTTTCCACTTTTATCCTCCATCCAAAAAGCTGGTTCAGATCCGAACATGTGCATGTGACTTAAACCGAACCCCGTAATTAAAATTTCCAAAAATTCTGTTTGGTGTGTTTGTGCTCTTTTTCAAACAAACTTTCAGAGACAAACCACAAATAAATTAGAGCTGAAAGGCCAAAGACTTAATAATATTTAATTAATGGTAGCAAAATTGCATGATTATTTTCTTTCAGAGCTCTTTCAAAGCTCTCAGTACACATCATGATAGTTTTGCTAAAATGCTTAATTAACGTTGATTTCCAATCCATTAATATGTACTTTTAAATCTTGTTTTTGAGTCTATAATGATCATTATCCATAGAATCCATCCCAAATTAGAAGTTAACACAGTTTTGTAGTTTTCTTATATTATGTTATAGAAATTATTCTTCTATTAAACTGTAGTGATTGGATTTGCCATAAATATTATGTTACCCAACCTGTTTTAAATATTATTAGTTGGTGATGAAGTCATTTTTGGCTCGGGATAAAGAGGACAAAAATTAGATTAATTCATAATTTTATTTCATGATTTTAGTTGACAACTATGATATATAACTGAAATTTATTATTTATGATTTTTAGTCTATTATTTTTAAAAGGCTTATGTTTAATTAATTGTGTTTGAATTATTATAATATATTACAATACATTTAAATTATTTCTTTTATTCTTTTATCTTTCCTTACTTTATATTATCTTTTTTACCTGTTTTTTTTGTTATTTTTTTATTTCCTGTTTTGTTTTTCACAATTAATCAGAAGATATTATCATTTGTGACATTCGTAATTCATTTTTTCTTATTTTTTTTATTTATTTTTTTTTACTTTTATCAACATATTTTAAACTAGCTTTTTTTATTTTTAAAAGTATTTGGCATGGTTTTATGAATTCTCTGTAATCTTGGAATTCTTGATAATCTACTGTTTTTGATTTTATTGGTAGAATTTGTGTTGGGTATCGGATTAGCATTAGCATTGGTACCTAAAGCAGTCGTTTTATTGTTTTTTATTGGAATTGGTCTTGCTGGTCTGATAGGTTTTTTAAATAAATCGTCATCGTTTTTTTTATTATTTTTGTTGTACATATTCCTCCTGTTATTATTATCATTGAAATTATTAACATTTTTAGTAGCAGTATTAAAAATACTGTTTCTTTTATTATTACTGTTACTGTTACTGTTATTATTATTATTATTTGTTTTTTTGTTTCCCAAATTCTCAGCATAATTCAATGGATTTTCAATGAACGATTCAGTGCTTCCACTTAAAATGCTTTCATTTATTGAATCATTGTCGTTATCGTGTTCAATATTGAACTTATTCATCTCCAAATTACTCATTATCTTATCATTGAAAAACAATCCTGAATCTTTGCCTAGTTCTTTCTCCAAGAGCTCGACTTTGTATCTTAAATCATTGATTTTATAATCAAGCTCTATGCTTTTATTCAACTGATTGAAGTTATCCAAGATGGGTGATTCAGGAAAATTCACACACCAAGCATTCAACTTGAGCCCATAGAGAAAACTCGAAAACGACTCATTAAAATTCGCAATGTTTTCATGAATTCTTTGCAAATTTTGCATGTTCAAGTCTAAATCGGTTAATGAATCAGACAATTCAGTTATCAAGGGCAACGATTCTTTCTCCAATTCAGTTGCTTCAGTGGAATATGCTCTGTTGCCATTGCTGCCAGTCTTGTCCACAGCACTCGAGCTGTTGGGCACATTCAAGCCAATGTCATTGCTGTTTCTGTTGAGATTGTAATTGCTCTCGTAGCCACCTCCATTGATCGCATCAAGATCAATCTTGTTGTAGATCTTGCTCAATCGAGGACTCAACGATGAGCCTCGCGATAGTCTGTGAGGAGTGTGAGGTGTTGTCAACTTCTTTGTCATCTCCAACTATAGTTGTTCAGCTTTAGTTGTTTAGCTCTTGTAGGGGGAAGCTCTCTTCAAAGACACCAATAGCTAATACAACAGAATTGTTTATCTTCTGAATCCCCAAACAAAACCGGATTTCGGCGATTGAAACTCAAAGCTCTGATTTCTTCTCAACTTTGCACTCTTCAAAGAACCAACTCAGAAAGAACAAGAAGATGTTCAGACCCAGCAACACACTCACAGCAGGCACTTTACTCTTGAGACACTCTTCTGTTTCTCCAAACCTCGTCTCCAGGGGCATCTGCTCAGGTTTCACAGCCCTTCACTCTGCTGAAGCAGCTCGTCTTCACAACAACCTTAACCACAGGCTTGTTCGAACATATGTCACCTCCAACTTCGATTGGAAGCCCATCAAGACCAAAAACATTGATGCAATGAAGGGTGACACTCACGAGCAGAAACAAAAGGGCCAATTTGGCCAGAGAGTGGTGCTATCGCTATTGATTTTGATGCCAATCATTTCCTTTTACTTGGGGACATGGCAATTGAAGAGACTCTCCTGGAAAACAGACTTGATTTCTAAGGGAGAAGACAGACTCACCTATCCTCCAGTACCCTTGCCAAAGGACATTGACCAAAGCATCACCAAGGACAACGAGTTCAGAAAGTTCTACGTTAAAGGCCATTTCAAGAATGAAAACGAATTTTTTGTTGGACCCAGAACCAGAAATGGTGAGAGTGGTTTCATGGTTTTCACTCCCTTTGAAAGATCTGATGGTGGCGAGCCATTGCTCATTGAAAGAGGTTGGATTGCAAAAGACAGAGTCGACCCAAGATCAAGATCACTACGACACCTATCATTGCCAGAGGGTGAAGTGACTGTCGTTGTTTTGGTGAGAGAAATTGAGAAAAAGAGCTCTCTAGTTTACGACCATGATCCCAGCTCCAGACTATACTATCATCCTGAGATCGAAGATATGGCCAGAAGAACAGGCTGCAAACCAGTTTACTTGCAAGCTGCTATTGACATGAAAGATAAACCACTTCCCCCAAAGCAACCAGAACCTGAAGCCAAAGAATCCAAGTCATCGTGGGCTCTATGGGGAAAGAAGAATACCCCAGAAAACACTCCAAGCAAAATCGAACAACAACATCAGCTCGAACCAGACTATGAGTTCGCTCCTCGAGAATTCATTGATGCTGGTGTTCCAATTGGTAGAACTCTAGCTGTTAATGTCAGAAACAACCATTTGCAATATCTCATAACTTGGTACAGTCTAAGTTTGATTTCCTCAGTATTGCTAATAGTCGTGTTGAAAAATGATAAGAACCTCAATCCAATTCAAGCCAAATTGAAGCATGCCAAAAGATTTCAATAAACGTTGTCTTCCATTAATATTTCCAAGATATCACTTAAATTGCACAAAAATATCCTTCTTTTTTTATTGTTAATAGCAAAATAATGTAAATAATCTTTTATGTCTTTATTTAATACCCAATGTAATTTATATATAACATATTATATAATATAAAAACAATGACCAAATATAATAAAAAATGAATAAAATGAATTAAGAATATAATTAATAAATCATAAATCTAACAATCGCACTTTTACATCAACGTTGTTCTCCCTCCTATGCTATTACTAGCTGATCCATCTGGCATGTTCCCATCTCTTTCCGATAAGAATTCTTTGTAAATAGCTTCAAGTTTCTGTCTTTCGCTCAGCAAAACACTGGGCTTGGTTTCTTCCAAGGCTGATTCAAAATCTTTGATCTTAATTGTAATTGATAATTTGCCTTTTTTGTGTTTATTATCATCAGAAGCTGGTCGCTTTCCCTGGGTTCTGTTCAAATTATTAAATAGCGGTTCAATGCTTCTTAAAATTTCAATTCTCTCTTTTGTCTGGAGAGGATTTTCATTATTGTTCAACTTGTTCAAACTAATTTGAAAAAAATCAAATGCAGTACTTCTACTATCAGAACGTTTATTCTCACTGCTGCTCGCCTCTTCTTTCTCCTTTTCATCATTTTCCAATTTTCTGTGCACAGCTTTCAAATATGCATTATAACCTAAAGCTTGCAAATCGGCACCAGAAAATCCTTCTGTTTTCTCAGATATACGGTCCAATTCAACACCACCCTCAAGATCCATTTTGTTTGTGATGGATCTCAAAATATCCAACCTATCTTCAAAGTCTGGCATGTTACAAAGAACACTCTTGTCCAATCTTCCAGGCCTTAGCAACGCAGAATCAATTAAATCAGGTCTGCTGGTGGCTGCTAGAACATAGACACCATCCAATCCCTCTGCACCATCCATTTGAGTTAGCAACTGATTAACCACTCTATCCGTTACACCAGTAGAATCATGTCCTCTCTTGGGAGCAATGGAATCAAACTCATCAAAAAACAAGATACAGGGCTTTGCGGCTGACGCTCTTTCAAACAACTCTCGAACAGTTTGTTCTGATGCACCGATGTACTTGTTTAATATCTCTGGACCTTTTATAGAAATAAAATTCAATCCACATTGACTTGCGACAGCAGACGCCAACAAGGTCTTCCCACATCCAGGATACCCATATAATAAAATACCCGATCTCAATCTTAATGGGCAAGATTTAAAAATTGGCGCGTATCTTGTAGGCCATTCTAGGGTTTCTAGCAACACTGATTTCACTGTCTTTAACCCCCCAATATCATTCCAACTTGTTGAAGATTTTTGCAATTGGATTCCTCTTAATCCCGAGGGAGTAAACCCCTCCAAGGCTTTCTTAAAATGATTATCTGTAATTGTATATTTGTTCTTTAGATTGTTATTTGAATTAGTTTTTAAATCGCCATTTAAAGTCCCACTTGGATTTCCATTAATATTTTTATACGAAAAACCTTCTGAATATTCATTTGGTTTATTACTATAGCCGTTAGTAAACCCATTAGTAAAACTATTAGTGAGGCTGTTAGATTTAGTGTTGACAAAAGCATCTTTATCGTTATAGTTATTACTGTAATCACTTTTGTAATCGGAGTCAATATCTGATTCATCATCAGAATCAGTATCAGTCAAGTCAATTCCTAAATCATTTTCCAAAGATTCGTAAATAATTTCATGATATGCTCTATCGATCAAGACTTTCAAATCTGTAGGCAAGTAACCTTCAGTTTCATTAACTAAATCATTCAAATTGAATTCTTTTTCATTTTTGGTAATCTTGAACTTTTCTAGATAATAATCTATTATTAAAGTTCGTTGTTCTTTATTTGGAGGCGAAATTGAAACAATATCATCGATAACATTATTTAATAAACCATTAAGATTATCCTTTGAATTATTTGTTAAAATAATTTTAATTTTGTTGTTAATGTTTAAATCCTTTAATTGGTTTTCAAGAATTAACAAGACATTGTTAGTGAAATATTCAGTTAGTTGTCTTGATAGTGAATTGTCCATGTTGTCCATTTCTTTAGTAAAAATTGAATTTATGTTTTCAAGAATTAGCACAGAAGGTGAATACCAAGTGATGTATTTGAATATTTGAGAAAATTTCTTTTTCATCGTGTCAAAGTTATCATTTGATAATTCTTCGCAATTTAGCGAAAAGATTTTATACAATGATTCATTAAAGATTTGTTTTTTCAAGTGGTTGATTAGTAGAGTCTTTCCAGAACCAGATGCACCAGATAATAAAAGAATATTCAAATCATGGTACAAGAAGTCTATTAATTTTTCGGATAAATCTTTCATTCCGATTAGTTTATCATCCACGTTTTCGTTATCAGTATTTGAGTTTGAGTTAAAATCCACAGTGTTTGAATTAGTTGAAAAGACGAATTTATGGTCAAAATTATTTGGATTAAATTTTGGGATGGAAGAAACTGGGATCAAGATGTCATTGGATAGTTTGATGTTTAGATCTTTAAAACTTTCAGAAATGAACCAGCTATTGTAACTAAGGGAGTTTTGATTTAAAGAAAATTCAATGATTCCACCATTTGGGAGTATTGATTGACTAATGGCCGGAATTCTAGAGTAATTAGTTAAACAGTTTGAGTCAAAAAACTTGATTTTATTTAGATGGGAAAGAATGAGATTTAGTTCATTTTTTCTCTGGTCATTATTCTGGAGTTTATTTGATAAAACTAAATCATTATTGTTAGTAGAGGTGGAAGTGGAAGCATTAGAAGGTGAAGTTGTGATAATGAAAGAATGAATTATTAAATCTTTTGGTTTCTTGCTCAATGGCGCTAATAGTTGATTTGTTGAAGATATTGATTCGATTAGTATCAAATGACCCACTGAGTTTGAAATGCCTAATGATATTGATAGCAATTCGGATAATGCTATGTGATTGGATGGGATATTTGGATTGTGCAACAATTGACAAACGATTTTCTTTGAAGGTTTTATATTTGAAGTGTCATTATTATTAGAATTTGAGATGGAATTTGTATTTGTATTGAATGAAGAAACAGAAGCAGATCTTGAATTTTTATTTGATCTTCTTTCGGAGCGAGTGGTATTTTGATTAGTCTGATTATGATTAGAGACTATTGATAGATTTATGGGCTGAGGACCAGTTACTACAGAGACATAGACATGAGTTGGGGTATTTAAGTTATTTATATTTTCATTAAAATTGATATAAACATTGAATTTGTTATCGTTGGTAGTGGAATCATTAGTGGAATTGGGTTTCAACGACGGTAAATTGTGTGGTAAGGATATGCTTCTTAATACAATAGAGGGAATATTTTCATAATAGATTTTTTTTATGCTTGAATTTGATCTGGTAGATTTTAGATTTTTTTTTGGATTTGAATTTGACCTTACTTTGGGAGATATTATAATTTCGCAGTCTGGAGAGATTTTTGCGTAGTCCAAGGGTCTTTTCAAGACTGGATCAGTTTTTATGATTTTTAATTTGGCAAAAGTAGTTGAAGTAGGATAGACTATGAGAATTTGGTTTAATTTTACTGTTCTTGTTTGGTTTAGTAAATGGTTTTCCAAGTAGGTTGCATGCAATTCGACTAATTCCCAATCTGAGGACGATAAGGGTTCTAGAAAGATTTTGAATACGGTTTTGTAGTTTAATTTGATTGATAATTTGATCTTTGAATTTTCGAGCAAGCCAATTGAGTTTGCGAAAAATGGATCAATTTCGATGGAGTTAGTAGGAGGGCCATTTGTTGAAGAAGAGGAGATTGGAGGGCTTGAGGTGATACCAGTCCAGCCAGTGTAGGCGTACTGGATTCTTTTAGACAATTTGTTCTTCCAAGCTAGTTCCACAATGACATTTTGGACATTGATGTTGGCACTGTAAAGCAACGAAACGAGATTTGAGGGCAAGTTGATGAGGTTATTTCTCAAGGAGGTGAACAGGACCAGCACATCGACGTTTTCCATTCTGAAAGTGGTTTAGATATTAAGTGTGGCTGCAGCAGCAGAGGCTGTCTTGTGAAATGGCAATGGGGCAATATATAGCTGAATTATCTGAGGTGAATTACCTGAGGTGATTTGAGTCGATGAAACAGCATTTTTTTTGATTATAAGAGCCTGCAAATTGGGAAAAGAAGAGCGGGCGGAAGCGGACGGGAGTGGTCCGGGCTTAACTACTGGAAAGCGATGGAAGGAAGACAGAGAAGAGAAGGAAGAGAGGGAAGAAAGGGAAGAGAAGAAGTTGGGCAGAAGAGAGGAAGATGGCGATACAGTACATATTGGTGATGAACAGACAGGGCAAGATCCGGATAGCCAAGTGGTACGACAACAAGATCAGCGATGACGAGAAGTTCAAGATGAAGACAGATATCCACAAGTTGATAAGCAGTCGAGACTTCAAGAACCAGTCGAATTTTGTGGAATTTCAGAACAACAAGATCATCTACCGGAGATATGCTGGGCTCTTCTTCATATTTGTTGTTGAGATGACAGACAACGAGTTGGTCATCTTGGAGAGCATCCACTTGTTTGTGGAGGTGTTGGATATGTTTTTTGGGGACGTTTGCGAGCTAGACTTGGTGTTCAACTTTTATAAGGTGTATGGTATACTTGATGAGATGTTTCTAGGTGGTGAGATTGAGGAAACATCGAAGGAAATCATAATTAATCGGATAAAGTACTGTGAAAAGTTGGATTGAGTCGTGATCAGGATAGGTAAAGAATAACAAAGGGTGTTTATTTTATTTAAATATGATGTAATTCTTCAATTGGATTTTCCAACAAGTGGTCCATAGCTGATTTAATTTCGTTTTCAACTTGAGATATGTTTTTGTTCTCAATATCAATTTTAATAAATTCATGTTTCTTCACCAAACGACCGCTGTCACTATCGGTGAATATAACTTGATTGAATATATCGTAAACCTTTTGTTGGAATTCTAGTAACTCGTATTTCTCTAGTCCGTAATCGTCTCTCTTTTGGATTTCATTAAAGTAGTTTTTATTGTTAAAATTTAGAAAAAAAATGAAATCCGGTTTAATCAAATTTTTATCGCAGTTTAAACACCAATCAAAATCCAAACCCTTTGCCATTGAATAAGAGATGCCAGAGTAGATGTAACGATCTAGAATTAAATTAACTCCATGATTCAATTGGCTGGTCATGTAGTCCTTTAGTTCCCATCTATTTGCAGAGAATAGTAAATGGATTGACTCATCATTTAGTTTTGTTTCTTTATTGGATAGATAAGAGTTGATGAGTTTCCCAATATTCGTAGATCTGTCAGGAAATTTGAGAATTTCAACCTTTCTATTCAAATTTAAAAAATGTTGATATAATAACTGGACCTGAGTAGATTTACCTGTTCTATCCAATCCCTCAATAACAATTAGCAATCCTCTTTGCGATGTCATTTATTGAATCTATTATCGATATATTATCAATATCTTTTTGGTGAATTATATGATCCAAATTATCAAAACAGCCAATTCAAATAAAAACAATACTGCTGTGTAGGCCAATAGTATGGGTTGCATGTCTATGTGCACATCATACATATGTATACATATTGAATTTTCACTGCAACGGTTCTCACTCTCCAGCAAATAAAAACGTGCGAAAAACCAATCAGTGTGAAAGACTCAGCTTTTCAAACTGGGAAAATAATCAAGGATGAGGCTTACCCGGCAGGATTTCTTCTAAACAGCCAATCACCGGCCAGGAAATGCTTATTATATTTATTTTCAAGAGCAGAACGACATGTGACCCTTGAAAAGAGCGAAATTTGTTAGAAATCTAGTGGATTAATATTGGATAAAGAAAGCAGAGTAGTGAAAATAGTTAAAATATCGAGAATAATCAAGTAATTTTAAATAAATTAATCAACTAATCTGCTAAACTTCATATTCATAAATCCATATTCTTATCTGTATTTCTTTCTCTGATCAGTATCATACCAACATCACATAATATCATAATATAATAATATAATTTAATTTAATAATTTAATAATTTAATCTAATCTAATATAGTACAACACAATACAATATCACAATATCACAATGTCTTCCTTGATTTTCAGATCATTTAAAAATGGGTTAATTAATAAACCATTAAGCTTGAACTCTCAATTGAGGTTGTTATCTACCACTACAAGAAATTTAAAATCCACATATAACACACCTGATTTCAGTGACTATCTTAAACAAGGTAAGAGCAGCGACAAATCGAGAGTTTTCACATATTTCATGGTTGGATCTTTGGGATTGTTATCAACTGCCGGAGCCAAATCTACTGTTGAAACGTTTTTAAAATCTTTATCAGCCTCAGCTGATATTTTAGCCATGGCTAAAGTTGAAGTTAAATTATCGTCAATTCCTGAAGGTAAAAACGTTGTTGTTAAATGGCAAGGTAAGCCAGTTTTCATTAGACATCGTACACCAGATGAAATTGCAGAAGCTAATACAGTTGAAATTTCATCGTTAAGAGATCCACAAGCTGATAGTGATAGAGCGCAAAATCCGGAATGGTTAGTTATGTTGGGTATTTGTACTCATTTGGGATGTGTGCCAATTGGAGAAGCAGGAGATTTTGGAGGATGGTTTTGTCCATGCCATGGTTCTCATTATGATATTTCAGGTAGAATTAGAAAGGGACCAGCACCACTTAATTTAGAAGTTCCACAGTATGAATTTGCAGATGAAGAAACATTAATTGTTGGTTAGTTGGTTTGCAATGAAGTGGTGGAATAGTGAAGTTAAGTTAAGTTATTACACTACTTGATGGAATAATTAAATAATTAATTGAATATACAGTATATATATAATTTTTATGAATATATTATGTTTAAAAACAATAAAAACTCCTAAAAACAATAAAAACAATAAAAATAGTAAAAATGTATGCTAGTTTAAATTATCAATTAATTAATTTTTGATTTCAATTTGGATCATTGATACAAAGAGATTATATCCAAGGTTGAAATGCTTTGCTAATACGGATGAGATTTGATAATGCGGATTGTGCGGATGATGCCGGACGATGCCGAACGAAATATTAACGCTGGATAAAGAATGGGTATTGGATGGCGAACAGGACAGAAACGGGTTTTGGTTCGTCAAGAGACGACAATTCATGCTAAGAAGAGAGATGCTATTGTTCGCTGCACGATTAAGTCATCGTGGTAATAGGTCTTGAAGAACAGGAAATCATGACAAATCTAGCGATTGATAGAGTTGTAATGAGGTAACATTTAAGGGATTGTATATATAGTCATGGGATTATTTTTATATTTACGGTTTCCAGTCGCAAAGAGGTGTGTATTTATAGACAAGTTTCCAATTTGTTGCTGTAAACAAATATGTAATACAATTGTAGTGTAATTGTATTACAATGTGTAATTTCATGGTAATGGTGTGATACAGTTTAGTTTCGGAATAAATTTAGGTGCGAGATATTTGCAACATAGCGATCTCCCAATTGGAACACTTTATGTGTGAATTGGATTGTGCTGCTGTATTGAATTCGTAATTGAATTCGGTAATAATAATAAATAATAATTAGAAACAACAAAATACATGGAAATTGCTTAAATTCTGAATCATCAATTAATTTACTGCTTTTTCTTGTCTGAGACTTGCAGGGTAACGTCTGTTCCGAACGAAAGGTCCAAAGAAGCAATAGCGCTCACGTGTTGAGTAATTAAGCACGCTGCAATGTTTTCAAGCAATCTGATAGTTGTATTGAAGTGTACTGGTTTGGGAATAGCGTGGACAATTGTTGGAGGAAAACAGAACAGTTGAAGGAAAGCAAGTTGGTGTGGAGAAATAAGATTTTTTTCTACTGAAAGGAAAGCGATTTCTTGATTTGTTTGTTATTCGTGTAGAAAACGAACGGAAGGATTTGAGTGGCTGGGGGTTACCCGGGGTCGAGGGGTTTTTGAATTCAAGCTCAGGTGTTGGGAAGGGCACAAGTATTAATGGAGAAAGAACAAAAGTAATAGGAGACGTAGTGAAATGAGATAGAATACAATAAAGTATAGCGAAATGGAATGGAGTGTAGTGAAGTATAATGAAATAAAATAAAATAAAATAAAATAAAATAAAATTAAAAAAACAACTAAATGAAACTAAATAGTGTGGAAAGAGGAAGGTGAATTGTGAATTGTAAACAGATTTCTTGTTAACAGAATTTACCTGTTTAACTCTGTTTTATGTTTTTATTTTGTTTGTATTTAGCATTTAGCATTTAGTATTTAGCATTTTGTATTTTGTATTTTATATCCAAACATATCGAAATAGAGAGAACGAGAGAAAGAGCAGAAAAAGGAAAAGACAAGCAAGGAGAAACACAATGAAACATAGTGGAATATAATAAAATGTAATAAAATAAACAGACATTTGATGTTTAGCGATTGATGTTTTTGTTTTTGTTTTAGTTTTATAAGATTGGCACCAAATCAGACAAAAAATTGAAAAGTTTTAGAATTTTTGGATCAGCAAATCCATAAACGAATGTCTGAATTGTATTAACTAAAAAGGTCTCAAAGTTTAAAAAAGTTGGCTAACTGGAGCAAGTCAGAGAGTCTTGAAAACTGCATCCAGTTAAAGAAACCAAAATCAAAGGGTGATTTCAAATCAGAGCACATGAACATTTTCAGGCTCGGTATTGGGCCTATTCAAGGTCTGAAAGCGATTCGAGCGAAGCTAGAGCACATAGAGTGAGCAGCCAAAGTTCAGGGAACTGAAAAGCGATTGAAGATGGGTTTGAATGCTATGAACTGGAGCAAATTGTCAGGTCTGAGATGGAAATGAGAAATGCTTGATTTTGAATTTTAAATTCTCTTAGAAATTCAGAAAATCGCGCGCGGAGAGCGAAAACCGGAAGAAAAATCCTGGTTTCAGAGAAAAGAAAGAGAAGAGGGAGAAGAAGAGAAAGAGAGGGACATGGGGAAGAGAAGACGAGGGAGAGGAGGGAGAGGAGGGAGAAGAAGAGGAAGAAGAGGAAGAAGAGGGAGCAGCAGCAAAGTTGGAACTGGAATTGGGCCAGGAAACTGAATCTGAGTCTCACAATCACCCCATCAGTTTGCTGCGATTCTTTAATACCACTCTTTAATACCACTCTTTAATACCACTATCTATCCTCGTTCAATATCATCCACTACCACTATCTCCAAACCTCCATTAACCACTGATCAATATCAAGCTATGGAGCAGGGAAGGAGTCGCTGTTGATGCCCTGGATGCACTCACTACGTAATTCTCTCCAGTAGTTGTGGGCTGGAAAAGGTTTAAAGTGTGCATGTTCACAGTTGGCTTCACCTGCGTTGGTTTTGTTGAATTGTTTGAATTGTTTGAATTGAAAGCCCAGTCTTGGAATGGTTTGCAAAACTTTTCTGCCTTTTTTCTGTTCCCTTCTCACTATAAATCAACCTTCTTTCCTGATCCTTTTCCTCATCTTTCTCTCCTGCTCTTGTTATTCTCCCACTTTTTTTCCCTCTCACCAGTCTCATCCCAGTATATATTATAATTTATATTATAATTTATTATTGATTTTATCAATAATTTATTATATATTTTATTTTAATTATACTGTTTTGCTCCCGATTTCCATCCGATTGTACCAAACAATTCCAGTTCTCCCATACCTCATAAATTTAATGTATTTTAACCAACTCTCCAAATTCTGCAACTTCAACTTCAACTTCAACTTCAACTTCATTCTCACTCTCATACTCTCATACTCTTTGATCCTGCTTCTCTTCTTCTCTATTTTACACAACCAAATCTCAATCAATTACGAACCCCAATAACATCTATCTTTCTTTTTTTCTTTCTTTCTCCTTATCTGCTTCCACACTTACACCGCTACTATACCTATATCTATACTTATATTTATATCTCTACTTATATCTCTCAGTTTATGAAATTAAACAAAATGTTTTCCAAAAATCAACAATTGCCTCCTTTTTTCGATGAAAAGACTGATTATCTTCGTCGTTGTAATGTTCGTCGTCAACAAAATGCCCAAGCTCCTTCTGCTGCTCCAATCAATTACAATCATCCTAATGGTAATCCTTCAATTCGTTTTGATATCCCCCATAAATAATTAGCTCCTCCCAATTATCTCTAGATATCTTTAAACACAAATTTAATTCAAAATTTTCTTCTTATTCTTACTCTTGTTTTGTTATCATCTTACTTTTTTTTGTTTTTTTTATCTTTTGATTTTTTTCCAAAAAAAAGAAATCTTCTTTTCTCTACATCGTCGCTAATCTTTTTTTTTTATTTATTTGTTATAATCCTTTTTTTTTTGTTTATCCCTTTTTCTTTTCTTTCTTTTGCATTGTACTCTTGTTTTTTTTATCTCTATATATCTGTTTTATTAGCTCTTATTACTACTACTACTACTACTACTACTACTACTACTACTACTAGGTTTAGGTTTCATGGTTTGATTTTACCCTTAAAAAAGAAAATTCTATTAAATTATCACAATAAAAATAAAATAAAATAAAATAAAATAAAATAAGAATGAAAATAGTCTCAAAAAAAAGCAAAAAAAAAAGAAAAGAAATTATCTGTTTGTCAATTTACTCAATTATTGTATTTAAATAAAATATCAATTATTTTATATACTTATGTTGTTTTTTTATCTTTTTATTCTTTTTGTTTTCCTTTACTTTTTGTTCAATTCATGATTTATATTTTACTACAAAATTAATGCTCTAATGATTGAATATCTCGATTTCCGATTTATATATTTATATCTATCTATATCTATATTTATATCTATATATATTTATATGTATATGTACATTTATATATAAATCTACCATTTTGTTTTACCTCTCACTTCTAAAATCGTCTTAATATCATCACCTCTTTTGTATATTACTCAATTATTTTCTCTCTTATTTATCTTACATCCTATCATCCTTTCTATCTTAATACTATTATACATATTTATTATCTATTTAATGAATATTGATTACAATTTAAGAGAATATGAAAATAGAACATAAAACAAAAATAATTTTAAGAGCAATAAATCTTAAACCAAGAAAGTTAAAAATGAAAAAATGAAAAAATGAAAAAATGAAAAAATGAAAAAATGAAAAATGAAAAACAAAAATGAAGAATTAAAAAGGAAAAACATGACTGAACATGACAAAAAGAAAATTAACTATAAAACAAATTCAAAGAAGCAAAAAGAAACGAAAATAAAAAAATTCAATGAAAAAAAAAATAGTGAAAAAACAACCAAAACAAGACCAAAAAAAAGCTTTAATTTTTGAGATCATTAATATTAATTTGTTAATCTGATGTCTCAGAATCTCTATAATGCTCTTCTTCCTCAAACATAGCTTCATCTCTGTTTTCAAACAAAATTTTCCCTCTGATACTCTTAAATGCTTTCCCATTACCATACTTGTCATCGTTTTCATCTTCATAGGTATCTTCTTCAAAAAAATCCAAAAAATCCAAGCTTTTCTTAAACCTTTCTTGATTCATTAACATTTTCATTTTCTCATTACTCAAATCACTATACTCTTCCCCAACAATCTTTTTGAACATTAACTTAAAATAAAACATCAACGAGTTAATTCCACGAATATACCCTTTATCAACTTCAAATGGAAATCTGGGTTTACATTTATATTTTTTTAGAGTATCGATCAGATTTTCATTCTCTGTTAAACACTTGGAAAAATCAATAATCTTGACCAAAATTTCATCCTTTTCATCTCCCTCTTTATCTTGATATTCGGGTTCATTATTGTTACTCCCATCATACATTAACAATAAAGATGATCCATACATCCTATACCCCTTTAGTTTTGAGAATATCTTTTTCAACTCATTCAATTTATTAACAATCTTAGGAATATGCTTTAAAATGCTTCGTTGACTTTCTCCATCATATAAAAACTGAATTAATATCCTTAAGAACTCCTCTCCTTTCTTAATTCTTCTACCGAAATATTTATCCCTTTTGATAAACCTATGGTTTTTTTTATCCCAGTTTTGCATCCCACAAATTCGAACCCCTAATTTTCTACTCGTTGTATAATAACACTTTTTTCGTTGTGATTTTTGTTTTTTGTCATTGGATTCAATGCCATATTGTCGAGTCCCCATTTTTAAATCAAGCACACATGGTCTCTTCATTCCAATCGTAAGATCTTCCAATAATATAAACTTTTCAAATTTAGTGATTTGTTTTAAATGGTAACTGTGTTTTTGTATATTATTTCTGAGATTATGACTTTCAAGTTTATTTTCTTCAAAATTTATACCTTTAACGTTTTCGTTGAAAATTCTTTGGTTTTTTTCTCTAATATACTCCTGAGTAGCATTTTGAATATCACTTTGAATATCATCTTGATCGTCGTCTTGATCATCACCAAGTTGAAAAATTGGTCTTGCATTTGTTTCATTTTCTCTAATTCTTCTAACTGAGTTGATTATAAGTTCTCTTGAAGGAAAATCTTTATCTAACGAATCTTTGTTATAAGAAGATAATTCAATCAATGAGTGATGTGAATCTGATTTTTTTATTTTCTTATTCTTTGGCTTGTTGAATTCATTATTATCATTTGTACAGCTCGTTTTGACACTATCGTTGGATAATGCCTTTTTGATTAAATTCTGTTCATCACTGTGGTTACGACGATTTATCAACGATGGCTTATTGCTCACCTTAGTTGCATCTTTTTCATAGTTTCTCGTATCGGCAATATTGTAATAACTTTGATATGGATTTTTTAATTTCGATCGATGTTTTTTGAAACTCATTTGCTCCTTCACATTTTCAGCATGTTTCTTGATTGGAGCAAACACTTCACGTATCACTAGCTCCTGCAACTCGGTATTAACAGAGGTTGAGCCTGTCAAAGAATTCAGTATCATATTTTGAAGTTTGTTGTTACATTGCAAAATGGTCGAGTCTTTGGGGTTGCTTGAACTATTGGAACCAGGAAATTTATTTGTGGTGCCTGAATTCAAACTTGAATGAGTTGAGTCTTTGGAGTGAATGCTGTTTGGGTCAGTTTCTGGAGATGATGTAGATTGAAAAGAAAATTTTTTCCAAATGGAATCCGGGATGATGTGCTTATTATCATCTAAAACAACCTGAGGAGGCAACTCTATATTTTCATTTTCGTTTAATTTCAAACTGGCACTATTTCTCTTTGTCAATTCGTTGATCTTTGAAAACGAAGACTCCAAAGAAGGGGGTAGTTTATAATCTAAACTATTTGCTCTTTTTAGATTTGTTTGAGAAGTAGAATTAGCATTTGATTGCATATGATCTAGCAAATAATTAGAGCATTCTAAGTATTGGTAACGAACATTAAGAACCCCAATATATTTGGGCATAAAGTGAAGCAATTCAGGGTGCAACATTTCAACAGCTTCGTACCACTTGTTTTCTCGATTAACCAAGGCCTTGCAAATTGCTCGATGTGAAAATCTGAAGATCGCAGTGTGCCCACCAACTTTGTCTTTGAAGGGTTTCAATTCGACAGCCAAAGGATATATATGGTCTTTATCGTTATGGTTATCATTTTGGTTATTGTGGGTGTTGTTTTCGCGATAATTATTATGGTTCCGGTTTTTGTTTTTATTGTTGTGTTCAGTTTGGCTGCTTTGAAATTGTTTTTTTTGCTCAATTTCTTTGGTACTCAATTGAGTGTTCTTGATTAGGTTTGACAGAATTGGTTCTGATAGTGACGAGGATATAATTAGAGGAGAGTCTGAATTTAATGGTAGATCTTCATTGCTCAAATCGTCAGCTTCGATCAATTCCAATGAGTTCACATCACCCAAATCTTCTATAATTTCTTCGTCTTGTTTATCACTGGTATCACTGATGACACTATAACAGCTTTTGTTATCTTTATCGTCGTCATTCTTATCCTCATCGTCGTTATCACTGTCACTTTTATTGATGATATTTTTTATGTTATCAAATTCTGTTTCTGCAGTTAAATGTCTTATTAATTGTGTATTTTGGTTTTGGTTTAAATTTGATTTAAGGTTATCGCAAAGATAATTGTTGATTTTCTTGTCATTATTTTTTCTATTATCGTTGATATTAGTATCATTATTATTATTATTTTGATGACGGTTAAAAGTGGAATTGTAATAATTGTAGTCTTTCATTTTAGTTAGAGATAGATTTTTGAAATCCTCATGGGGAAAATAAGTTGCAGAAGATAAAGGATGTAGTGATAATGAATGGCTTCTTTGAGTAAATTTAGTGTTTAATCTATTGTTTGTAATTTTAGTGTTATTGTTGTCATTTTTATTGATTTTATTAACGTTATTAATCTCATTGAATAGTCTGAATGATCTTCTTTTATGTTTTTGTTTATTTTTGTCTATATTGTTGATGTTGTTGTTATGCCTTATGATATAGTAATTTTTCTTTTGCGAGTTATCTGAATTAGTCAATTTATTATCATTTGGAATGTTTTGATCTGTTTTGATCTTATTATCATTTGGGATGTTATTGTAATTGTTAATAGTTGTATTAATATCCCTATTGCTTTTGTCGTTATCGTTATCGTTATCGTTGTCTTTATTCTTGTTCTTATTTTTATTTTTATTCTTCTTATTATTGTCTTTATTATTATCGATATCATTATTAATAATAATAATATTATTATTGTTGTTATTATTGTCATTACTACTATTATTATCATTGTTATCTGTTAACTCATCATTTTCTTCAAATAATCTAAAAGTCTTTGCAGCCTTTCTGGTTGCAACAATATTACCTTTACTCCCTTTTGAGCTGCTTATCTTTGATTTGTTTGATATTTTCGATATTTCGGAGGTATTGGAATTATTTGAGCTATTGGAATTGTATATTTTGTTTGAATCATTTAAATTGTTTGATATATTTGGATAATTTAAAGGCAATTCATTTGAGACCGGTGAAAATGAGGAGTTTAAACTGGTATTGTTATTGTTATTGTTATTGTTATTGTTATTGTTATTACTATGGCTATTGTTATCGTTATCGTTATCGCTATCACTATTGTTATTGTTTATATTAATATTGATGTTCTTGATGTTGTTAAGGTTATTGTTGATAGTATTTTGTATCTCGAGCCCGAGCTGATTTTGAAAATTATCGATATTACTATTACTATATTGGTTATATAGATTAAACTGATTGTATTTGCTTAGTGTCATATTCTAGTTTTTAGTTTTAAAATTTTAAATTTTTAGGATTATACTCAGTTGAAAAGTGAATAAGAATAATTAAAACGATATTTTATCCATTTAATTAGATTTATATTAGGTTTTATTTGAAATCGAGAAAAGAAGACAATAAAGAGAATATCTAAACAAAAAGAGAGAAACGAGATCAGAATGAGCAAAGGTTGAAATATAATCCAATTTGTATCAGTATATGTACCAACTTCTGAAGTTGTAGAACAAAACAAGACAGCCAGAGAATTCCTTTATGGATTGTAAACCAGAATGTTGAGAATTGAAATGGCAAAGACTTATTTTACTACCTAGTTGTGGATGAGAAGCAAAATAAAATGACTGTGGAAATGACTGATGGGCTGGAGTAACCAATGAAAAAACAAATTGAAACGAGTTGGAGGATTGCAGACTATTATCGAATGTAGAGAATTATAAAGCAAAAAGGGTAAAATGGACATGAAATGAACAGGAAGTGAGCATAAAATGAAAAACTTCCTTCGAACGAGGTATAAATCCTCATCTTAACGTCCCTTGCGATTCCTCCAGCTCTTTATAACTTGGACCCAAAACAGAGATGACAGTCGCAACATCCGAGGGCCGGGCACAATTCCGAAGCGCTGGCATCACTTTCCAGCTGCAGCCAACCCATTTTCTGGCAAATAGCGGCCCGCCCAGCAAAACGTGCCTGTGGCCACGCGCGGGCACGCGCGGGCTGCTCAACCTAAACAATAGCCCGTGCGCGGGTGCGTACTCACCGGCTTACTGTATGTCGACGCTTGTGTGCGCATAATCCTACGAACGGTTTTGTTACGGTTATTGCGGAGTAGTCCGTGGTTTGGCTGTTGTCGGCGGTACGTCTCCGTATATCTCACGACCCATACTACAGCTTTCTTCCGTTTACGTCTTCCGTATCTCTCAAATCAAAACCCAGAAACGACATATGATTACAAAATAGAAAACTAGAAAACATGAAGAAAAGTAAAATAGTCATAAATAAAGGTAAATGATGTGAAATAAATAATAAGTAATAAATGATAAATAATGAATAATGAAGTATGAAAAGGGATAACTGCATCTACAATGCTGCTATCGCAAAATGAATAAATGTTAAATACACAGATACACAGATACACAGATACAAAAATACATAAGGAAACAACGAAACAGGGAAATAGGAAAATAAGGAAATAAAAAAGTAGATAGATAAATAGATAAAAGGTGAATAGGCAAATACATAATTTTCTCTACCTATGCTGATTAAATCAATTGAAAAGACAACTCCTTATATCATCAAAAACAATCCAAAAAAAAGAAAAAAAAATTAATTAGATTAAATTAAATTAAATTAAATTGATATGAGTATCCTTTGATTGATCTAAAATGCTTCTGTTTCTTGTAAAATTCTTCTATTGTTTATAACATCGTGTCTAATAATGGGTTCATTGGTTTTCTTCTTTCTTCTTCTTTCTAAGAGTGTAGACGTTTCGATTTTCAAATCAAACGTTGGCTCATTGTTTTTATTAATATTATTAAAAGAGATTTTTTTGTTATGAATATGATTAGTGCCGTTATCATTTCCGTAAATGTCCTCATCTTCTTCATCCTCGTCCTCCTCAATAATTTGATCTCTTTCTCTGTTATTGGCCTTTTCTTCATTCATTCTATTCAACGCTGCCGATATTTCAAACGCGTCTCTTAGTAACATTGCTGAGGGCGAGTAGTATCCTGGATTGCTTCCAATCACCTTTGTGTTTGGTGCTCGGAAATTTGGATCGTAATTCACTATAGTCTCATTGATCTTGCCATTGTTAGTTGTATTGCTAGTGTTGATTATATTGAAATGAAGTTTGTCATTTCCCTTCTTATTGATAGAGTCTCTGGTCTTGATATCCTCGATTTCATTCCTCAATGCATTGTAAGTGAATTTTGCCTTTTGAATCGAGTAATTGAAGCTACTAGTGCTATACTCGCCATCGAGATCAACAGCATAAATAAGGTTTCCATTTGAGTCTTTTGGTAGCTTGAGCAAATACTCTTCAATCCAAGGATCTGAAAAGAATTGCTTAATATCGTATCGTTGTTTGGGGTTGACAGACAATAGGTTTTTAACACAGTTTTTAGCTCCATTTGAAATCTCATCCCACCAAGGACTTAAAAATTCAAATTCTCCTTTACTGATCTTAACGGTCAACACATCAATTTTATCATCATAAAATGGCGGAAACCCACATAATAGCGTATACAACACACATCCTAATGCCCATAAATCCACCTTTTTACTATATTTTTCATCCTTGACGATTTCAGGCGCAACATATCCAACAGTACCACAAGGAGTTTTAGTTTTCAATTCCCAAATTTGTTTCGATAAACCAAAGTCTGCTAATTTAACTATACCGATGGTGCCTCCACCATAACCGTATTTGAATAGGCCTTCATCTTTTTTGACTTTTGGGTCGTCCGATTTTCGAAGATGTTGACATTCACTTCTAGTGTAAGGGATTAGATTAAACAATAGGTTTTCCGGTTTAATGTCTCTATGAACAATACCAATTTCATTATGCAAATAGTTAAGAGCTTCAGCAATTTGGAGGATGACGTGTCTTGATAAATCTTCAGATAAATAAGTCAAATTGACAATTTGATTGAAAATTTCGCCGCCATGACAAAGCTCTTGGATTATGTAAAAGTAGTTGACATCTTGTAGGAAGTTTCTAAATTTGACAATGTTTTTATGATTTAGTTTCTTCAAGATTGAAACTTCTTTGAGGATTAAAGATTTTTGATTTGAATTTAATTGTGATTTGTTTATGATTTTGATTGCAACAAAATTGTTATCGTGTAGTTTGTTCTTGTAGTCATTGGGGTTATTATTGGTGCTGGGTTCAATGTTGCTGCTATTAAGACTGGCCAAGTCTATAGCTTTGAATACAACTGAAAAAGCACCATCGCCGATTTGTTCGATTATATTATAGTTATTTTGGAATAAAATTGGGTATTTTTTATTAAGGGTCAGATTTGATATCGAGAGCTTGTACATTTTTTTTTCCTCGTCAATTATCTCATTCAAAATGTCAGTTTGATTTTTTTGGTTGATTTTGGCTTTAGCAGTTTTTGCATGTTGTTGATGCTGGTTGTTTTTATTAATTTTCGAGTCTTTTTGGTTTTGATCTAAATTTTGTGGGTTGTTATTATGAGAATGATTATGATTATGAGTATGAGTATGAGTATGAGTATTAGTTTGAGTATTACTTCGAGCATTAGTTTGAGTGTTTTTAGGAATATTGTTATGAGTATTAGTAGTGTTTTGGTTATTAGATTCGAAACTATTTTGTAAAGTGTTTTGAGAAGAGTTTTGAGAGCAATACTGAGAATTGTCTTGATCAGTGATTTGGGTGCCACTGGTGAACTTTTTCTTCTTGAGAGATAGTTTTTTTGACAACGAGTTGATCTCTAGTGATTTTGTGCTGACAAGCTTATTATTATTATTGGAGGTTTGAGGCTTATTGGAAGATTTGTTCAATGTGTTGGCTTGTTTACCAAGATGAATAAATCTTTTGAAATCCTGTACAGTCAAAAATCCAATGGTTAGTATACGGTAATTATAATTTTAAGTGAAAGAAAACAAAAAGCATTGCAATTGTATAGACTTACTTCAAACATTTTCATTTATGGTAGATGATTTGGTATTGAATCGTGAAAATTTTTCCCAGCAGTTATCGGATGGGTACTTAATATATTTATTGGTGAGGTGGAAGTGGTTGCTGTAAGACAAATGGCGTTTGTTTGTCTTTCCTTGTTTTGAAAGTGAATTATTGCTTAATAAATGGGCCAGTAAGTTTGGGAAGGAAAAAGAAAGAGCAAGATAGCTAAAGCACTGGCTGGAAAGAGGAATATTTATAAGAAACGAAAAAGACTCTCAAAGCTGAAGAAAGAGCTATCAAGACAAATAAAAAGCAATTCAGCTCAGAAATTGGTGATATAATATTGTTAAGCTTAGTTCCTACAAACCTAAAACAGCACAGCCGCGCCAGATCGGGAGCAGTTTGCACCACAGGTGTGGTGAAATGCACCAGCCACACCCACTTCGGGAAACAGCTTGCTTGCTATCTGTCACATGACGTGGCGGTACAAAGCTGTCATGTGACAAATGCAACATGCGCAACCAGATCATTGCGCGTGTATGCGCATGTTTGCTGCGGCGGACTGCGTGCAGCCACACCGCCCGTGGGGCGCGGTTGCCGTTTTGGGACGCCGATATAATGAAGGCTATTATTACCCAATGTGCTCTTCGCAACAGAACGTTAATTGAAGAGCATTGTATCGAGCTGGCAGTTTGAATGATCCTCTTTGTCTCCAACGGTCAGACCCAGATTGAACAATGCACACAGGTGGTGCCCTCGATCTCCAGATGCACTATCTCTGCTGTCTGCCATATGTAAACCGCTGTTCGGTCTAAGCCTATTTGACATCAATTACAGTAATTGACTGCCTGTTTTTATCACAGCTAGTAGAGAACCATATCTCGTTATTGATTAGCATGCTCACTACCATTGGAGATCTATTTATAGGACTGGTTTTCATCTTTTTCTTGTTTGATAACAAGATTCACTCAATTGAAGACAGTTTATCATTCATTTGTTTTTGCAAATGACCTTTCTGTTTACCGAACGGAAAGTTGTGATCGAGTTTTCATTTGATTCAAATGATGGTTTTTTTCCAGTAAATTCAATGGGTTCCCAACTGCCAGCTGCCAGTTTGGAAACAATATAAATCCATAAACAGCTGGCGCAAAAATAGATCTGAATGACCGATGTCTACCTTGGAACAAATTCTAATTACTTTAGTTCTTTAAAAAGTCTTCTTTTTATAGAATATTATCTAAAAACAAAGTTTGTTCATGGAGATGTGGTTGAATATGGATTTATCTAGCGCACTCAAAATTTGCTTAGCGTATTTGTAATCCATCAACTAAGCTTCCAACAAGTAGAAGCAGCTCGAGCTTTGAATGACTCGTCCCTAAGAGTCCCCTAACTCCAGCCAAACAATCCATCTCAATTTGCTCTTTCTCATTCCTCCTCTTCTTTTTGACTATTGTGTTCTTTTTCAAACAGCCGTTTTTCGTTTCTCAAAAAAGCTGTTTATGCGCACAAAAGCACAGTCAGCATGAATGTCACATATAAACGCAGGTTTCTGCAGATATAAGTTCTGTCTTGTTCTTGTTTTATATCAAATTTTTCATTCAACATGATATATATCACTGAACGAGCAACTTTTATTGTTTGATTGAGAGTGATGGTAGATTATAAAGCAGTGTTTATGCCAAAAAATTCTCTAACCACCAACTCCATCCTCAGGCGTCCCTGCAATTTCCACCTACAAAAATAAATCGCTATCGCTTTATCTTTTAGTCCTCCATTTACTAGCAGCCAGTTTAACACCCTTCACAAACCTGTTGAAACAAATGGTAACTAATAAACATAGACATACGTGTTTTAATCTTCAAACTTTGCATAGTGGGTTTCCTTTCTAATTTCGATATGGTTATCGTTTCCCTCAGATTTCTTGATGTATTTTTCATTCATCTACCTAATCACAATTTATTTGCTGAGTCACAAATTACTTGTACTACAATGCTGAAAGTTTTCAAATAACAAACTTTTTTTCTGTTGAAAATTAGCAATATAAATAAAATATTTTATTAAAAATGATTTATATTCTAATCTTCACAATATTGGATCAACCTTTCATAACTATGCACAAAAATCGGGAAAAGATTAATCTACTTATTCAATCTATCAGAAAAAACCATTAGATTTGTTCCTCTCTTGCTGAAAAATTCAAATTTTCTAATCACTCTCACTATCAATTAAACCATTGAAAGTTCAAAACCTCACTTTATTCATATACTAGAAATAACAAATCCCTTATTCTTACTACTTATGGTTTGATTTTTCTTAACTCACTCAATCCTGAAACATAATAATTCTGCTTATATTCAATTGTTTCCAATTAATTACAACTATTTAGATCTAATGCTTATCAATATTAAAACCAATAAAGGAGTTTGTTCCAAAACTAATTAAATTAAACCTAAGATTCGTTCATACCAAAAACATTCATTTATTACCTATAATGCTGAATCTCAACTATTTAAATCATTTAAAATATATGGTCTCAATAATAGGTAAACCTTTTAGTTTGGTTAAGTTTACTGACCTCATTTTCATAAAGTTGCAAAAAAAAAACAATCACAATTAGGATTCAAATTTACCTAAAATTCGAATACTTTGAACAAAACAAACCAAAATAGATTGGTTTGAGGTGACCAATACAAAAACTTTTTTAAATTTCCAATATTTCTGGAAAACTTCTAATTATACTGAAGATGGTAAATGAAGTTTCATAAAAGGTGACCCTTTCCTCACTAATTTTAAGTATTTTAGTTGAACCAAAAACAAAAATATATTTTATGATGTATATTATTGAGCCCCAAAAAGTCAGTTTTCTTTTTCAATTAATTGGTGCACCTTTGTGGGAAAGACACATTTCTTTACTTAAAGGCCATACATTAGACATGTCTAACTCTCCCTTCTGACAAATTAAGAACAAACATCATCCAATTTACTGTTTTATAAACCAGAAATCTTGTATCCACAGTCTCGAAGAATTGCAAGCAGACTCAAAGCCCTTCAAATTCACTGAAACTTATTTTCAGAAATAAACTATCCTGTTGTTGCTTTTGAGTCCCAAAAGCTAAAATCTGTCTCACAAGCAACCCACCCATCAGCAAAAATTTTTGAGCTAAAGTTATTGAATTTATTGAATTCAAATTATAAAAAACTTAAAAAAACACCAACTTGAAATTTGCTTCAAAAATTTTGCATCAATTGAGCAAGTGTTGGAAAGTGAGATGTTATCACTTGAGGTTAACAGGATTGATTATAGAATAAATTTGGAAATGTATTCATATGTATTGATAGGCATCTATCTCAGTGGGTTTAAAACAATGTCAATCCCTGAATAAATTTGCGTTGATTAAAGTTTAAACAGATATAACAAAACCTTTTTTTTCCATTAATTTGCAAAACTCATCCTTGAGAAAATCAAAATATATTTTTCCTAGTTCGGAAATTCCTGATTTGAAAGCAGTAAAGGATAAAAAAAAAATTTACTACGGAATCAAGACATAGCATTAACATATTAAACCAAAATAAGTTAATTTTTGTAATAATTAACAGTTTAACAATTTTTTAAAACTACTCTTGAAGTTGTCAATATAATAAAAAGGCTTTTGGGTTGTTGTTTTGTCAAAGCAATTGGAAATTGGTTGAAAGTATTCTCTTCAAACATTTTATCAGCCGGAATTTATAATGTGTTGATGGCAACTTCAGCTAGCTATTTACAAATTTTTTTGATTTTAACTCAAAGAATTGACATTTTTCTCATTTGGTTTTTCTTAATTTGGTAATTGTTAGTATAAACATTTTTTTCTCAATTTATTCTAATGATTGAAAAGAGTCAAAAGTTAAAAATACAGTGATGTGTTCGATATAACTAACCGAAATAAGTGAAATGAGGTCTTACATTGTGCGATTGCTTCAAATCCATTTTTTTTTGGTTATTGAAAATAAAAATGCTAAATCTATAAACACAGACACAGACAAGTGAAGGCATATCATTTTATAATTGCCGAAAAATTAAAACTACTAAAGCTTTAGGCAATATTATTATTATTATTAAGGAAAACAAATACAAGAAAATTATATTTATCATCAATTGACAAAAGCAGTAAAGATTATATAATGCCTAAATTGGTAAATGGACTTTGTGTGGAATAAAGCTTTTGTTTCTTACATTTATGCAATGACTACAATACTTTAAAGTAAATATATCCTGATACGACAGATAATAAATAAAACAAGTTAAATGATTTGATTTAGAGACCATCTGTATGGAAGATGTAAGCAACTGTATAGGCGAAATTTTATTGTCAGCAGAGAAAGAATTGAAAGAAAACAAATTAAGAATGGAGTCATAAGAGTTAGAGAAGGTCGAGAAGGTCGAGAAGATCGAGAACGATATTAATTAAATGCGTTTTGTGGGTTGTGTTTTTTTGTTTTTTTTCAGCTATCATCGCCAATAAACAAAGTAGCAGTAACACATAAAAACATCACAATTATACCCCAAATTGATAAGAGTAAACTTGCATATTTTATCCATTTTCCATTATAACCTGATGATAAAGAGAAATTATTTGGTAATAGTAGCTCATTATGACTGTTTCCTAGTAATTTATAACCAAATAAACCAGGTAAAATGAAAGAAATAGCCGTTGACCCGGTTGCCCCGACTAAGGATAGGACTAAAGCAAACGAATTGATTGAGATTGCTAAAAGATATGAAGCGACAAGAAGCAAAGAAGTTATAATTATGAAAACCAAATTTGGAAAAGGAACTACTGGGGGATCTAGATCACTTTCATCATCATTATCATCATTAATAGTGTTAATGTTATTATCATTGGCCGAAGTGAGAGTGTTGTCAGTATCATTTGCTGAAGAATTGGCATTCAATAAAGGAGAGGTTTCATTAACTTTTGTTGTGTTTTTGGACTTATTGGTTGAGAAATAATTGATTTTGATCCAATGATAGATATTGTTGGCACTTATTCGGCATGGGTGGAACATCAAAGGAAATGATAAGATGACCATTAATGATAAAGCGAATCTGGCAAGTCTAGTGGAGCGAGAATCAGGGTACATTAGAAGAACATTGCCCTTGACGTTGTTACCAAATGTTAGGTAACCTGAAATACCAGTTATAAAGAAAATCGCAGTTGAAATTAGAATGACGACTTTGACTATGTAGGATAAATTTTTTATGGATTTATTTGAAGATTCGTTGATTAAGGAGTACATGTTTTGATGGCCAGTATAAGCAAAAATAATGATCGAAAAAGTTGATAAGATGGATGATAGATTTAATGGCTTGAAGTAGTTAATTTCGCCTTTCAAATCTTGTGGAATATCGTTGAATAAGAAATGAAGAAAAACCAAGATGATAATGTAGGATATGGATATTAAGCCAATGATTGAGGTGTATTTTAAAGAGTCTAAATTTTTTAAAAATGAAAGAGGACAAATTAAAATTGAAGATACCAAGATTGCAGAGGTTCTTGATAAGTGATTTGAGGATAAATCAGGCAACAAGTCACCAATTATTATGAGGTAAGATAAGCCAACACCAAAGCATTGAATGGCTATAGCGAAATCAAAAATGACGCTTAATTTTGGATAAGTTATTGAACAGATGGCAAAAAAAGTAGCATTTCCATCAGGAACATATTTTGAGGTTCTTGCTTGTAGATATAAACCAAAACCAGATGTTACCGAGGCCAATAGTATAATTAGGATTCCAAAAAAAAGACCATCAGCTCTGAAAGCAAATGGCATGGCCAAGGCCCCAGCACCAACAACAGTTTTGGTCAAACTTATTATGGAGGATTTGGTGCTAGCTTGTATCATTGTTGATTTTATACTGAACAGTTGACAGGCAATAAACAACCAACGGTTTGATAAACACCAAAAGAAAAGTGAGTTTGACACAGAAAGTTGATACAAATTGGTTATAGATGACTTGTAAGAAAAAAGAATACAGCGAGCAGGCTTTTATATGATGAGAGAAAAATAAAGGAACAAAAAGAGAGCAAAAGAGCGAAGACAATAAACAACTTCATCTACAAAATTTAAAAAAACCAGGGAGAGCTAAGCAGGCATTTCGTGCCATGTCTTTATCAGCGAATAAGACTGATCAATAGTACCCAGAATATCACTCATTTATTTGCAATCGAAGCTAATCTCGTCGGCAAAACCCAAACGGGCGGGCACGGCAAACCGCGGCGGGTTTCACGCGCGGAAAGTGGTCACGTGTATAAATGAGATTAAAGAACAGAAAAGCAAAAAGTGACCGTTACAGACAGGATTCGAACCTGCGCAGGAAATCCCAATGCCTTAGCTGCTGACTACAAGTACTAGCAGGGCATCGCCTTAACCACTCGGCCACTGTAACTGATATATTAATTCTAGTTTTAGATATTTAATAAAACACTGTGCTGATTTTTTCCACTTTACTACTACCTGCTTTACACTTTTTATTACACACTTTTTTACTGAAATGATGGCATAATTGGCCAATTGATTTATTAATACTATGGCATTTACTCTAATTCATTCAATTTATTGTCAATTTTTGCTTTCAAAGTACTAACGTCGCTATTTTTGGAGTGTTACTGGGCTTTTTGAATCACTCGCAATTTTTCATTTAGGTATAATTGAATCTAAAAGTTCAATTTTGTTTTCAAATGGTTAATCCTGGATTTGCACCACCACCCAATCTCAATATGGGTTTTCACATTTTTCTGCTAAAACGATTGCAAACCTTTGTTGGTTAAATTCATTTTTTAGCAGTTTGTGAGTTGAAAAATGCAATAAAATAACATAATAATTTCTGGTTACTATCTTCTCATTTGCTGTTTTGGTTCTTTTTTATTTGTAGTTTATGTTTTAGTTCGCCATTGTGAAATTTAATGGATAGTTGGGTTTAGATTATAAGCGAAAATAATAATTCCTTTGTGTGTGGTTTCATGGCACACTATGGGTTATACTTGATGGTAGATGTCTATTTTCATAGTACGTTATTTTGCCATATCCCCCAAAACCTTTGTGATATGTTTTCAATTTCAATTATGAGATTATAACATTACAATATTATAATATTATAATATTATTACATTATGAGATTATATGATCATGAGTGGTTTTATTTCAAGTTTTTCAAAACTGAATTTTCATTATCGAAATTAAGTTGGAAACTATTGAAACAATCTTATTAGAATTCGTATCTTAGGATATGATTTGCATAAATAATAAATCTTAATAACTACCGAAGATCATCCTATTAACAAATGTTTAAACTGTAAAAGAAATTGATAAAAAAGACAACCAAACAAAAAAAATTAATGAAAATCAACGAAAATCAAAAGAAAACAACCCAGGATATCAAAATACTTTATGGTTCTTTATTTGTATTCTGCTGTTATTTCTATGTCTTCAGTTCTTACTCTCAGAATTGGTTGAAAACTAATCAAGAACCTTTCCAAAGAAAAATTCATACAATCTAAACAATATATACATAAAATGATATATAAATAGAAAAAGATAAAGATAAACTATAATATAGAATTGAACAATTCAATTCAAGTCAAGTCAATTTAATTCAGACTTGAGAATAAAATCTAAATATATTTAATCTGTATAGTCGTAGTTCTGGCGATTTAAACTGTTTAAAAGAATATTATTAATATCCAAAATCCCAATAATAGGTTTACATTAATTTTGCTGTATTCATTAGCAATAATAATAATAATAATAATAATAATAATAATAATAATAATAATAATAATATCATTAAAATTAAAATTAAAATGAAAATCTTGAAGTAAATAAATCGATCAAATGAGATTAAAAATTGCAACTGTTGATTCGTTCTAGTTGGAATAGTTAAAATTATTCATCGTTCAAAATACTAATATTTGGTAACTATATCAATATGAAAAACATAGAAAAAATGATTATATCTAAATGCCAACAAATATTTACGACAAAACCTTTTGCAACTATTATTCCAATTATTATTTTAATTATTATTTTAATTGTTATTCCAATTTTTGTTAGCACTATAATCCCCCTTTTTAGGTCTCGTTGACATCCTCAACATTTTTTAGACAAAAAGAGTCAATTTCAAATTGATAAATCAATTGGAAATAAACAAAAAACTGTTAGTGTCTCATATTTTTTATTTTCATCTGTTCATCTTCTCTTATTCCTGGTGTATTATGTTCTGTTTTTCACTCAAATTTTATCATTCTCATATAATAACTTGACATGAAAAGTAAACCGGATACTTGAGTGGTTTCATTACCAATTTCAACTGAATTTTTGATTTTGATTTTATAGTAACCAAAAGAAATTTCCTGAAAATTAGAATTTATTTACTCATATTAGCCAAAATTTTAAAGTAACTCAATCATCTAATATGAACGGTTTTTAGTTTTTAGTTTTGGCAAAAATGGCCCTCATTTTAATGGTTATTTTTAATCTCCCAGGTGTCGTGAGAATTTCATTTGCAATCGATTATAGTTTGAGACTTATTCTGAGACTTGAAGTGGTTGCTGGAAGAGAAACCAAATCAACTTGATCGCAATGGTCTTCATTCATCACTTGATGATTCTCTCCCAGCAAGACACATTGCTCTCTTCCAGCAGTGGAAATTGCTTTCCATACCGCTGCTTCCTCCGCTGCTTCCTCACCTCCCCCCCCCCCATTTCAAACACTTGTTATCACTCAGGTTATATCGCAAGTCTCGCTAATTTGACCCCAAACCCACTTCTTCCTCCAGAACCTGTTGCAAAACAGCTCTTTTTGCCCCAATTCGTCTACAGCCAGAACGGTTACCCTGCTCTCCCTCCACAGTGTGTCCACACGCAAATCAGTGCAGCGGGTAACGTCCATGCCAATACGTCCCTTCGAGGGATCTGCTTCTTCTGGACAAAGTCTGGGGAAGTTTTGCTGATACCTTCGTGAAACTGCTGGAACTCACTCGATGTTTTGCTCAAAACTTGCTTAGATTGCAACACAGAACTGGCAACAATAGTGCTCGCAATGGTGCTCGCGATGGGTCTGGTGTGGAGTGGGTGTGTTTGAGCTCAATAATAGACTATTGTCACGTAGGAGGAATTATCACTTAGATGTCTTGGGCAACATTAGCTTTGGGATCGATTTCCATGCTGTTTGATGTATTTTCCAGATCGAATCATATTTCATTTTAGTATCATATTTGCTAGAGTTATGAGCTACAAATGTCCTTGATTGGGCTATCCAACCTCTTGAATTTCTTAAACACCTACACTTAGTGGGTTTAGTATTTTTAACTGTTACATGAATAAGTGGTTTGTTTGAACCAGTTTGATTTCGTACGCAATTATTCTAAAACAGTTTTTTTAAATACCTTTTATTAGATTGTTTTCTTTTTCGTTACCAGTTTGTTTTAAAGTTTCCTTTATTTGAGTTGCCTATCTTTTACCACTTTTTTTTTCACGATTTTTCATTTCAAAAAGAAATATTTATTGGATTCAGAAACATTAATTGCATACTAGAATAGAATTGAGATGAAAATTTTGCTTTTGATTTAGGATTTCGTTTTGATTTGGTTTCTACCTCTACCTTATTGTACAGATATTTGTTGATATGAAGTGTCAAATCAACAAATAGTGGAAGCAGTGAAAAATTGAAAACATAAATTAGTAAGTTTGGAAAATCTTTCAATATTTTTAATTTTTTTTTGCAAAAATCTCTTGCTATAGAAAAAAATAACTCTATTGAAAATAACAAGAAATGAAACCAAAAAATTAGTTTTTTATTATTTTCTTTTCCTTTCTCTTCTTTTCTTTTCTTTCCTCTCCTTGAACTTAATCTGCACCAAGACTATACTATTGAATAAAGTATCAAGATGAAAATTTGATCCAAAATTAATAGAGCTTTCCTATATAAATAGCTGGATTATTCCAATGATTAAATTAAATGAAAGTTAATTATACTTGATACATTTCAATTAATTAATTAAAAGAATTGGCAATTTTCAATAAAGACTACATTCAATTCAATTCAAATTCTAATTCTAATTCTAATTCTAATTCTAATTCTAATTCTAATTATAATTATAATTATAACCATTATAATCTTTAAAATCTAATAACAATGAATAAAGAACAGATATTTTTTGATGACAATGGAAATTTGATTTCAGTTTTTGATTTAGATCCCTCAGTGCTTACAAGATTTTACAGACAACAGTTATATGAGCAAGCTAAATATGGTAAAGTAATTACCAAAACACCAAATGATTTACCATGATTTAAGTTGATTTAAGATGATTTCAATTGAAAGGTCAAATGAAAAATAAAAAAAATTATCTATATCATATCATATCATATCATACTATATTATATTCTGTTAATCTTAATTGTGGTTGATAAGTCTCATCAATTGAATTTTTTCAATTTCATAAAATTATCATTTTGAAAATGAGCAATTTTCCAATTGTTATTCATTTCATATTTTCAAATGTTCAATCAATTGGTTTAATTCCAAGAGAGAAACACTAAAAAAAACAACAACAAAAAATACATATTTTTTTTAAAAGACAGCATAAGGAATTGTTAAAGTATATGCGTTTCTTAACTATTTATTTTATTTCGTTTCATTTTTTTTTTTTAAGTTTTGTTTATCAAGTGTACAAAAAGTTGATTAAAATATGGATATTTATTATTTCATTTCTTTAAGCTGTTTTATAAAGATATATTTGCTAAAATTATTATACTATATTGAAATACTAATTGTATTTTTCATGATTTAATATGATTTTTTTTTTCTATAACCATTTAATTAATTTTTTAATCACTTAATTTTTTTTATTTGCTAATAAAAGTTTCGAGTTATAACCCTCAAAACAACGTACAGATATGATATGATAATAAACAAAACAAAAGAAAAGAAAACTATAAAAAAGTTGGAAGGACTTTCAAAGACATTGAGAGTAATTATGCTTTACGAAATTCCCATCAATTAGTACTTTAAAATTATCCAGAACTACCTAAAAATTACTCAAAAAATTAAAGCTCTTGAAAAAAATAGAGTGGACATTGGGCAACAGATAAATAACACAAGAAACAATATTAAAAACAAAAGTAAAGTAATCAAATAATAATATTATTCCAATTATTGATATCAAGAGTATATGACTACTGTTTAGCTTTCGCCAAAATGTCGAGTTTTAGAATTTGTCATTAAAAATTTCTAAGTTATACAAAAAATCTGAAAAGTTTTTTTTCGTATTTGGTAAAAAATAGGTTAAATTTTTTTTTGGGGACGCTTCAAAAGAATTAATTTTTACGTAAATTAATTTAGGCACAAATTAATTCATGTTCAAATTAATTCACGTATAAATTAATTTTTACTGGACTCAAATTTCGCTCCAAGTGGCAACGGCATATAGTTTCATTTACGAGAATCAGCAGGTTGCGAATTCACAGGGACGGCACCTTTAAAGCTGGTCACATGTAAGTCAAGCCAAAGCGGGACTTTGTAACTGTTTTTTCTCCTGATGAGTGAAAGTGTATGCTCCATACCTGCTTATAACAAAGTTGTTGCTTTGCTTGCGAGAGATGTCCCAACCCAAACAATTCATAGCAACTGTTGCTATGAATTCACAAATTTCAATAACCATGTTGTTCAAAAGCAATGATTCGATAACACGAACACAAAGAATCACTGCAAAGTGATCGAAAATGCAAATAAATCTGGTTTGAACCATATTAGTGACCTATTATATCGCTTACGTACCAAACAAGGACTTTGTGTCTCTTAGTTTCTTTCTTCAGTTATCTCACAGATCGAAAGCAAGCAGAAATAGTTCTTCGTCCACCTTATATACACACCCTTACACCTCACAAACCTGGCTGTATCTCATTCAATTGAAAAGATAGTGGGATAATGCAGGAAAGACAGAAATCTGGGAGTCCACGTGTATTAAGCAGAACTTTCCCAGAAGCAGCAGGGCCGGCAACAACCCAAATTGTAGTTTTCTTGTTTTTAAGGGTGCCGCACAGCTATTAAACAGAGGAACCACCGCAGATCTTAGCAGAAGACCAATCAGCGTTGAGGAAGTAGACTAGGTAGCAAAAGCGCTCTCAGTACCTTCACCAGAAGCACCACAAGAACCAGAAGCTTAAGCTTATTGGTATCACTTCTACTCAGCAACAGTGGCACTGGTCCACTGGCGACAACCAGATCTTTAAATCAAATCTCAAATAGCTCCATCCGCAGTTCGGACACAGTGTTTCGGAAAAGTGTTGCAAAATATGCACGTACATGCTCATGTATACACTTGCATATGCACATGCACATATAAACTAACTGCAACCACTTGTTGTCGTCACACATCAAACTACTCGGACTATCACGTGTTAGAGCCACAGTGATGGTAAGTTTTGATATGCGTATGATTGCAGTGTACACAGTATGCTTTGAAAACCAGTCCCGGTGCTTATTAGTATATTATATAAGAGTATTATGTAATCTATTACTCAGTGAAAAACTCTAATTACATTTTAAAGGAATAATTTGTTATCAATAATGACATTCTTATCAACTGAACTTGAAATCCACCACAGCTCCTGATGAGCAGCATTTCTTTTTCTTCAGCTTACTTGTTCTTTATATTCTTGTGTTGAGGTGTTCTTTTTTAGGTTTCTCTTTGCTCCATTAACCATTCAAGCTAACCACCATCAATAATGTCAGGAAAATTCACTCCAAAAGTTCCTGTTAAGTTAGAGAAACCAAAAGATGATCCCTTTACTTCCAAAGACTTGTTAAAATTCGACGGAATTCAATCTGATAAGATCTATGTTGCAATTAAAAGAGTAGTATTTGATGTTTCTAAAAACCCTAAGGCCTATGGCTCAGGAAAGGGATATCATTGTTTTGTTGGAAAGGATGCCTCAAGAGGTTTAGGTAAATCCTCATTATCTGCTGAAGATAATGATCCTAAAATTAGTTATAAGTTTGATGATTTAAATGAAAAGGAAACAAAAGTTTTAAATGATTGGTACACTTATTTTGAAAAAAGGTATAATATAGTTGGAAAAGTTATTGATCTTGATTAGATAAAAAAGAATGAAAACACAAAACAAAAAAGACAAAAAAAAGACAATAAAATAAAATAAAATAAAATAAAATAAAATAAAATAAAATAAATATAAAACAAACAAACAAAAAATACTCAATCAATCAATACAAAAAACAAACTATAAATTTATAAATCATTTCTAAAATTTCCAAAATAATATAAGCAAATTGTATTCCAACAGGTTAAATTAATTATTAGTTAATTCAAATTGTTTTTTCTTTTTCTCAGTATTAATTTTATTTTTAATTTTATTTTTGATTTTAATTTTAGATTTGATTTTAATCGATATTTTCCCCGATTAATTCAAATGTGTATAAACCCAAAGTTGTTATCATGTTTATCCAATTCCAAAATTGGATTGAATTCACCACTATTTTACCATCTGTTATTATTGTTGTACCTTCAGTATTTGTATTTAAATTGTTATTTGATAAACTTGTACATATTATATTATTATTAAAACTATCGGCATTGGGTGTGGAAATTGATATTATAGATGTTACCGTAGTAGTTATGATATTCTGAGTGTCAGTATTAGTGCTAGTGGTTGTATTTGACCACCAACCCCAGAGTATTAATTCGTTTCCAATTTCGTTTCTATTTACTAGCATTAAATGAGTATAAACAGCAATGATTATACATGGTGAGAACAAATATAGGATTTGTAAAGTTCTGCTGGCTTTTTTCGAATTTTTTTTTTTTTTCGGTATTTCGTCATTAGAGCTATTGTTATTATTATTGTTATTATTGTTATTATTATTGTTGATTTTGTTATTACTATTGTCGATGCTTTTATTATTATTGTCGATGTTATTATTATTTTGATCATTATTATTACTCTTTTCACTACTTTCATTATTATTGTGATTATTATAGACATTTTTAATTCCAGGAATAATTCTTGTGGCAGCATAAAAAACAGCTATTCTATATGCTAGGTTGAATAGTATTGGTAGAGTTAGATACGTTATTGCATTGATGAAGAATTTGACTATTGAGGAGAATGAGTTTTTCAAATTTAGAGATTTTACGAAATGGATAAATTTTCTGAAAAAGTTGTTATTCGAGATTAGATTTAGATTATTGTTAAAGTTGTCATTTAAATTTTTAAAACTGGTGTTGATGTTTATGTTTGTGAGAATGTTATTTAAATTATTGAAATTCAAGTTATTAAAGTTTTTTTTCTTGTTTCTTGAGTAATATAAATCTAGTTCATTTCTGAGGTTGATGGTGGTTAAATTGATTAGATTTGTGAATTCAGAAGAAGCAATTTGACTTAATTCCGGGAAGGTTTCGTAGATGCATTTGACAATATAGGCAAAGATTAGACAACTTTCAATAGTCGAGCCATTTTTGGTCATGATACCAAACAAACCTAAACCTAGACAATAGGTTATTACTGAGCCTAATAGAGTAGCGGAAAATAAGCCAATTTTTAGATTTGGAATGATAAAGATGTTGTAAAGAAAATAAAAGGAGATTGTAAGGATAATGGCAGAGGATAATAGAGAGATAATGGCCCAGAAATCCGATTTTTTTTTGATTAGATATTTAAAGGATTTTCCTATTGATTGAATTAGTAGGAGTGAACATAAACCTTCCAAGATGGTGAATAAAGGAGTTGAATTTTTCAAGAAATAAAACCAGGGGGCAATGATTGTTGTTGTGAGGTTTAATATTTGGTTGTAATTGATTTGGAAGGAGTTTGTATAATAATGAATGATTGTTATATTGCTATTATTGGTAGTATTAGTGATGTTGTTGATATTGTTGATATTGCTGATATTGCTGATGTTGGTTGATTGAGTATTAAAAAAGGTTAATAAGAAGGTTAATAAACTTGGTAAAAATAGGTGTTGTAGATAGTACAAATAGGATAGGATTTTTAATCTTTTATAATTTTTTGATATCAATCTTAGCAGAGTTAGTAAGAAATATAATATAAAGGTTATAAAGCTGTAAGTTAGACCACAAGTTGTCCCACCAATTTCGAAGGCCAAGGGAATGGTCAAAATGATTAAGATCAAATAAAACGTTGCTAGTATTATTCTTATAATTCGTTTAATATTATTTAGAGATAGTTTGTTTTTTGGGCGATTTATTGGCTGGGTTTTGTTGATAAGAGTGGTGGATATGGGGGTATTGAAAGCAGTACGAGTGTCATTCTGAGGAATATTCAGTCTGTTATTATGCTTGAGCTGTGAGGTCTCAGAGCGAGCCATTTGAAGTGTTGCTTTGTGAATTGGTTGTTGGTGGATAGTTCTGTGATTGGATATCTGGCTGTTGAACTGGTTGAAGCCTATGGAGTTGGAACTGGAGCTGGCTGGAGGCTCAGGGTGGTTCATTGTGGAAATGAGAGGAATAGCAGTGGTTCCTGATCAATTGTAGATTCAATGTGTTGCAATAGAGCCAGAGAAAGACGACAAGCAGCAGAAATAAGATTGTTTGATTGGAATCTCTGATGTTGATCCCTTTAAAAAGTCCAACGATGAGCGAGAAAGCAGCAGAGGAGTTCTTGATTTGTGGATCAGCAGTGGCAGTGGCTCGTCGACAGCACTTCTTTGCTACTTGTGGGGCCTGGATTTGCTGTGGTTCTGGTACCTGTGTATCTTTTTCTTCTTCTTCTCCTTCTTCTTCCTCTTCTCTTTTGTTGTTTCTTCTTCCTCTTCAAATTTTTGCTTCGTCGCTCGTGCGATCCGTGTTCCGGCTGCGTTTCGCTCGTTTTTCGTCGCTGACCGGACTGAATTTGGGCGTTTAGCGAAAAAACAAACGCTGTTTGGCGCGTCTCGCCTGCAAAACGCACACGAGCCCTGGTTCGTTTTCGGTAGACGACGTAAGTTATGCGACTTTCGCCGAACTCCGCAGCGAACAAGCAGATGAAACTGGATCTTCTCCAGAGGAAGCCCTCCCTATATATAAGAAAGTGCCTCTCTCTGCACCGATTCAGGTGAATCAGCTTGCAATCAGCTTGCAATCTACTTGAAATCCACCACAGACTCCAGACAGCAATGACAGGCACACTTGAAAGACCTCTAGAGCTTGCCCCTAAGGCATCTGTTCTCCAGCGTCTCGACACCCAGCTCATCGATCCTTCGTGTTCCAAATCCAGCACTCTCTTGACGTTGAACAGCATCTCCAACTACGGCTCCATGTTGAAGAAGTTCTGCAAAAACTTGTCCAAATCCACCTTCAGAATCGAGTTGAACACCATCTTGATTGTCACCAAGGCTAGAGACAACTCCCTTATCTCGCTCACCAAGGAATTGGCTCTTCACTTGCTCACACACTACCCCAACATTGTTGTCTACATCGACTCCAACTTATCCACCTCCAAGACCTGCCAGTTGAACAACTTCTCTCGCTTAAAGTATTGGGATAAGCAATTGGTTTTAACCAACCCCAAACTATTCGATTTGGTCATCACTCTCGGTGGCGATGGTACTATTTTGTTTGTCTCGAGTTTGTTCCAGAATTTCGTTCCCCCAATCATCGGCTTCTCCTTGGGCTCCTTGGGCTTTTTAACCAACTTTCAATTCAACACCTATCCAACCTTGTTCCAATACCTATCCACAAACAAAATCATCAAGACAAATCTACGATTACGATTGGAATGCTCGGTTTATGATCAGCACCATCATTTAGTTATGCAAAAGATCGTTCTAAACGAAATCACCATTGACAGAGGCCCTACTCCCTATATTTGCAACTTGGAACTATATGGTAACAACTCGCTAATAACCATAGCTCAAGCTGATGGGTTATGTATTGCCACTCCCACTGGCTCGACTGCTTATTCCTTATCTGCTGGTGGTTCTTTGGTTCACCCCGAAGTTAACGCCATTAGCGTGACCCCCATTTGCCCCCATACTCTATCCTTCAGACCAATAGTCTTGCCTGATAATATGACTATCAAAGTCAACAGCTCGCCAGAAAGCAGAAACAATGCATATCTAGCCTTTGATGGTAAGGCTAGATATGAGTTGAATAAAAAAAGCTATGTGATCATCAAGACTTCTCCTTACTATTTCCCAACTGTTATCCATTCGAATAACGAATATTTTGACAGCGTTAGTGAAAATTTACATTGGAATGTTAGAAAAAAACAAAAACCTCTATCTCCCAGCGTTATAAATGACATCGATACCGATATTCAAAATGAATTGCAAAATCAAATTCAAACCGAGTTAGAAAAGCAAATTCAAAATCAGTTGGGAAGTCAAATTCAAACTGAAAGTAGAAATGAATTAGCAAACCAATTAGAAAAACAATTGCAAAATGAAAATAAAAACGATATTCTTATCGATTACATGAATGATGTAAATCACCCCGATTCATATAGTCATACTGATTCCAATCTCATTAGCGATAACGAAACTTCTCAGTCAAGTGAATCTCCCTCAATTGAAACTTCGTATGAGATTAAACCAACGAGATTAGATAGCGAATTTAACTTGAAATTAAAGGCTTTATCTTTAAATAATAATAATAATAATAATAATAATAATAATAATAATAATAATAACAACAACATTAATTATCACCACGGCTTTACAAATAATAAATAAGAGTCTGGAAAATACAAATCAAATGATAGATAATAGATGATAGACTAATTTTTTTAGTAAAATGTATATTGATCTATATATAAGTTTAATAATTTTTTAATTTGTTATAAGTGAATATGGTTGTGAATATGGTTTTGAATACGGTTATGATTTTGAATAGGAATATAATTAAGTATCTATATATAATGTTAATTAGTCTTATTGATCCATAAATCATGTAATTTGATAACTTCGGGAAGGAAAATTTCTTCAATTTCAAAATTATTTTTGATTTGATCGTCAGTTAATCTAAACCATTTTTCTTGAGCCTTGAATGATTCAACTGATTCAATTGATTCGTCGCTATTATTATCACTGACGTTTTTATCAATTTGATTGGATTCATTGGATGACTTTGATACAAATACCACCTCTTTTTTCCTTGTTTGCAATAAGTTTCCAATGACCAAGTTGTGATTGTATCTTTTTAATGCCAACTTGGCTTTATTGATTAAAATATTCTGATCTGTTTCTAGTTTAAAACTGATAATTAACGAGTTGTTACTCCAATCATCAACGATTCTTTTCAAGAACTTTGGCACAGGATCTAGGTTTATAATGAGCTGACCATTGGAGGACAAATTGTTCACCGAAGATTGAATCTTATGTTGAGGCAACTTTGATACAGGAATGAAGAAATCGGATACTGCTGCTGCTAAATAAATCAATGATTTAGAGCCATAGGTATTCAAAGTGGTTGAGATGGATTTTAGTGTAAAAAGATACTGGTTAACAGTGGTGAAAGGTATGATTAGGAGGGAGTTTGAGTCTTTAATCTTTTGGTAATCTAGTAAGATTTTATACATTTTATCGTTATGGTCGTCGTTGATTTCGATTTTGTTGTCAATTGAGTTGATTTTCATATAATCCAAGAAATGTAGATTGTGAGAAAAGTGTCTGGAGTAAGGCAAAAGAGAAAACTCTCTATATAGAAAGATCACAGCATAACCATTTTTCAATAATATCTCAGCAGAAGTAGAGCCTCTGGTTCCTGCACTGAAATTATCGATGAATCTGACAGTATTGTTTTCCAAAGGCACAGTTGTGCCACCGCTGGTAATCAAAGCTATCTTCTTGAAAGTGTTTGCTTTGTGGTATTGCAAAAAGTCCTTGACCTTTGATACAACTTCGTGGATATACGTGGGAGGAGTATTTTTTGTAAAGTAGTCATTATCATCGACCTCCTTAGCGACAGGAAAATCAGGTATTGATCTGTCAATAGCTTTGTTGGGATCAGGAACTGAGGTATGAATATCTTCGCTATTCATCTTGGAGAAAGGTCTTTGTCGTCACCATAAACAGAATATGAATAAAACAAAAGAAAAAAAAGTAGGAGCATTACACACATCAATCGCATATTCTCTTCATCTTGAAAAAACAGTTTTCTTTAAACGAAATGAAAAAAAATCGTTGCAAAGAACATATTCGGGAGAAGAGCTTGCAGAAACGGGGCAAACAGAAGAAAAAAACGGCATAGCGCCTACAGAAACCTCGTGGAATCAGGATCTGACTCTAGATGTGATTTCATTTCCTCTGAACATCAGCAAATTATCGAAAGGTCATTAAAAGCCTTAGCAGATGTGGCCTGAGCTCGAGACCCAGCGCCTGAGAGCTGAAAACAGTGCACAGCGAGAGCACACAAAGAACGCTGTCCTGACTCATGGTCCTCTTGAGAGCGATACGCAATTTGGGGCCTGCTTTCCGGCCGTTACTGCCGGCTACGGCAATTATTCGTAACATGACGGTATCACACGGAACGTGTTGTGTTTTGTTTTTTTTACGGCTGGTTTTATCGCAGACAATTCCTCGGTTGTTCGCTTAAGCTCCTACCGTTTTCCCAATTCCGCTCCCAATTCCGCGCTCGTTTCGCTAAAGCCCACTTGGTCCCAAAAACGTAACTTGGCGCGTTTACCCTGCTTTTTTTTCAAAAAGCAGCAAAACGAAAAATTTTCTGTGCTGTTCTTCCTTTCTCCTTTCTTCTGTTTCTTCAACAAAATGCATTTACTTAAGTTGGGTCGATTCAATACTGTTTTTTTTGACTATTTGACTATATATCGTCCTCAATGTGTCACAGTGCAAAGAGTAAATTAATCTTTCCCTTTTCCTGTAGGTTTTGATTGTTCTAGTTGAAATTTGCACATTTATATAGAAATCCGAGCTGTTTGGTTTTTTTTCGTTTTGTAGAAATTCAAATAAAACACTCGATTTCTGTGACTCACCAGGAAAGATATATTGATGTTGCTCTAATCTTGCGACTTTCACTGTCATTTTTTTCTCCAAGGAAGTATTTTTAGAATCAGCACTCCAGCTGCTTTCACACTTGGTGCAGTCCAAATTAGATTCATCGTCTATTTCCGAATCGAGCACTGTCTTCTAGAAGCCCTCCCTCTGCTTCAAACAATAGCTGGCGATCTGGAGCTGGCAAAGCCTGCTGTGTTTCGATATTGCATTGCACTGTGCTGTATTGTGTTTCCTCTCCTTCTCGCTTCGTGCTTTCTGCTGACAATAGTGATCAAAGCTAATTTTACTCACCCAGCTTCTCCAAACCTAATCCCGATCCTGTAGCGAGTTTATCCTCCACTATGAGCTCTTTTAGCCAATAAACTAAAATAGTGCCTCGTATTATTATTTTAAGCCTATCCTCTTGGACTATGGATAAGTACCTAAAGGTCTCTCCAGGTATTAAAATTCACTGTTCCTTTCACTGATCCGTTTAATTTGGTCACTTTTGTCAAGTTTATTCATCAGCTTTCCTCTTTTTCGGTTTTATTTAGGTCGTTTTTTTGCATTATTGTTTTATTTTTGGTTTTTGTTTAACTCCATCTCTCGTTGTGCATTTCATTTCATTTTAAACTCCCTTTCTCAGATTCTGGTTATTTGATTATTAATTCCTTTTTGTTCACAAACTAAAGTTCTATACACCTCATACTGCCTGGGGCAAACACCTCACAATCTAATTCCTCTTCCTCTCCTATCCCCATTGGCCATTTCGCCTTCGCTATTACGAGATAGCTTTGCTGATAATCGTTTTACTTACTTAATCTTATCCATTTTTGTAGCAATTCTATCCAGTATCCTTCACCATACTTTTTTCCCATTTCTTTTTTTGCTTTTAAGCTCACTCATTTTAGCGAAATTCAAATCAAAATCTTGGGTGGGTGCAAACAAAAAAATTGACCTACATTAAATAATAAAAACAAAAAAAACGAAAAAAAAACAAAAAAAAAACAAAAAAACAAAAATGTAATTCAGGAAAAACCACTGTTTTTTTATTTATATCTTTATCAATTCACCCATTTATTCCAAATTTCATAAACATAACTTCTTTTGACCCCTATTACTATCAGTAGTTTATCTTTTCTATTCTTGGAATATATCCTCCAACCTTTATCATCTTGTAAACTGAAAAACACCAATAAAACTACTTTCAATAATTAGAAATACAACCAGATTAAATTTTAAAATAAATAGTTTAAATCTTTTTTATTCTAATTATAGATATAAAATTTTTTTTTGAACAAGAGACTTCTTTTTTTGAATATCTTTTTGAATATTTACTTTTCTTATTTTAAAATAATTCTATCAACTGTTCCCATTATTTTTATTATAATATTTATAATATTTATTATTCTACCCTTAAGGATACACCTCTCTCACATTATATCATTAACACACTATCAAATTATCATATCACCCACAATAATTTATTAATACTCTAATAACATTAGAGTTGAAGAAGGTTATTGTATAACTCAATATACGTTACGCTATTCATTTTAGTAATATCAATACTACTCTTCTCTTTTGTTCTTTTCTCTTCTCTTCTCTTCCCATTTTATAAAACTAACTAAAAAAAAAAATAAAGTACATATAAAATAGGTTTTATTTGTTAATAATACATTAAATATACCAGTTTCATTATATACCATTACTAAATTTAAACATTTTGCAATATTAATTTAACAACTACTTGATTCCAAATTCAGCTCAAAATATTTTATCTCCAGTTAATAATTTTAAGTTAGATAACTAATACAGTTATTTATCACAAAAAATAACAACAATCAAAGAAAAGTTTAAACAAAAAATAGATCATAGATAATATATTAATTGAATATTATTTTTATTCTTAAATTAATATTTTAATAATATAAGGGTAAATAATCTTACTTTTAATTTTTTCTTTAATTATAATTTTAATTTTAAATTCATGGGATATCAACAAATCATATCAACCAATTTACAATAACGTATCATCAAAGCAATATTCTAGAATCAGGTTTTTCAGCTTTCAAGTATATTTAGCATAAATTAAGATCTAATTTGTACTACTGTTTGTCCCTAAAGCATTAAGATTTCATTTAAACGCTTTTGATATGATTATTATATAAATTAAACTAATTTTCTCGTCTTAATCTGTTTAGTAGTATCTCAATCTCTTTTCTTTTTTCTTTTTTCTTTCTTTCTTTCTTTAAAACGAATCATCATCTGTTACTCCAAACAAAGTAATAAAAGGCAGACATCATTCGCTTGGAAAAAATCTCTTTTTGTTTTGTTAATTAAAAATAATACAACTAAAACTTTTACGGTAATATTTAGGATTATAATTTTATTATTGATCTAAAAAGAAAAATATTCAAAACTCAATTAGTTGTTCTCAAAACAGAAGTGAAGTTAAAGTAAATATCTTTTGATACAAGAAACGAAACCAAACGAAGAAACGAAAAACAGTCTACATCAAGTATTGTTGCAATCTCATTACCTATTAATTTTTTTTTCTCCAGTTCCAAAAAAGTTATCAGAAGTCAAAATTAAGGATTTATAATTATAATTATAACATATTATATTATATCATATCAGGTTGTATTAAATTTTATTTTATTTTATTCTATTTTATTTTATTCTATTTTATTTTATTCTATTTTATTTTATTCTATTTTATTTCAATTTAATTCAACTCTACTCAACCTTATCCAACTTTATTTAACTTTATCCAATTTTATTCAAGTTCATTCAATTTATCATATTTATCATTTATCATTTATCATATTTTATCAAAATTCTTCATAAAACTACAACTGGAATTATTAATCGAACAGAAAAATTTAATCTGCTTTCTTTAAATTTTAATTGGGTTAATAATAATTACATTACACAAATGTCTAATTCAAATTCAGATAGCCAAGGTCATCTTGAAGAGTTGAGAAGCCAATCATTAGGATGGGTCTGCACAATTTGCAAACATTCATACTTACAAGATCCATTAATAAATACAGATGTCCATTGTTCTCATTGTCAAGAAGGATTTTGCGGTCATGTTGAGTATATTAAACATTTTTATAGAGCAAGTGATGGCACATTCAAAGTATCGTGGTCTAAAAACCATCATAGTACCAATATTAATTATTTTCTAAATTAACAACAAAGACCTGGGGTTTTATATGACATTTCAACAAACCAATTCAACATACAACAAGATAGTTAACCAACATCATAACGTCAAAAATTAAACAAAATAAATATAAAAACCTAGAAACTTATTGCATTTTCACTCCTTTAACGACTTTTTACATGTTTTGATACCATTGTTTTTTGTCTTTTGTTTTTTTGTTTATTCTGCTCTAACTTTATAAAATATATCTATAGTATCTTCTTTATTAAATTTTTGTTTTCTAGCGGTGTTCAATGGATTTAGATCCCAATTTTTCATGTCTTTTTTATGAGAAATAGGTGGTTTTATTTTTCGAGCTTAACATTTATATTATAATAACCATTCGCACATAATACACAATTACACTAAGCACATCCACAAGACCCTGGTATACAAGCATAGGAACGAGGGCTGGCAAATCAACAGTATTTTTTTCTTTACCAAATGTTGGGGGCCATTTCCACTACTGGAATAAATAAAAATGCTGAAAATGCTGAAAATGCTGAAAATGCTGAAATTATTGGAATTGCAGAAATTGCTGGATTTACAGAAATTGCTGTTTCAGTAGTGTTACGATAACCATGACATCACACATGTTCGGCACTAAATCCGTTTTTCTGGCTTTCAGCGAGCACGCGCATGCTTGTGATAGATGCGTCGACACGCATTGATCGAAAACCGTTTTCAATCAGGAACCAAACATCTTTTTAACCAGTAGCAGGAGACAAAAAGATGAGAATTCTGCTGTACCAGCCAGCTTGTGTGGTTAGGCAGAAGTTCCGGTTGCTTTTCAGTTGATCTACAATACATGCCCATGATTTCTTTACAAATTTATGT